TTCCTGTCATTCCTTATCGTTGCTCTAATATTTCATTGAAAGGAGGTTGGCATTGCCTCAACACCACCATAAGAAGCGATAAAAGATAGGGGTGATTTGTTGGGTAAACAAAACTCGTCAAGGGGGAAGTTAAAAACAAGTATACCTGCGCTGGAAAAAGGAAACTGTTAATGAAAACAATATTTAAAGCTTTGTGTTAAATATTAGAATTTTCATTCCTTACAGCTCAACTTACAAAATAATGAATAGAAATGAATGGAGGAAAAAAGAAATTCCAAATTTTCCGTCTTTGATTTGTGTGTGGGGAGAAATGTCACCAGCAGCAGAGCGTACCGGCAATCGCATGACAACGGAAACTACAAATCTTACCATAAGCCAGTCTAGAAAGAAAAGAAAAAACTAAGTTATGTGAAGGTAAAGTGTGTGTGTGCGGTTCGTTGGTGTGACAAACGCACTTTTTTCCGACTCCCCTTCAGAAATTGGTTTCAGGATTTGCAAGAGGACAGCAATAGAAAACCTTTTGACAATTATTACCCTGACAGCTTACAATGTGATGGCGGCTAACTGATAAAGGCCAATGCAGACAGTTAGCGGGAATTTTGTAACAACATACAAACCTACATGCGTATGTATGTGTGTGCATATGTTTGAGTGGCAGTAGCACTGTTGTGGGTAAATGCATGCTTTGGAAGGGGGGAGTTGTATTTCTTTGTGTCATTGAATAACTTAATTGTTACGTTTTGCGTGCTACCCCACAAACTAAGTAAACTTGGACAGAAGCTATGTTGGCTTAAGTTCATAAATATTGTATTTCATTTATTTTAATTAATTATAACCGTATTGAAATATGTATATATTTCGAAATATTTTAGTTGTGTTATTAGATCTACAGGAAGATAAAACCAGTAAGGAAAGTCATAAAGTCGGACGGGGCCGACTATATGATACCCTTCACCACCATGGGTATATTAAACAGGACCATAAACATGAAATTGGATGAACTAAAATATGTAATACTTATCTAAATGTGAATCGACTAAGATCAATAAGTTTTGTATGATGTGCAAAATTTCATGTCAATCTGAAAAACATGAGGAGTTTAATGCACCATTTACTTAAAATCGGACGAAAATATATATGGAAGCTATATCCTAATATGAACCGATTTCTTGTCACTTGTCACAGGTTAGGTTATACTAATTTCAGTACGTATTGTTCCTATCAGCCATATATTGGTTCCTTGGTGCGTCGATTACTTAAAATCAATCGATAATATATAAGGGAGCTATATCTAAATCTGGACCGATTTTCACGAAACTTGGCAAACGTCACTATAGGCTCAATTCAGTACGTCATGCCAAATTTCGTGCAAATCGAAAGATATATAGAGACTTTGGTGTACCATTTACCTAAAATCGGACAAAACTATATATGGGAGCTATATCTAAATCTGGACCGATTTTCAGTCCAGTCGTCACTCTAGGCTCAATTCAGTACGCTACGCCAAATCTAGTGCAAATCGAAAGATATATAGGGACTTTGGTGCACCATTTACATAAAATCGGACGAAACTATATATGGGAGCTATATCTAAATCTGGACCGATTTTCACGAAACATGGCAGACGTCACTCTAGGCTCAATTCATTACGTCATGCCACATTTCGTGCAAATCGAAAGATATATAGGGACATTGGTGCCCCATTTACATAAAATCGGACAAAACTATATATGGGAGCTATATCTAAATCTGGACCGATTTTCCCGAAACTTACCACACATCATTCTAGACTTAATTCAGTACGCTGTGCCAAATTTCGTGCAAATCGAAAGATATATAGGGACTTTGGTGCACCATTTACACAACATCGGACAAAACTATATATCGGAGCTATATCTAAATCTGGACCGATTTTAATGAAACTTGACAGTCGTCACTCTAGGCTCAATTCAGTACGCTATGCCAAATTTAATGCAAATCGAATGATATATAGGGCCTTTGGTACACCATTTACATAAAATCGGACGAAACTATATATGGGAGTTATATCTAAATCAGAACCGATTTTCCCGAAACTCACCACACATCATTCTAGACTTAATTCAGTACGCTGTGCCAAATTTCGTGCAAATCGAAAGATATTTAAGAACTTTGGTGCACCATTTATCTTAAATCGGACGAAAATATATATGGGAGCTATATATAAATCTGAACCGATATTTCACAATTTCAATAGGTTTCGTCCTTGGACCAAATAAATGAGCTGCGCCAAATTTCATCCAATTCGAATCAAAACTGCGACCTGTACTTTGTTTACAATTTAACATGGACAGACGGACATGCATAAACCGACTCAGAAAGTGATTCTATGCTTATTCTAAAAAGGAACCATGGGTCTATCTCGATTCCTTTTGCCTGTTACAAACATATACACAAAGACATAATACCCTGTACCACAGTGTGGTGATGGGTATAAAAATATATTGATGACATTTTACACCCATGTTTGTAGCATACCTATGGGGGCCCCCAAACGGTCGATTGGGTCAAGAACGTAGATTGTTTGAACAATATTTTCTAAATCTGCAATTGTAGCCCCATATATTTTTAATCAGATTCCATGGTGGTGTACCAAGGACCTCCGAATGAAATGAAAGTTTGCACAGGGCATCAAAATGATAATAAATTAAAGTATACTAAATTTTGCCGAAATCGTTTCGGATATAGATATAGCTCCCGAATATAGTTTCGTCCGATTTTCTGTAAACAACAGCTTTCATGCAACAACAGATTTTGTAAATAGTTATTTTTTCAGCCACCCACTGTCTACTATTCGGTCCTGAATATGAGCCATCATTAGAACGCATTTCTCCAATTGGTCACAGCAACACCTCTAGGACATGTTTCATCGACTAACATACGATAACTATTCTTGCAACGAAGGTAGCAAACAGTAATGCAATCATTAGTGCAAGTTAATACTGCCTGCCAGGAACAGGACATTTGTCCTTGAACACTAATTATGAATGGGACTGGGCATGAAGTGACCGTTGCAGTAATTAGTCGGCCTAGCCAATGCCATGGTCGAGGTTGTTGCTAAATGATGGTCACTTAATAAAGTTAAACAATGTTGCTGCTGTAGAATGTGATCGGATATAATAGGGCCAAACAGAAATGCATTAGAAAAGACATCAACAGGAATCTGGAAATGGGAATTAATTTAAAAATGCGGTTGGAAACGAATTTTTAAACACATATGATTGTGAAACTAAGCTAAACATGAAGAAAGGATACTTATCCTTTTCATGTATTAGCTTTAAAGGGTGTTTTTTTTTCATATCTTTAAGGAATATGAAAGCGTGGATTTTTCCCAAAAATATTTATTTATGGACTATATAAGCGCTGATTTTTCTGAATTTGTAAAATAATTTTTTTTCAGGACCTGAAAGAGCATGGATTTTTTAAATAATAGTTTTCAAGGACCTGCCAATGCGTGGATTTTTAAATAATAGTTTTCAAGGGCTTTGGTAGCCTCTTGATTTATTCTTTAAATATTATTTTTTTAAGGATCTGCCAAATTGTTATACCCTACACAACTATGTTCTCAGGGTATTATAGCTTTGTGCAGCCCCAAGAGTTTGTAACGCCGCGAAATATTTGTCCTAGACCCACCTTTACATTTACCGATCGTCATATCTCGACTAGCTGAGTCTATTTAGATATGTTTGTCCATTATAATTTGTAAACACGATACAGGCCACAGTTATTGACCAATCTTCACGAAATTTTGCATATAGGATGGGTTCTGGCCAATGGAGACCCCTATTGTTTTTGGTAAAAATCGGTTAATATTTAGGGGGTGAAATGGACCAAATCTTAATTATACCCTTCACCACACTGTGGTACAGGGTATTATGTCTTTGTGCATATGTTTGTAAAAGGCAAAAATAATCGAGATAGACCCATAGTTCCTTTTGAGAATATGCATAGAATCACTTTCTGAGTCGATTTATGCATGTCCGTCCATGTATTTTTGTTAGCAAAGTACAGGTCGCATTTATGATCCGATTTGGATGAAATTTGGCACAGGTCACTTGGTTGGCCCAAGGACGAACCCTATTGAAATTGGGAAAAATCGGTTCAGATTTAGATATAGCTCCCATATATATTTTCGTCCGATTTAAGGTAAATGGTGCACAAAAGATCCTATATATCTTTCGATTTGCTCGAAATTTGGCACAGCGTAATGAAATAGGTCCAGAATGATGTGTGATATGTTTCATGAAAATCGGTCCATATTTAGATATAGCTCCCATATATATTTTCGTCCGATTTAATGTAAATGGTGTACCAAAGACCCTATATATCTTTCGATTTGCACGAAATTTGGCATAGCGTAATGAATTAGGCCTAGAATGATGTGTGTTAAGTTTCCTGAAAATCGGTCTAGATTTAGATATAGCTCCCATATATAGTTAGTAAATGGTGTACCAAAGTCCCTATATATCTTTCGATTTGGACGAAATTTGGCACAGCGTCCTGAATTAGGTCTAGAATGATGTGTGCAAAGTTTTCTGAAAATCGGTCCAGATTTAGATATAGCTCCCATATATATTTTCGTTCGATTTTATGTAAATGGTGTACCAAAGACCCTATATATCTTTCGATTTGCTCGAAATTTGGCACAGCGTAATGAAATAGGTGAAGGTAACATGGACATGTAATTAGAAGATCTGTACTGAGTATTGGTAATATTCGGAAAATATGTCAGGGTAAGGAAGAGGTGCTGTTGACCTCTAATCGGGCAAGAGGGTGCAACTATCGCGAAATATTACCCAGGCCCGGAATAAAAATCCGCGGGGTAGAGTTGTGGGCCCCGTCCGCCTATACTGCTCCGCTCACTGCTTTATTAAATATTATTCTTAAAAATCTATTAAAATATATAATTTTTACAAAGATATTCATTTATTAGCCATTTTACAAATGTTTAAAAAAAAAATTTAATTATTTCTATTCTTTTCCTTCCACAACTTTTCACACATATCAGCCACCTTACGACGTATGATTTTACCCGATGCTGTTTGGGGGAAACTCTCCACAAAATAAACACCACCACGTAAATATTCAAAATCTTGCATATGGTCCACAACATGTTGATAGATTTCCGATTCCGTGATCTCACTATCGGACCTCTTTATAACACAGGCAGCTGGCAAGAAACCATGAACACTGTGAGGAATACCCACGACACAAACATCAGCCACTTGGGGTAATTTACTGATGACAAATTCAATATCCGTCGGCGAAAAGTGAAAATTATTATATTTACGAATATCACATTTACGATCGACCACAAATAATTCACCCTGATCATTGAAATAGCCCACATCTCCTGTATGAATCCAACCATCAGCATCATATTTCTCTTGGGTCGCCGAGGGGTTGCCATAATAACCCGACCAGGGTATTTGTGTACGTACACACAACTCTCCCGTTTCATCGGGACCCAGCGCCTTACCATCATCATCGATTATTTTCACTTCAACATTGGGTAGTAAATAACCCACAGAATTATTGGGCGAACTTTTTCCCATTGAGACGCCACTGCTTTCACTGCAACCATAGGCAACCAAACATTCAACATTTTTGGCATATTTTCGATATTTTTCTGTTAGAGAATATGAAACGGCACTGCCTCCAATGATAGAGGCAACAAGACTTGACAAATCGGTGGTCGTAATTTTATCTGATGAAACAACCATGGCAATCTGGGATGGTGGCCCAATGGTTATGTTGACTTTGTAACGCTGCACAATGTCTAAAAAATCATCTACATTAAAGGGATCGGAGGAGATTATACGCTTAGCACCGCCAATTGTACCATGCACCAATGCCACAATACCAGACATCCAGTAAAGAGTGCTGAAACAAAGGAGATTCGTGTCCTTGAAGGCGTCCCTGAAAAGAGAAAGAATAGAATAGAATTGAAGATGCATTTTGAGGATAGCTTAATACGGGGTTGCAATAGATAAGAGGCCTTCTGGAAGTGATTTATGGATTGAGGTCACGTATAGTCTCTTTTATGGATAGAATATTGATTGGATCTCTGTGTCAGTCCTTCAATAGAGAGGCGATCTTTTAAGTGTCTTCTATAGATAGAATACTTTCAAGAGGCTTTCTGTAGATGGTAATCCTTTAAATTTGCTGTAGATAGAAGTACCTCAGAAGGTTTTTAGGGTGTTAGAAGGTTTTCTGACTGAAGACCTTTGTAAAGACTCCTGTATAGGGAAGTCCTTTAGAAGAATTTTCTATAGATTGAAAACCTTTAAAATGTTGCTTAAAGATGAAAGTAATTTAGGAGACGTTCCACAGATTTAGGACCTTTAAGAGATTTTCTATAGAAAGAGGACGTTGAAGAGGTTTTGTGTACAAGAACGTATTTTATGAAACCTTTATAAGGACTTCTACCGATAATAGTTCTTGATAACGTTTTTCCTATTCAAGAACTTTAAGAGGTTTTTTTCTACAAATTGAAGTTCTTCAGGAGCCTTTATGATGTTTTTACTATATGGAAATCTCTTGGCATCTCTTCTATATACTATATAAGTTCTTCGGAATGTTTTCTTATAGATTGGATTCATTTAGTAGGTTTCCTACAGATGGAAGTTCTTGAAAGGGTATTATACAGATTGAAGACCCTTAAAAGATTTTCTATATGTGGAAGTTCTTCTGAAGGATATCAAACTTTCTAAAGTCTTCTATAAATAGAAGCCTTTCAGAAAGATTTTTAAAGATTGAAATCCTTTAGGAGGTCTTCCATAGGGCATCTATAAATATTGGACCTCACTGAGAATTTCTGCAGCTAATAGACTCTTAAGAGGTTTTCTGTGCGGAAGTACTTCAAAGGGCCTTCGATTGACTGAAGGCAGTTAATTTGAATGTGGTGTGGATTTTTAAAATTAATATTTTCTGAATTCTGATTTATTAAGGAACGGATTTTTTAAGGAAAGTTGGTTATGTAGTCCTTGCCGAAAAGTTATCTTAAAAAATTCACGTATTGTGGAGTAATTGTCAATGCAAAAAATTCCTTAAAAACCTATTTCCTTGGCAAAAAAAATCCTTTAGACATTTACTCCTATTTTCTAATAGTCCTCGTCAAAAACCACTTTAAAAATCCACACCTATTTTCCCAGTCCTTGACAAAAAATCCTTTAAAAAAAATGTATGTAAAAGTCCATAACAAGAAATCCACGCCTATTTTCTAACAGTCCTTGACAAAAATCCTTTAAAAAATTCACAGTCCTTGACAAAAAAACTCCACGCCTATTTTGTAATATTCCCTGACAATAAAAATCATTTAAAAAATTCACAGTCCTTGACAAAAAAACTCCACGCCTGTTCTCTAATATTCCCTGACAATAAAAATCCTTTAAAAAATTCACAATCCTTGACAAAAAAATCCACGCCTATTTTATAATAGTCATTGAAAAAAATCATTTAAAAAATTCACAATCCTTGACAAAAAAAATCCACGCCTATTTTATAATAGTCATTGAAAAAAATCCTTTTAAAAAAATCCACGCCTATTTTATAATAGTCATTGAAAAAAATCCTTTTAAAAAAATCCACGCCTATTTTATAATAGTCATTGAAAAAAATCCTTTTAAAAAAATCCACGCCTATTTTATAATAGTCATTGAAAAAAATCCTTTTAAAAAATCCACGCCTATTTTCTAATAGTCCCTGACAATAAAAATCCTTTAAAAAATCCACGCCTATTTTCCTAATGGGACAATATTCCTTTAAAAAATCCACGCCTATTTTCTAATAGTCCCTGACAATAAAAATCCTTGAAAAATCCACGCCTATTTTTTTAATAGTCCCTGACAATAAAAAAATTCCACGCCTATTGTTTAATAGTCTTTGAAAAAATATCCTTTTAAAAAATCCACGCCTATTTTCTAATAGTCCCTGACAATAAAAATCCTTTAAAAAATCCACGCCTATTTTTTAATAGTCATTGGCAAAAAAATCCTTTTAAAAAAATCCACGCCTATTTTTTAATAGTCATTGAAAAAAATCCTTTTAAAAAAATCCACGCCTATTTTTTAATAGTCATTGAAAAAAATCCTTTTAAAAAAATCCACGCCTATTTTTTAATAGTCATTGAAAAAAATCCTTTTAAAAAAATCCACGCCTATTTTTTAATAGTGACAAAAAATGCAAATTCACGCCTAAAAAATTCTTTTAAAAAATCCACGCCTACTTTTTAAAAGGCATTGAAAAAATCCTTTCAAATAGTCCCTGACAATAAAAATCCTTTAAAACATCCACGCCTATTTTCAAATAGTCCCTGACAATAAAAATCCTTTAAAAATCCACGCCAATTTTCTAATAGTCATTGAAAAAATCCTTTAAAAAATCCACGCCAATTTTCTAATAGTCATTGAAAAAATTCTTTTAAAAATTCCACGCCTATTGTTTAATAGTCATTGAAAAAAAATCCTTTTAAAAATTCCACGCCTATTGTTTAATAGTCATTGAAAAAAAAAATCCTTTTAAAAAATCCACGCCTATTTTCTAATAGGCCCTGACAATAAAAAAAATCCACGCCTATTTTTTAATAGTCATTGAAAAAAAAAATCCTTTTAAAAAATCCACGCCTATTTTCTAATAGGCCCTGACAATAAAAAAAATCCACGCCTATTTTTTAATAGTCATTGAAAAAATCCTTTTAAAAAATCCACGCCTATTTTCTAATAGGCCCTGACAATAAAAAAAAATCCACGCCTATTTTTTAATAGTCATTGAAAAAATCCGTTTAAAAATTCCACGCCTATTGTTTAATAGTCATTGAAAAAATATGCTTTTAAAAAATCCACGCCTATTTTTTAATAGTCCCTGACAATAAAAATCCTTTAAAAAATCCACGCCTAGTTTTTAATAGTCATTGGCAAAAAAATCCCTTAAAAAAATCCACCCCTTTTTTTAATAGTCATTGGCAAAAAAATCCTTTTAAAAAAATCCACGCCTATTTTTTAATAGTCATTAAAAAAATCCGCGCCTATTTTTTAATAGTGACAAAAAATGCAAATTCACGCCTAAAAAATTCTTTTAAAAAATCTACGCCTACTTTTTAAAAGGCATTGAAAAAATCCTTTTAAAAATCCACGCCTATTTTTTAAAAGTGACAAAAAATGCAATTTCACGCCTAAAAAATCCTTTAAAAATCCACGCCTATTGCTGTAATAGTCCTTGATAACAAATCCTTTAAGAATTTACGCCTACTTTTTAATAGTCTTTGACAAAAAAATCGTTTAAAACCCCAGGTCTATTGCTGTAATAGTCCTTGTCTAAAAAAATTATTTTTTTTATACTCTTTACCACACTGTGGTACACGGTATTATGTCTTTGTGCATATGTTTGTAACAGGCAAAAGGAAACGAGATAGACACATTGTTCCTTTTGAGAATATGCATAGAATATGGCATAGCGTATTGAATTAAGCCTAGAGTAATGTCTGCCAAGTTTCGAGAAAATCGGTCCAGATTTAGATATAGCTCCCATATATAGTTTCGTCCGATTTCATGTAAATGGTGCCCAAAGTCCCTATATATCTTTCGATTTGCACGAAATTTGGCATAACATACTGAATTGGGCCTAGAATGATGTCTGCCAGGTTTCGTGAAAGTCGATCAAGATTTAGATATAGCTCCCATATATAGTTTCGTCCGATTTCATGTAAATGGTTCACCAAAGTCCCCATATACCTTCGATTTGCACGAAATTTGGCATAACGTACTGAATTGAGCCTAGAATGATGTCTGCCAAGTTTCGTACAAAATTGAGCACAGAATTACGTAGTTGCGTTTTCTAGAAGTACAGACATAGCCCAACGGATGACCTAATTATATTTGTTTGAAGTCGATTTACATACTTTTGTCCCATTGTAACAAACGAATGACATGTTTATGGATAGATCTAGGTAGATGCACATATCATATAGTCGGCCCCGTCCGACTTTACTACTTTCCTTACTGGTTTATATTTTTATATGCCATATAAAGTGGATTTTTTTTTAAATATTTTTTAAGAACCCTTTAGAGCTTAAATTTTGTTGTAAATTTTTTTTATAAGAAAATATGTACTTACAAAGAAAAAGAATTCCAAACAATTGTTGCATGTGAAACACAAACACCTTTTGGCAATCCCGTCGTACCCGAGGTGCAAACAATAAATGCAGTCCGATCAAGGCCATCTTTCAAAGCCGGTACTCTAGAAAAAAAAATAAAATAGACTACCCAAGCATAAACAAATTTTAATATAACCACACTCACTTATAATCATATGGATCAATATTATCTCCCACAAAAAATTCCATAATGCTGGGAGCTCCATCAAAATGTTTACTGATTGTATAGATTTCGGTTGCCTTCAAACCACATTCATCTAACGCCTCACGAACCTTCTCATACAATTGGCCATCGCAGAACATCATACGTGGTTTGGTCAGTGAATAGACATGTTTGATGCCATCCTTATCAAAACTGGGATCCAAAGTGCTGATACACAGTCCCGATGCCAAGGCACCAAACACCAATGGAGCTATGTAATCAGTATTGCCAGCACACAAACCAATTATATCACCTTGATGCAGCTGGAGTTTCTCGAAGCGCTTGGCCACCTGGATGGTATGTTTAGCAATTTCCAGATTTGTCATCTCATTGCCACTTTGATAACAGACCTTTAGGGCAATTTAATTTTTCTTTAATATCATTATGTAAATATTAATATATAATTAAAATTAGTAATATATTCTCTCTTATATTCTCCATTCCCTCTTATTCTCTTTTAGATTTTTAAAAAATGTTTGCCCTGTTACCAGCTCATTTAAATTCGTCATATATATATATATATATATATACATATAAAATAACTATTATTTTTTCCTTGACCTTGACTACAAATCTTGTTAGTTAGCTACGACCCATAACAGGTTCGGTAGCTTTTATCGCTTTGCCAAATGCTTAAATTTTAACGAATTAATTGTATATCCAAAAAAAATAAACAATTTCATTATAATTGCTGTTTAAAAAAATACCTGAGCAATTTGTTTCGGTTTCTCCAGCATTTTCCTAAGGGCCACAGCTGCAATTGAATCCTCTGGTCCATAGGTCATTCCAATGTTTTCCCCACTCCATATCTTGATGTTTGGATTGTAGTTAGTTTTTTGTTTTGCCATCTTTGCCGACGAACGATGCGAATGTTCTGCTTGTCAAAACCACTATTAAAATTAAAAGTTTTCTGACAGTTGTTTTTATTCTCGTGATGCGATGCAGCTGTATACATAATTATACTCTAAACCATATGGAGGCAGGGTATGTTGAATTTATCATATCTTTTGCAACATTTCGAAATATAAATAATAAAATTCTATATCGAATTTGCCATGTCACTCTGTGTGTCTGTTGACCTTTGCGATAAGGATCGCAACATTTGAGATAGAGCTACTTCTAAGATATGTGATATTGATAATGGAGATTTATCGCTTTATAGACTCCCCGTTTTTATACCCTCCACCACACTGTGGTACAGGGTATTATGTCTTTGTGCATATGTTTGTAACAGGCAAAAGGAAACGAGATAGACACATGGTTCCTTTTGAGAATATGCATAGAATCACTTTCTAAGTCGATTTATGCATGTCCGTCCGTCCGTCTGTCTGTCTGTCCATGTATTTTTGTGAGCAAAGTACAGGTCGCATTTATGATCCGAATTGGATGAAATTTGGCACAGCTCATTTGTTTGGCCCAAGGACGAACCCTATTGAAATTGGGAAAAATCGGTTCAGATTTAGATATAGCTCCCATATATATATTTAACCGATTTAATGTAAACGGTCCCTATATATCTTTTGATTTGCACGAAATTTGGTACAGCATAATGAATTAGGTCTAGAATGATGTCTGCCAAGTTTCGTGAAAATCGGTCAAGTTTCGTCCGATTTCATGTAAATAGTGCCCCAAAGTCCCTATATATCTTTCGATTTGCACGAAATTTGGCATAACGTACTGAATTAAGCCTCTAGTGGTGTCTGCCAAGTTTCGAGAATATCGGTCCAGATTTAGATATAGCTCCCATATATAGTTTCGTCCGATTTCATGTAAATGGTGCACCAAAGTCGCTATATATCTTTCGATTTGCACGAAATTTGGTACAGCCTAATCATTTAGGTCTAGAATGATGTCTGCCAAGTTTCGTGAAAATCGGTCCAGATTTAGATATAGCTCCCATATATAGTTTCGTCCGATTTCATGTAAATGGTGCACCGAAGTCGCTATATACCTTTGATTTGCACGAAATTGGGCATAACGTACTGAATTGAGTCTAGAATGATGTCTACGAAGTTTCGAGAAAATCGGTCCAGATTTAGATATAGCTCCCATATATAGTTTCGTCCGATTTCATGTAAATGGTGTCCCAAAGTCCCTGTATATCTTTTGATTTGCACGAAATTTGGCATAACGTACTGAGTTGAGCCTAGAGTGATGTCTGCCAAGTTTTGAGAAAATCGGTCCAGATTTAGATATAGCTCCCATATATAGTTTCGTCCGATTTTATGTAAATGGTGCGCCAAAGTCCCTATATATCCTTCGATTTGCACGAAATTTGGCATATTGTAATGAATTACGTCTAGAATGATGTGTGTTAAGTTTACTGAAAATCGGCCCAGATGTAGATATAGCTCCCATATATAATTTTGTCCGATTTAATGTAAATGTTGCACCAAAGTCCCTATATATATTTCGATTTGCACGAAATTTGGCATTGCGTAATGAATAAGGTCTAGAATTATGTGTGTTAAGTTTCGTGAAAATCGGTTCAGATTTAGATATAGCTCCTATATATTTTTTCTTCCGAGTATGTGTAAATTGTACACTAAAGACCCAAAGTTTGTCTGATTTCCACACAATTGGTACAAGGAACTGTAGTTACTATAATACATTTCCTTTACATTGCTTTATATAATTTTGTCCCATTGTAAGAAGCAACCCTATATCTGACCAAATGAAAACTTTAGTGTAGGTTACAGAATGACATGTTTATGGATCCATTTTCATGTTAATGGTCCTTCAAAAATTCGACGTCTGTTATGATTCATCTGTTGAATATACCCAAAGTGGTGAAGGGTATCATATAGTCGGCCCCGTCCGACTTTACTGCTTTCCTTACTGGTTTTATTTTCGGTATTTATCGAAAAAATTTAATTTTTTAATTCTCTTGTAGTGGTGGGTATAAACGTTTCGTCTCGACTCAATATGCATCTAATTAACTTGTTTTTAATGCCAAAGATAACACACGACAACAGAAATGTTCAACTAAACATTGTTAAACTTCTTCCATAGATGTGTATATAAATATGTGAATTCTAAACTATTTGGTTTGAAATTATTGTAGACTGGTGTGGCAGATATTGTTGTTCTCAGTTTTTGTTGTTCTATATCTATACGATAAGAACAGAAAATAATTTGAAAATTTAAAACTGAATATTCTAGCTTCTCTTTAAAAGAAAATCAAATTATTGTGTTGATAACTTTAGATTTTTATTTGATTAAATTTTTCTGAAGTTTGACCTTTTTAAAATTTGGCCATTACAACAATTTAAAAAATTTAAAAAATCCACAATTTAGAAAAAATCCACACCTTGCAAAAAATTCTTTAAAAATCCATATCTATAGCCGATATAGTTCTTGATAAGAAATATTTAAAAATCCTTTTACTTTAATAGTCCTTGAAAAAAATGCCTTTACAAATCCACGCCTTTTACTTTAATAGTCCTTGACAAAAATGCCTTTAAAAATCCACGCCTTTTGCTGACATAGTCCTTGACAAAAATGCCTTTAAAAATCCACGCCTTTTGCTGACATAGTCCTTGACAAAAATGCCTTTAAAAATCCACGCCTTTTACTTTGATAGTCCCTGACAAAAATGCCTTTAAAAATCCACGCCTTTTACTTTGATAGTCCCTGACAAAAATGCCTTTAAAAATCCACGCTTTTTACTTTAATAGTCCTTGACAAAAATTCCTTTAAAAATCCACGCTTTTTACTTTAATAGTTCTTGACAATAATTCCTTTAAAAATCCACGCCTTTTACTTTAATAGTCCTTGACAAAAATGCCTTTAAAAATCCACGCCTTTTACTTTAATATTCCTTGACAAAAATGCCTTTAAAAATCCACGCCTATTACTTTTATAGTCCTTGGCAAAAATACCTTTAAAAATCCACGCCTATTACTTTAATAGTCCTTGACAAAAATACCTTTGAAAATCCCCGCCTATTACTTTCATAGTCCTTGACAAAAATACCTTTAAAAATCCACGCCTATTGCTTTTATAGTCCTTGACAAAAATTCCTTTAAAAATCCACGCCTATTGCTGACATAGTCCTTGACAAAAATTCCTTTAAAAATCCACGCCTATTGCTGACATAGTCCTTGACAAAAATTCCTTTAAAAATCCACGCCTATTGCGGACATAGTCCTTGACAAAAATTCCTTTAAAAATCCACGCCTATTGCTGACATAGTCCTTGACAAAAATTCCTTTAAAAATCCACGCCTATTGCTGACATAGTCCTTGACAAAAATTCCTTTAAAAATCCACGCCTATTGCTGACATAGTCCTTGACAAAAATTCCTTTAAAAATCCACGCCTATTACTTTAATAATCCTTGACAAAATTACCTTTAAAAATCCACGCCTATTACTGACATAGTCCTTGACAAAATTACCTTTAAAAATCCACGCCTATTACTGACATAGTCCTTGACAAAAATTCCTTTAAAAATCCACGCCTATTGCTGACATAGTCCTTGACAAAATTACCTATAAAAATCCACGCCTATTACTGACATAGTCCTTGACAAAAATTCCTTTAAAAATCCACGCCTATTGCTGACATAGTCCTTGACAAAAATTCCTTTAAAAATCCACGCCAATTGCTGACATAGTCCTTGACAAAAATTTCTTTAAAAATCCACGCCTATTACTGACACAGTCCTTGACAAAAATTCCTTTAAAAATCCACGCCTATTGCTGACATAGTCCTTGACAAAAATTCCTTTAAAAATCCACGCCAATTGCTGACATAGTCCTTGACAAAAATTTCTTTAAAAATCCACGCCTATTACTGACACAGTCCTTGACAAAAATTCCTTTAAAAATCCACGCCTATTGCTGACACAGTCCTTGACAAAAATTCCTTTAAAGATCCACGCCTATTGCTGACGTAGTCCTTGACAAAAAAATCCTTAAGAAATCCACGCATATTGCTGACATAGTCCTTGACAAAAATTCCTTTAAAAATCCACGCCTATTACTGACACAGTCCTTGACAAAAATTCCTTTAAAAATCCACGCCTATTGCTGACACAGTCTTTGACAAAAATTCCTTTAAAGATCCACGCCTATTGCTGACATAGTCCTTGACAAAAAAATCCTTAAGAAATCCACGCCTATTTCTGACATACTCTTTGACAAAAAATCAAGGACTATGGTCCTTAATAAAAATTCCTTTAAAAATCCACGCCTATTGCTGACATAGTCCTTGACAAAATTCCTTTACAAATCCACGCCTATTGCTGACATAGTCCTTGACAAAATTCCTTTAAAAATCCACGCCTATTGCTGACATAGTCCTTGACAAAAATTCCTTTAAAAATCCACGCCTATTGCTGACATAGTCCTTGACAAAAATTCCTTTAAAAATCCACGCCTATTGCTGACATAGTCCTTGACAAAAATTCCTTTAAAAATCCACGCCTATTGCTGACATAGTCCTTGACAAAAATTCCTTTAAAAATCCACGCCTATTGCTGACATAGTCCTTGACAAAAATTCCTTTAAAAATCCACGCCTATTGCTGACATAGTCCTTGACAAAAATTCCTTTAAAAATCCACGCCTATTGCTGACATAGTCCTTGACAAAAATTCCTTTAAAAATCCACGCCTATTGCTGACATAGTCCTTGACAAAAATTCCTTTAAAAATCCACGCCTATTGCTGACATAGTCCTTGACAAAAATTCCTTTAAAAATCCACGCCTATTGCTTGACATAGTCCTTGACAAAAAAATCCTTAAAAATCCACGCCTATTTCTGACATACTCTTTGACAAAAAATCAAGGACTATGGACCTAAATAAAAATTCCTTTAAAAATCCACGCCTATTGCTGACATAGTCCTTGACAAAATTCCTTTAAAAATCCACGCCTATTGCTGACATAGTCCTTGACAAAATTCCTTTAAAAATCCACGCCTATTGCTGACATAGTCCTTGACAAAAATTCCTTTAAAAATCCACGCCTATTTTTGTAATAGTCCTTGACAAAAAATTCCTTTAAAAATCCACGCCTATTGTTGACATAGTCCTTGACAAAAATTCCTTTAAAAATCCACGCCTATTGCTGATATACTCCTTGACAAAAATTCCTTTAAAAATCCACGCCTTTTACTTTAATAGTCCTTGACAAAAATTCCTTTAAAAATCCACGCCTATTGCTGACATAGTCCTTGACAAAAATTCCTTTAAAAATCCACGCCTATTTTTGTAATAGTCCTTCACAAAAATTCCTTTAAAAATCCACGCCTATTGCTGACATAGTCCTTGACAAAAATTCCTTTAAAAATCCACGCCTATTGCTGACATAGTCCTTGACAAAAATTCCTTTAAAAATCCACGCCTATTGCTGACATAGTCCTTGACAAAAATTCCTTTAAAAATCCACGCCTATTGCTGACATAGTCCTTGACAAAAATTCCTTTAAAAATCCACGCCTATTGCTGACATAGTCCTTGACAAAAATTCCTTTAAAAATCCACGCCTATTGCTGACATAGTCCTTGACAAAAATTCCTTTAAAAATCCACGCCTATTGCTGACATAGTCCTTGACAAAATATTCCTTTAAAAATTACAAAATACCTTACTGCAATAGTCCTTGGAATAATTAGATTAATAATTCAATTTTTTTATTAAAATATTTAATTTAAAAAAGTTTATACATTTATTTTATAATTACAATAAAAATCTACAATTTTATTTAATCACTTCCATTCTTTTCCTTCCACAACTTTTCACACATTTCCGCCACCTTACGACGAATGACTTTACCCGATGGTGTTTCAGGGAAGCTCTCCACAAAATAAACACCACCACGTAAATGTTCAAAATCTTGCATGCGATCCACAACATATTGATAGATCTCCGATTCAGAGATTTCACTATCCGGACGCTTTATAACACAGGCAGCTGGCAAGAAACCATGTACACTATGAGGAATACCCACGACACAAACATCAGCCACCTGAGGCAATTCACTGATGACGAGTTCAATGTCCGTGGGGGAGAAATGGAAATTATTATATTTACGAATATCACATTTACGATCGACCAAAAAGAGGACACCCTCATCATTGAAATAACCAACATCTCCGGTGTAGATCCAACCATCAGCATCATATTTTTCTTTGGTCGCCGTGGGGTTACCATAATAACCCTTCCAGGGTAATGGTGTGCGTACGCAAAGCTCACCGGTTTCATTGGGTCCCAATGAATTGCCATCATCATCGATAATTCTAACTTCAACATTGGCAACCAACGTTCCCACCGGACTATTGGGCACACTTGGAGTTACAGCAATACCGGAAGTTTCACTGGAACCATAACCGACCACACACCAAGCATTTGGAGCATATTTCCTGAATTTCTCTGTTAGGGCATATGAAACTGCACTACCACCGATCATACAAAAACTTAAACTGGACAAATCGGCCTGGGCAATTTTGTCCGAGGACACAGCCAAGGCGATCTGCGATGGTGGAACCATGATTATGTTGACCTTGTAGCGTTGTACAATGTCAAAGAAATCGTCGACATTAAAGGCTTTTGTGGAAATAATGCGTCTGGCATTACCCAATGTGCCTTGAATCAGTGTAAATAGACCGGACACCCAATAAAGGGTACTAAAGCAGAGGAAAGTATTGCCGTTAAAGTTGTCACTGCAAGGGGAGAGAAATACAAAATTATTTAAAAAAATATAAAAAAAACACTTCTTCTTGCATTAAAACCAAATACTTACACAGCATAGGTATTGAACACAAAAGTGGCATGTGAGATACAGACACCTTTCGGTAAACCGGTTGTACCCGAGGTGCAGACAATGAAGGCACTTTGGTGGACACCCTCCTTCAATGGCGGTACTCTAAAGCAACGAAATATATATTATTTAAAATTGAACGTAAGAAAACATCCAATCACATACCTAAACTCACGAGGATCCACACTGTCATCTTCGAAAAATTCCATAATAGATGGAACTCCCTCAATATGATCACACATTGTATATATTTTAGTTGCCGTCAAACCGCACTCATCCAGAGCTTCACGAACCTTCTCATACAATTGACCATCGCAGAACATCATACGTGGTTTGGTAAGTGAATAGACATGTTTGATGCCATCCTTATCAAAACTGGGATCCAAGGTGCTAATACACAGACCCGATGCCAAGGCACCAAACACCAATGGAGCAATGTAATCAGTGTTGCTGGCACACAGACCGATCATATCACATTGTTGCAGCTGGAGTTTTTCAAAGTATTTGGCCACCTGGACGGTACGTTTAGCAATTTCCATATTTGTCAGTTCATTGCCAGTTTGATAGCAAACCTGAAATTGGGAAATACGATTTTGAAATTGGTTTTTTTTTCTATAAAATACCGAAATATCCTTTCTATAGAAGACTGAAAGAAGTAGTAGTAATCATGGCGAAAAAAAATCCACGCCTATTTGTGTAATAGTCATTGGCAAAAATTCCTTTAAAAATTCACGCCTATTGTTGACATAGTCCTTGACAAAAAATTCCTTTAAAAATCCCCGCCTATTTTTGTAATAGTCCATGACAAAAAATTCCTTTAAAAATCCACGCCTATTGTTGACATAGTCCTTGACAAAAAATTCCTTTAAAAATCCACGCCTATTTTTGTAATAGTCCTTGACAAAAAATTCCTTTAAAAATCCACGCCTATTTTTGTAATAGTCCTTGACAAAAAATTCCTTTAAAAATCCACGCCTATTGTTGACATAGTCCTTGACAAAAATTTCCTTTAAAAATCCACGCCTATTGTTGACATAGTCCTTGACAAAAATTCCTTTAAAAATCCACGCCTATTGTTGACATAGTCCTTGACAAAAATTTCCTTTAAAAATCCACGCCTATTGTTGACATAGTCCTTGACAAAAATTCCTTTAAAAATCCACGCCTATTGTTGACATAGTCCTTGACAAAAATTTCCTTTAAAAATTCACGCCTATTGTTGACATAGTCCTTGACAAAAATTCCTTAATTCCATTTTTCAACCCAATTGACTTTAATTTGGCCTTCTAGGTCCTTGACGTATGGAAAAATCTCGTAAATTAAAACCAATTTCGAAGATAGGACCACACCTTCTGGTATATTCGCCACAAAATGTTGAAATTGTTAGTATCTGAATATTTGATAGGATCAGTTGATAGATAGCCTATTCACGTCATGCACCTGTCCCCCTTGTCAGCTTTTACCCCTTGATTTTATATTTTTGCAATGATTTGACGTTTTCTTCACGGTGGCCATTATGAAAAAAGAACGACCACCTGCGAACTTATCATCGTTTCTTGGACTTGTTTATCTGTCTCGCGATCTGTTGATAATCTATTAGTTCGACCGAACAACACACGTTTTTTTTAGTTAGTAGCTAACGAAACGCTTTTGCTCAGCTGATGTTCGATAAGTAGAGATAAGCGTTGTTGTTGTTGGGCTATCACGGAAATATACTTTCTTTAAAATCACATAAATAATAGTTTTCTTTTTTGGAATTATTAATTGTTGTTGTTGTTTTTTAGTTTTGGCACTTTTTCAAAGTTTTGTTTTCCCTTTTTTCACATGGATTTTAAAATTGTAGCCGATATTGTTATATTCGTATATAAAAATGACACGTTGTTTTGTTTACCTGCCCAATGTTGTCGGGATTCTCTAGTAGTTTTTTTAATACCAACGAAGCAATTGAATCCTCTGGATTATAATTGTATTCAGTTTTTTCGCCGCGCCATATTTTTGTTTCAGGATCATAAAAGGTTTTGAAAACAGATATATCCACTGAATCCGACATAATTTTTTTTTGGCAATGAACCGTACGCTATGCTGGCTAAAGTCGCACTATTCGCTGTTAGCTGTGATACTCATTGATATTACCAAAAAATTTACACAATGCTACAGTAATATTTTTTTTATTCTTTTCAAATAGATAAGGAAAATATAGAGTTTGTGGAAAAAATCCTATCAAAAAATGTTCAATATATATGTATACATTAGTTTGGGGATTTCTGGAGTTGGATTTATTTTTGCCCCAAACTGATATTTAAATGAGCTCTTTCTCACAAATGCTCACGGCGAGAATTCGAATGTTTTTAATTTATCGTGAATGATTGTACGAAAAATTCACGAACCATAAAATTTCGTCGTCGATTCATTCATTCGCGAGCATTTGTTGCTGAAGAACATTCTTTTGTAAAACTCAAAAAAACAAATGTTCGCGAATGCTCGCGAATTCTCGGGAGCACTGTTAAAAACAACCACAAACACAAACAATGAAAGAATGTGTGTGTGTGGCAGAAAGTGTGTGGAATAACAAAACACATGTCCAACAACAATTGAGTTCACGAACGATTGTTGTTGCTGTTTTGAGCATTCGCCAGTATTCGGGAATATTGGTTTTCATTCGTGTGAGAATGTCAGAAAGAATTTCAACCACCAAACGAAACGAACGATCGTTGTTGTGTGCTCTCATTCGTTGGTTATGTGTGTGCGAACATTCTTTGGTGAATGTTCGTTTGGTAAAGAATTTGTCGCCATAAATTTATTCGTAAAATGAGCACAAAACATAAAGAATGTTTTTTGAATCATTCGCGAGCGAATTTTTGCGAACCCTGCTTTATGGTGAGGGAAAACATGCACATGATTCATTTTGGGGCACACTCATGCCTTGGATGGTCCTATATGTATGCTAATAAAAGAGTAACGTAATTGGCTGACTTACTGACTGACTTAACGATTTATCAACGCCCAGACGAAGCGGCTGAAGCTTGAATCTTGAGGTTCACTCTTGGTACAAAAGTGACAGATAAGGCTGGGAAATCCGTACTAGAAAGGTGCAAAAAGTACTAAATGTGGTACAATTTGAGTTTGGCGAACCGGTGCAGCTTGAACATTGAAATTTGACTTGAGGATCATTGATGGAATGTAGAATAGCTAAAGGGTTTTTGGGATACTCGCACTATAGGTGTCCGAAAATTTTTAAAATGTACTAGATTTGATACAATTTAGTGGCCTATGAATGGATTGAGCTAAAAACTTGAAATTTGGAATGCGATTTAAGGTTGAGGAGTAAGGTCGATATTAGCAGGTGGTTTCGGAATCGTGTACTCATGTATACGAAAAGTACTATACGGTACTATTTTTGGTACAATTTTTAATTGGAGGTACAAACGGAGCTGGAATTCTCAGATATTTAGTAAGTCTTGTAAATTCCTACTAATGTAAACTAAATTTTGTACAATTTAAATTTTAGGTTAACCGATGTATGGAGTTTTGGAAATTTGTACTAAATGGTACCAAATGCGGTTTGGTTGAACCGATTGAGCTGGAATTTTGAAATTTGACGTTCGGATCACTGTTGGGGTGTAGTATTGGGCTTTGTGTGGAAAGTTTTGAAAAATCGTACCAACGTGTACTAAATTTGGTACAATTTAAATTTTTATGTGAACCAATAGAGCTGTAAGATTGGGGTATGAATGTAGTTTTGGAAATTAATACTTATACTTATGGGTACTTAATTGTACTAAATATGGTGCAATTTAAATTTGGGGTGAACTGAAAGAGCAGGGATCCTAAAATTTGATGTTAGGATCATTGTTGGGGTGTAGGATTGGACTATGGAGAAAGTATTGGAAATTTGTACTAATGTGTACTAAATGGTACCAAATTTGGATTTGGGTGAACCGATAGACAGTTTTGAAATTTGACGTTCGGATCACTGTTGGAGTGTAAGATTTGGCTTTGTAGGAAGTTTTGGAAATTCACACTAATGTGTACTATATTTGGATTTTGGTGAACCGATAGAGCTGGAATCTTGAAATTTGACGTTCGGATCACTGTTGGAGGTTAAGATTGTGCTTTGTGGAAAATTTTGGAAATTCGTACTAATGTGTACAAAATGGTACCAAATGTGGATTTGAGTTAACCGATAGAGCTGGAACACTGAAATTTGGAAATAGGGTTACAGTTGGAGAGTAAGATTGGGGTATCGATGTAGTTTGAAATTTATACTTATGGGTACTTAATTGTACTAAATATGGTGCAGTTTGAATTTTGGGTGAACTAATAGAGCTGGGACCCTGAAATTTGGAGTTAGGATCATTGTTGGAATGTACGATTGAGCTATGTCAAAAGTTTTGGAAATTCGCACTATTGTGTACTAAATGGTACCAAATTTGATTTTAGGATCACTGTTGGGGTGTTGGATTTGGTTTTGTTGGAAGTTTTGGAAATTCGTACTGTGTACTTAATTTTGTACAATTTACAGTTGGAATCCTGAAATTTGGATTTAGGGTTACTGTTGGGGTGTAGGATTGGGCTTTGTAGAGAGTTTTGAATATTTGTACTAATGTGTACAAAATTGTACCATATGTGGATTTGAGCGAACCCATAGAGTTATAGCCTAGACAGACGACTGCCTTAATTTGAATTAACAGCCTTAATTCAAATTAACTTGAAGTGTAGCTGATTTTAATTGAAATTAAATTGAATTTATACTGAATTAACCAATTTCAATATGGAAGCAAAATCAATTAATTGTTGTATTTGGTTGTATACAAAAATAAAAATTTAATATCAGTGATTTCAGTTTTTGGTACTATTTACAAAATATTTACATAGTTAACCGTTAATTTCAAATGTTTAAAACAGAGTTGCATTTTAGTATTTAAATGATCAATAAAACGTATGTTTTTATACTATAGTAATTAAAATATGAATAAGACTAGAGTTGATCCGCTTCAGTACTTAATTTTGTACAATTTACAGCTGGAATCCTGAAATTCGGAGTTAGGGTTACTGTTGGGGTGTAGGATTGGGCTTTGTAGAGAGTTTTGAATATTGGTACTAAAGTGTACAAAATTGTACCATATGTGGAAGTTATGGAAATGTCTGCTAATGTGTACTAAGTGACATTAAATTTGGTACAATTCGGATTAAAAGTCATAAATAGAATGTGATGGAAATTTGCACATATGTGTGCTAAATGGTACTAAGTTTGATACAAATTGGATGTAGGTGAACCGATCGAATCCTGAAATTTGGAATTAAGAGTGGGGTATGTGGGAAGTATTGGAAATTCGTATTTATGATTGTTAAAGTAAGTAGTTATGGCAATTTATATTAATATTTACTAACTGGTGCTTAAATTCGATTTGGGTGAAGCTATATTTGAAATTTGGATTTTTTACAATAATTATTAGAAAAGTACAAGGGGTAAAAAATTACACCAAATTTTATATAGAGCTGGAATTCTATTGCAGTCACAATTGGTGTGTAGGGTTGAGATGTGGACGTAGTTTTGAAAAAAGTTACTATAAGAGAGCATTGGTAGTAAAAGGCTTTAAAATGTTAATAATGGTCGGTATTGGATTTTGAATACTTATCACATTCGCGAACGAAGTAGCGGGTATATGATATTTGTTAATTATTATTTTTAAGTTCGTCTATGTTAATTATTTTAAAAATTAGTAAAAACTCAAATTTATCTTTTCCAGGTATATTATGAACATTTTAAACAAAAAAAATCGAATCTCTAGTCTTAAAACAGTCGACTAGTATTATACCCCCGCAAATAATAAAAGAGTGCCATATTATCATTCTCTTAGATTTTATCACACATTTCGAACAAATTGTTGCAATTGATAAGAAATTGAAAGTAAATTTAAATTCATGCTTGGTAAGCATTTTTTCAGTTATCATGGCTAATGAAAATACGTATTCATATTATCACAAATTTGAAAATTCACATATTTATTATATTTGGCGATCAGTTCATAATAATGACGTATAATTAACTGTCTATGGCCGTATAATGAATTTCATATAGTATCAATAATTAAATAAAGCGAGATAATCTAACTAATTGTACAACACCACTGTAAAGGTTGAGTTTAGAAAAGAAACAAAAAAACTACAAGCGATAAAGGTGTAAATACCTGATGAAGGAATTGCTGTTGCCACGTGAGAATCGTGTGTGAACAGATAACAAAAAATTCGGTCTCATAAATAGACCTTGAAAAAATTAAAAACTTTCAAAAATAGACATTAAAGAAAAAGTTCTTTCTAAAAATATATGAAGAGATATAAACCAATATTTTGGGAAACTCCATGTCTTTTTAAATATACCTTAAAAATATTTGAAAGAAATACGCATATATAGAGAACTTGGAAAAAATCCAACTTTATGAAGTGATTACAATTTTTTTTAAATAATTAGAAAAATATATATAGATCATATCGTAGATTGGACATTCCATTCACATCATATAACGTCATTTAAGTCTCAATTTGATACCATGCACAGTGGGCGATTGGGCCTCGTTAGCGGCATTTAATTAATAACTTCTAAACGAAAAATTATATCTTTAGCCATTTTTCACAGCTCAGAAAAAAGTCATAGAATTTTTTAAGAAAAAAAAATGTGTTTTTTTTAATTTTTTAAATTATTTTTTTTTTTTTATTTTTACATTTTTTTTAAATTCAATTTTTTTAACTTCAATAAACACATTTTATAAATCAAAATTATTTTCGGAATCAGAATCAGGCATATCTAGATGCTCCCATAAAAGCAATCTCTTAACATCATCGTCCATATTAATATATTTGCAGACGAAATTGAAGACCCATTTGATAATGAACATATCAAAGGGTCTGACGAAACTAATAAAGCATTTATGATATCTTTGATTGTATTTTTCCTGGAATTTTTTCTTGTATTGCTCTCGCGTATGTTTCAATAGTCCTTGTTCCTGGCTTGAATAGCTTCTTCGGATATCATACAAATCGGAAGGGAAAATGGTTTATTATATCTTCTCCACGCTTTAACAGTTTCCAATGCGTAAGATCCGATTGCGACCGAATTTATGTCGTATACACAAGCCAATGCTCGTAAGACTACGCTAAATCGATATATTAAATCATACCTTACTACTGTTATACAAACAGCCAAATTTGGTTGTTGGAAAAACCTCCTTGTAGTGTTTCCGTTGTTCGTGCTGCCAGTACCAGCCATTGGTATATCCACCAACAAATGCATTTCTTTCCTTAGCTTCTGCTGAATACTTCTTTTATTTTGTTCGACGACATCCTTGTGGATACTTGATAAGCCATATTCAAATAGGTTTCCCTTAAAAGGAAAGCTTTTCACCAAATTTAGATCGTTCATATTTTTGGGAGTTGCGCTACAGATTCCACATGTTTGCGAAGCCGTTTTCGATATGGCACTGACATTGGTGATCAATTCTTAAGGTACTCACAAATGTTGGAAAAATATTTAATATTTAGCTTTTAATGTTTTCAATTTCTCTGCGAGACAAGTCTGCCGATTCTTTCTCGCAAAGTAATTTAATGGGTCAATAATATCGGGTAGAAGAAGGCCGATTGTTTTTCTATAAAACGGTAGGTCCTTTCTGCACCATCAATGGTACCATACAAAATTCGGCGTTTTGCTCTTTAGCGGCTCTCTTTGACAAATTCCAAGTGTACTTGGTATATCCAACACCTACAAATATGCCATACTAAAAAATTACCCGTTTTGCTACCGAAATTGTTCCAAAAAATTGCCATGACTTAAAGGTTAGCAGGTAATAACAGTTTATATTACACATTTTGGAGGCACAATGGCTCATACTTCCTGCTAAAAAAAGAGTTAGACCGAATCCGTGCGAATTTTGCAAGTTATACTCCACGAACGACAGCTGCGTGCTATAGCGGGCTAGTTGTTAATACACTTAATTACCACTACGTCTTATGAACAGCACATTTATAGACCGGCCACAAACACAGATTTTTTATTTAATACATACCTTGAAGTTAATAAAAAGCCACACTTTTAATAAAACAAGTAAAAATTTTAAATTTTCAAGGTGGTCAAACCGCAGATATTGCATTTAATATATTGTTACTCACATGAACATTTTAAAATGTACAAGGGTGCAAAAATTCGCTCGCGAAAAATACATTATTTTTGTAAATTTCGACAAATTCTTTACCAAACAAGCATTCGAGCTAACAAACGAAATCAATGCGCACAACAATTGTCCATTCCATTGTATATATGTCAAATAAATCATCATAGAGTAGGATAACCCGGCAAACAGTTCTAATGTAAATGCCGTTTAAGTAAGCCTTTTATTTTGAAAACATATATTGTATATTTTTATTTATATTAAGAAACTGTATTTATTTATAAAAAAATGTATTCACTTTTTCCGAGATGACTTATATTAACTTATTACGAATCGTTTTCAACAGCGTAAATTTCTCACCACTACATTCGCCGTGAACATCATCCAAACTCAAATCGAATAATGCCATACCACCCAAATTGTGGCTCTTGGCATACAGAGCTTTTTCGCCAATACTTGGTACATTTTCATATGTTATCAGGAGGCCAGATGAACCCTTAACCTGTGGAGCACGATGGGCATAATTGCCAAGGGTCTTATCTTCGAATTTAATCATAGTTTTGATATTATTGCAAACTTCGGGCCAACTTAAAAGACCATTACGGCGAGTTTTTAAATCGCCAGCAGCTGGACCATCTAATGATGAGGTAATGGGCATTTTATCCGATTTCAATAATTTCTTAAATTGCCACGTACGACCATGGGCAGCAACGCCAATATTCAATTTGTCCGCAGCGGCACCTTGACGCAGCCAATAGCTTACTTGGCTATCCACATTGTTATAGGGATTGCGTAGTTTATTCGCTGGCAATGGTTGCAGTGGAGCCAAATAGTCAGCCTGCTTTGGAGTGCGTTGTGGGGTGCTGTAATCGAATGTGGCCAATGTTACAAAATCCAAATTGCCCATTATAACGGGAATATTGAAATAACCTGGAATAATGAAAATATTAAATTGTACCTATCCTCCAATCGAAATATGTGTGTATGCGACTTACGGCTTGCATTGACATTGGGCAAAACGGTTAAAGACAATAGCAGATTGCTACTCCTAAGGGCCTGTTTCAAATCACCAATCAATTGGGTAACCTGAATTCTACGTTCCGCAACTGATACCAACTTCTTTTGACTTTTACCCCCTTCTAAATTACTGATCACTTTATCCTTGGCAGCTGAGTAAACTTTATTGAATAGAGACTCCTTCATCACTGGCTTATCCTCTGTAAATTGATAGGCCAAATCTAAACCATCAAACTGATAATTACGCACAAAGCCCAATGCTGAATTGATGAAGGCACGCTGTTGATCACGATTACTCTCCAAGAGTCGCATATATTTGTCACGATTCTTTGTGTCCATGTTGCCACCCAAACTTAGAAGGAATTTCACATGGGGGAATCTCTTCTTTAAGTAATTAACTTGTTGGAACAGCGGTAATTGACGTTTATCACCCGGAACCAGCTCAAAGGTGGAAGCTCTCATGGCAGCATAACCATAGACAATGTGTGTACATAGTTGTAGTGAGATTTCCAAGTCTTGGGTGGTGAAATTTGCTGGACCTTATACGGAGTTTACAAAAATTAAATATTCTTTATTCTTTTAAAATTTCTTACATTAGTCATGATGAATTATCCTACCTGTTCTCATTACACTGGATGTATCATAATAACAGATTACATTGTGGGTTTTAGCCGCAGCCAGTTGATTGAGGGTCAATGCCAAGGCCCCCAATATGAATATTAACTTCATTTTATAGCCGATATTTTCTCTCTTTATAATTTACCGTATAACGACTTTGCGAATGTTTTAAGGCAAATGCAGTCCGATTTGAAAAAATCAACTCAATTTATAGGCATGCTTAGAACCATTTTTTTCCAATTTGTCATACGTTTTAAATTTAGGTGGTCAAACCGCAGATATTGCATTTAATATATTGTTACTCACATGAACATTTTAAAATGTACGGCCTTAGTCAGGGTGCGCAAAAATTCGCTCGCGAATGATTCAAAATACATTCTTTTCGTTTTGTGCTCATTTAAGGAGTGAATTTATGGCGACAAATTCTTTACCAAACGAGCATTCGCCAAAGAATTTTCGCACACACATAACAAACGAGTGAGAGCACAATACAACGTTCGTTCGTTTCGTTTGGTGGTTGAAATTCTTTCTGACATTCTCTCACGAATGAAAACAAACATTCCCGAATTATCACGAATGCTCAAAACGGTAACAAGAAACGTTCGTGAACTCAATAGTTGTTGGACATGTCTTTTGTTATTCCACACACTTTCTGCTACACACACATTATTTCGTTGTTTGTGTGTGTGTGTTTTATGATATTTTTGTTGTTTTTAACAGTGCTCGCGAGCATTTGGGAATACTTGTTTTTTGAGTTTTTCAAAAGAATGTTCTTCAGCAACAAATGCTCAAGAAAGGATGAATCGACGACGCTTGCAGAGAAATTTTATCGTTCGTGAATTTTTCGTACAATGCGAATATTCGCATTCATTGTAACGAATTCTCGCCCGTGAGCATTCGTGAGAAAGAGCGTATTTTAAACATTCTTCGCACCCTGGTCTTAGTTGACACGAATTATTACAAGTGAAAACGTCGTTAAGGTCGGCAAGGTCCAACTTTTTATAGAACGCGTTTAGACTACTCAATTTCGATTTCAAGCTGTTATTTGGTACTTTACCTTTTTAGAATAGTCCCCATATAACGGTACAATAGCATTCAGGAAAAAATTTTTCAGAGTTTTGGGAAGAAATTTTATTATAACAAGAGTTTGGTGCTCTTATCTAGGCTCTCTCACGACGATGCCGAGTAATCACCCCTCAGAACTCTTTTCTCATGAGACAGAGACCTCTGATGATAACCATGGTCTGTAAATAAGGTCACACAGGGAGACCAGCAGGCTATCTGCGCCACTCAAATTTGCTGTCAAAATGCATTATTGTGAATTGACTTCCATTATGAAAACGTCGAAATTTTTGACATTAGTCTTGAGAAAAAACAGCAGTTTCCCGATTTCGATTGCTACCTGGGTGAACTTATTAATAGATCTTGATGATAACCTTGTGGCGAAAATTTGAAGAGATCAAGAGTTGCTAACGAAATCGATGGAAACATCATGAAGGAAGTTTTCCTCATCAGTATTCTCTCGCGACACAGAAGCTTAAGGCGCGTTTAGACTACAGTTTTTATCGTAATAAAGCGCATTAACTCGTTTCCATTGCTAAATCGAAAAAAAATATATATCTATTTGGCATACAAATGTAATCCGCTCCATATCTGGATTTGCTCGAAATCTCATGACAAATCAAGATAAATTCAAATATAATGCGGCATTTCGATTAAAACTTTTTACGGGTTTTACCTACTTTATGAGAATTTATTTGACATGTATGCAATGAAATTGACAATTTAAACCCAATGGGTTAACGAAATCCGGTACAATGTAAACGTACTATAACCTTACTTTTGCAGCAAAAAATATAATCCTATTTTTAATAATATAACTCATGGTACAATTAAAGCGGATTTACATATAACATTTGATCATGATTAAAGGACGAATCAGGGTTTATTTTCTTAATCCGGCTAAATTTACCATGATTTACCATACAAAATTAAATCATCGTACGGCATGGTTTATTTTAAATCATGATACTACTGAGATGCAATGCGGTTTTTGAGCTAAAAAATACAAATCTCTCACAATGTACCAAAATTTGCAACTGTTTTCACATGCTGTTTGTTTTTAAATTTAACGGTTACCAAATACAAAAAATAAATAACAATTATTTATAGAAATTTTGTGTTTTTCATTGTTTTTTTTTATAATTTCCAAACGATCACATCATTGCAAAAACATTTCCATTGTTGTAATTCTTCGTTTCATGTTCAAATTGCAAACAAATTTTTTGCAGCAAATTTATAATTTTGTATGTATACTAACAAACATCAGCTGATCCGTATTTAGATCACGATTAATGGTATGTGTAAACAATTAGGTTGTATTTCTGGATTTCGTTAATCGAGTCGATTTAAAATCGTATATGTAAATCTACTTTTAGGCAAGGTACGCTATATTTTGTTAACAAAGAGAAATACACCTCTACCCTATGGGCTAAAATGTCAGAATGAATAAAAATAAATGCAACAAGTCGTTCTGTTCATTTGACATATTTTTCAACATTTTTGTCATGACGCAATAAATAGGTAGTCCATTTAGGACAGCTGATGTCTCGATTAACTGTCATCGTGGGTAATTTCTACTTGAATTCGATGTACAATGTTGCCAACCATGTGAAATATTATAAGGAAAATTTTGACAGAAGGTCTAGACAAAAACAAAGGTTCTTGTTTTGATACATCACCTTATTATTGCATCATGATTTTTGTAAAGAACGATTTCCAAAATACTCTTTCGATGTAAATGTATCAAAAGTTTAAATACCATGACATAATAGACCGTTTACATTGCACCGGATTTATTTAATCCAGTAGATCCATGGTACAATTATACAAGGCAAAAGCGGATTTACATATAACATTTAATCATGATTAGCAGGGTTTATTTTCTTAATTAGGCTGAATTTATCATTATTTATCATACAAATTTAAATCATTGTGCTGCAGGGTTTATTTGAAATCATGATACTAATGAGATGCAACGTTGTTCTTGTACGAAACAATACAACTCTCCCACACTGTACCAACATTTGCAACTGTTTACACATATCGCATGTTGTTATATTTAACGGTTGCCAAATGCAAAAAATGAAAAACTAAAATTATTTATAAAATGTTTGTGTTTTAGGTGTTTTTTTTTACAAAAATATTTCCATTGTTGTACTTTTTCTTTTCATTTCAAACTGCAAACAAATATTTTTGGCGCCACTTCATAATTTTGTAGATATACTAACAAATATCAGCTGATCGACATTTAGATCATGATTCAAGGTATGTGTAAACAATTAGTGTGTATTTCTGGATTTCTTTAATCGAGTCGATTTTAAAACGTATATGTAAATATGCTTTAAGGTAGTTAGTTAGTTAGTTTGAAAAGAGGGGTGGTTTAAACCACCACATGTCCATTATGGGACATACACTTAAGCCATAGGAGGCCTGTTGTGCGCTCTAGGAAGGAAAGGTATTTAGATTGGAATTATTCTTAAATTTTTTGTTTGGTCTCCCTAATCTTCTAGGAATTCTGTGTTTTTACAGAAGTACTTTAGTATTGTCCATTCACACCACCTTAGGTCATTAAGTTCAGGAATAGTGTCGTTTTTCAAGAATTGGGTTCGAATGCATGCAAAAGCCGGGCAGTGGCATAGGAAACGTTCCAACGTTTCGTTGTCTTCCCCACACGCTCTGCACCTGCTGCTTCCCGAACACCCAATCTTGTGTAAATGTGACTGCAGGTTAAGATGTCCTGTGAGAATGCCTATCAGTCTGCTTAGTTCTTTCTTGTTTAGCGTAAGTATTTGTTCAGTCTTATTTGGGTCTCCCCATAAGATTTTTGTGTTTTTTCCAATCCTCTCGTTATTCCAGAGTGTTTTGTGCGCCTCTTTCGCCCATGACCTCATTTCTAGACGTGAAGCGATAAAAGGTTTTGCACTGTTTACATCTATGTTGATTAGGCCCGTAGCACGTCTGGCGAGTTGGTTGGCTATCTCGTTTCCAATGACTCCAGAGTGACCCGGTGCCCATATTATACGTACAAGACCGTGTCGTAAGAAATTGTTTATTGTTTTTATGCATTCCAGTATAGTTTTTGATGTAACTGTTTTGGATGTTATTGCATTAATATCATGTTTACTATCTGTCATGATATTTATGTTATTATGCCCAGAGTTAGAGCTTAACCATCTTAGACACTCCGTTATAGCTTGAACCTCCGCCTGTAGGATCGTGTTGTGATCTGGCAGGCGAAGTGAGATTTCAGTCCCCGATTCTTCAATAAAAAGTCCCAGTCCCGTCTTTCCCGGAGCCATCCGTGTAACAACAGTTCCCCGGAGGCATATGTGCTAGTGTTCCGCTGCTCCATGAGTCTCTGTCCGGTATCAGGATTTCACACAATGTGATTACTCTTGTTTCAGGTATTCGATCTGACTCAAAGTGGTTAATTGTATCCGATCGTAGCCTGTAGTATATTTTCGTGCTTTAAGGTAACTTTTGTCAGAAAGTAGAAAATAAACCTCTACCTTATGGGCAATAATGTCAGAATCAGAGCACAATAAATATGTAGTCCATTTAGCGCAGCTGATGTATCGATTAACTGTCAAAGTAGATAATTTCTACTTGCATTCGATGTGCAATGTTGCCAACCACGTTAAATATTATATGGAAAATTTTGACAGATAATGTTTTTGTTTTGATACATCTATTATACCGTGTATATGACTTTGGCATAACAAGCTTGAGAAAAATTTTGTTATTTTTTTACAAAATAGCTGATTAAATAGCATCTGATGGTACAAGAAAATTCTTACTGAGTAAATTTTTCCTTGTAAGAATTTGCATATACAGTATTTTTCGGTTAATTGCACATCAAAATTTGCACAAATTTTTGTTCAATTAACCGAGGAACCAATTATCCGAACCCGCTTACTATGAAATGAAATATTTTTGACCCATCATGTGGTTCAATTAAGCGTGGAAACCAATTAACCGTAGGGTCAATTAACCGAAAAATACTGTACTCAGTAACACAACTGTCAAATCTGCTCTGGGTAAACGGACAACATTTTGTAATAATTTGTACAAATTATTGAGTAGATGATCTAAACGATACTTGGCGTTTCATTTTATTAAATCCACTTAAACGGGGTTAACCTACTTTATGAGGATTTATTTGACATATATGCAAAGGAATTGACAATTGAAACCCACCGAATTAACGAAATCCAGTTAAATGTAAACGTTTTATATATTCTTTGTTGCATACATATGTAAATGTACTATAAATAACAATTTCCATAATCCTCAGTCGATGTAAATGTATCATAATATTAAATACAACGAATGATCTATTCAGTTAATATTTCAGTGATTAGTGATTATTTTTTTTCTATTTCTATATGAAAATATAATTGTGGTTGTACACTTTCAATGCAATGCATTACACCTTTATTTATAAACTTAATTGTAATTTTGTCATGAGTAATTCAATTTTTAATACAAACAATTACTGTACTTTTTGCTTTCAATACAGTTAGTTGATAGTTATTAGTAGTATTATAGAATTTATTAAATTGTCAATTATGACGTTGAAAACCTTTTTAGTTTTCATATATTATATATCCTGTGACATCACATGGTGTTATAAATTAAATATGACATGTTATTATGATACGTTTAGTATCCAACGTTCAGGTAAGTTACACTATTGGTCTGTTCCCGTACTGCAAGAATCTACTACTTTTTACTGCGATAACGAATTTTCCTTTATGATATCGAAGAAAATATTAAAATCTATAATTAAGAACTAATAAACTTGTTCTTGTCTTATAACATAAATTTTAATTAATATCCTGCTCCAGAACCTGCAAGAATGTACTACGATAACAAATTTTCCTTGATGATATTAGAAAAAGTAGAAATAATTAGTAGATTCTTGCAGTATAGGAACAGACCATATGTTGAAATATATCCAAATTGAATTGAAAATGATTTACCGCATTCGTCTGGAATTAATTACTTTGTTATGGATGAAACAAACATTTTATGGTATTCTAAACCGGTGTTTGGGAAGAAATCATAACCTTTCGCGTTTTAGTTGTGTGTTTGAAGAAAAAATGTCAAATAAACATTACAACCTGTTGCTTATATTTATTTTATATTTGACAGAAGAAGCCACTACAAACATAGTTGCATTTTTGTTATTCACCTCAAGTTGCACTACCTTGTATTACTGTACGATGGAATAATCTTAAAAAATAATAACAGCATAAATTATTCATGTTTCATCTAAGGATATATAATTCTATTAAAAAGAGGCTTCCAATAATAAAAATGAATTAAGAAACAGCTTTATCATTTTAACAGCGGAAAGAAAATCTATCTTATTTTTATTTTCAGGATTTGCTAGCTACATGAGGATTTATTTGGCATATATTCAAAAATTGAAAATTTAAACCCATTGTGTGACACGATTATTTATGGACATATTATTTTTATTTTCAAAAACTGCTCAGCTACAAGCTTTTACATCCCATACAACGACAACAATTTGCTCAAGTAAAACAGTTGAAAAGCGAATATAAAAATATTAATTTTATATTAAGTTTGGGTGGTGATAAAGATACAATGCAACCAGAAAAATATTTGCAATTATTGGAATCTCCACAAAAAACAAAACAAGAATTTGCACAGAAAATTCATAAAATAGTGTCGAAATATAAATTTGATGGTTTCGATTTGGCCTATCAATTACCGAAATATTATGAAAACCAAACGTCAGTTGCGGAAGAAAATGCAAGGAATAATTATCCATTGAAAATGACACAATTAATTATAACCTTAAAATCCATCTTGGCTAAGGATAACAAACTGTTGTCATTGACTGTTCTGCCAAATATTAATGTAAAATGTAAGTACAGGCAAGGTAATATGATTACAAGTAGGGCATAGCTACCATCTGATCAAAATTTGTTCTCATGGTGGCTTGTTCTATCAAATCAAAAGTCATATGTTGTATATGTGTCTTTATTGTTTTGAATACCATGTCAAATAAATTGACATATATTCAAAAAAAATAAAATATTTTTTTATCGATTTCTTCTGGATGTAATTACTTTGTTATGGATGAAACAAACATTTCTTGGCACTCTCTACACAAACACAAATAAATACAACCACTTGTTGTGTATATTTTTATTTTTTTAATTTGACAGAAGAAGCCACTACCTACATAGTTGCATTTTTGTTATTCACCTCAAGATGCCCTACATAGTATTATTGTACTATAACTACAATTTTATTGTAAAAATAATTATATCGGATCTTTTTTAAATTATTTCATTTTATTAAGAAATTATCTCGTTTTTCCTTTTTCCCCAGCATTTTATGATGTTCCAGCAATTATTGATAATATAGATTTTATTACCTTGGCGGCATTTGATTATTCAACACCCAAACAAACCCACAATATGGCGAATTATTTGGCGCCACTCTATGCACCAGGTCATTGTAACTCCATAACTAATGTAAATTATACCCTAAACCAATGGAGGATGTCGCAACGTAAATTACCCTTTTCAAAATTTAATTTGGGTATACCCACGTTCGCTCATAGCTGGAATACAACAAAACCTCTAAAGAAACCACATATGCCAATCACTAAGCAATTAAATGGTCCTGCTCCCGGTGGTTATAACACGCATACACCTGGTCTGCTAGCATGGCCGGAAATGTGTAAAAAATTGTCAAAACTCACAAGGGTTACGAAAAAACTTTTCGGAAGTTTTGCATATCGTCCGGGTATAACAAAAAAAGAACAAGGTCTCTTAATAACCTATGATGATCTTGACAATATTGAGGAGAAGGTGAAATATACCAAATCGAATAAATTGCATGGTATTGCTCTGTTTGATATAACATTAGATGATTTTCGTGGTAAATGTCGTGGAGAACGATATGTAATGTTGAATGCAATTAAGAAGCTGATTAAATTAAATTGATTACGGACGATTTTGTCTTTGAATCTAAGATATTTTCAATAAATTCTACTTATTTTCACAATATTTTGGAGTTGGTTCCCATACTTTTTTAATACTAAAATTATTTAACAGAAATAACAACACAATTGGTCTGTTCCCGTACTGCAAGAATCTACTCGATTTTACTATTTTCTTCGATATCATAAAGGAAAAAAGTGTTATCGGAGTAAAAAATAGTAGATTCTTGCAGTACGGGAACATACCAAATGTTGTAGAGCACGATCATTTACTTAATAGAACAACAATTCTGTCTCATGCAAAGCCATGGTAAAAAATTCATTAAATCTAAAACGGCATATACATTAGAACTTTTTCACGGGTTAACCAACTTTATGAGGATTTATTTGACATATATGCAAAGGAATTGGCAATTGAAACCCACTGGGTTAACAAAATCTGATTAAATGTAAACGTAATATTATAATTTATTTCGAAAATGTGTTATGAATTATTTATTTCTTGTTTAAACACACACATATATAACTTGCTTAAATGATCAGCATACTTCTTAAATTTACTCGTATTTATTTCATAAGTTTTCATTATTTATATTAACAAAACTATAAAAAAAATTATTAATAAATAAAGCGACATAAAAAGTGGCAACCACATTCATTTTGCCATTTGCCTTACGTTCTCAATAACGACACCACCTTTATTTGACATTTTACACAGGGTTGTATTCACCTATTCACACTCACATCGGTTATTCGCTCGTGTACACAAAGTAATCGTTCGCTCGCACACACACACATAATTTTCTGCGGAAAGAACGGGAAGGCAAGCACATTTTTTTTTGTCGGGACAAGCCGTAAAAATCTCGTAGAAAATTTCTTTCGTACTTTTGTATCTCAAAATAATAGCGGAAATATGTAAAAAATCGAACGAGAAGTGCACGCTCTATAACATTTATGTGGAATTTTCATCGTCTATTCATCAAGAAGCACTGAAATATCGCATAGAAAAATAATCGAATGTCGTGAAAATACCCACAAGAAAGAAGAAAAAAATCATTGAACGCGAAAAATCATCAAAAGAATATGGAATAAAAAAACGTGTAAAAAGTAGTGTTGCAAGAAAAAATAAAGATCTGAAATCTGTATATTAGAGCAATAAACGGCGCGCACAACAAAAATAAGAAAATACAAAATAATGAAAATTTTGCAACCTCTATTGGAGAATATTTACACACAGAACCGCAAAAGGGCAATCAATAAATAAACCAACCTTAAGGACGTTCAAGGAGATTTTTTCCGTCTTGATGAGTGTTTGTGTGTGGTGTTGTAGCAAAAGTACAGCAGCAGTAGCAAGACGTGTAGAGAGAAATCAGCAAACAACAAAGCGGAACTACCATCAAAGGCAAAGGATTAGTTATTGCTTGCATTACGTCGAAGTTGGCGGCGGACATAAAAGTAGAAATTGTTGTGTTGGAAGGGAAGCGTAGCGGGTGCCAGACGAAGCCTATTTTTCTTTGAGACCGCACCCGCTGTCTAAGTTGTGTTTGGCTATATCAAAAAAAAATTAGGAAAAATATAACCTTAAAAAATATTTAATTATTTGTTGAAAAGCCAGTTGATTAAGTATTTGGCCAAGTAAGAAAAACCATCAAAATTCCACCACAAACTCCTACGTCCACCAACTCCATGCCAGTCTCAGTGGTCTGTGAGACTACGGCAAATGTTAATGCCGCCTTAAGGGAGGAACTGTTCGGTTCGGCGGCAGGCTGCTCTGCAGCTGCCAACAACAAAGCCGCAGCAGACGAAGCTAAAACAACAAATGGCAGTACAGGGCTTGCAACAGACGAAAGCGATTCGTTGCATGGCAAATTGGTGGCGTCCGCCAAACGGGTGCTGCTCTCAAAAATCGAGTACGAAGAGGTCACCAACTATGGCCAATCGGTTTTGGAAAGTCTAAAATCAAAATATATAGTATTGAAGCCAACGACTGGTATGAATAATGGCCAGGAAAATGGCAGAAACTCTCCAGCAGCAACCTGTAATAATAACAACAATGGCGTGAATGGTGACAGCAGTGCTGCCGGTAAGCGTACGTGTATTATTTATTTTATTTTTTTGTCCAGAGTTTCTACAAAAATGTGTACTTATTTTCACGTTGCGTTTTACCCAACATAAATAATAATGTTTTTCCTCGTGCATACATGTATAAAAATTAGTGTGACTACGTGTGTGCGTGCGTGTTTATAAAAAATTACAACACCGCGTCATTTTGGTTTTGCTTTGGCGTGAGAGTAAAAGAGACAGGAAATGTGTTTTGATAGTGTGTTGTGTTTACCTCTCATTGTAAAGTACAACAAAAAAATTGCAGTTATACATGCTTGTTCTTCTCCCTTTTGACACAACACATTGTATGGTGTTGCCAGGTGTGAATATAGATATTTTAGTTTTGTGGTATAGTTTACTTTTGTTGTCATAGTTGTTTTTGTTTTGGCTTTCATTAATAACAACACGTTTTTTATTAATAATCACGTGCTTTTTGAGTTTTAAAACATTTCCTGGTTATAATTTTATTTAAATTCTATTTATTGTTAGATTTATGATTAGGTGTGGGATTTTTTTTCTAACAAAATTAAAAAAAGAAAAACCATTTTAACATTTTTGATTTCCACGTTGCGTCATAAAGAAGATATTTCTTAATACCTGATTATTTTATTTACATAGTAGAATTTCCTTTTACTTAAACTATTGCTGTTTTATCATTTATTTTGTTTATACATTCAATTTTGGTCCACTTATTTTCCTTTGTTGTCTTTTTCGCAACCATTACACATATTGATATGATTCATTCAAAATTATTATTTTTCTATCGTCATAATCGCATATGCATTCAAAATGCTTAAAAATGTTGTTGTTTAATTGTTTTTATTTTTCTCCTATTTCTTCTCCAACAAAGAAGGTGTATAATTGGGGTTTTAATTATACTTAGTTGTTTTTGTTATTAATAGATAACTTCTAAAAAAGAAAGAAATCATTTAAAGAAATATTATTTATTTTTTTCTTTCTTTCTTGAAAGATAATCTTTCATAATATAGGTATTCCATAAAAAAGCTATTTTAAGCAAATGGCCACCACTGAGCTTGCCTACAGGAGCATATCATTTTCCTCAAAATTTGCATAAACAAAGTGATTGCGCCAAAAAGGAAAAAATGTCGTAGTTCAACAGGAATTTGATTCCACAAACGTGTCGAACGAATAAAGATCTTTTATGTAAACAAGTGAAATAGCGCGGGAAAATTAACTAAGTGTTCCTGGTAGATTTATATAGAAATAAAATAACTATTTGCTTTACAAAAACAGAAAACGGTACGCCTAGAAAATCAGCAGCATAAACTGAAATGTGGTCTGATCGACGTAAATTATAAACGTACCTTACAACCTTATTGAAAATTGTTTCTATTTTGTTAAAATGCACATGTGTGGTTTCTAAATTAAAGTAGAGAATATCAAGAAATGTTTTTTCATCCATAACAAAGTAACTTCTTGCATATGAATGCGGTAAAAATCATTTTCATTTAAATTTATTTGACATGGTTTTCATAACCATACACTAAACATGTATTTTAATTTGAACAATCCCTATATTGCGAAAAAAAAAATGTAATCATTTGGTAGCTATGTCCTACCTTGTAATAATTTTCCGAAGCCTATAATTAATGAATTAAGCTAATTAAACATAATTTAAGTTCTTACATTCATTTTTATTAAAACATGTTGTTTAATATAAACATACATATTATACGAATTTTAACACACATTTTATTTGGTGTCAATCAGCCAAATATTCAGTGTTTACTACCATTTTTGCCAATAAAGCATATATTCAGTGTCTACTGTACTACCAATTTCATATTCCCACATTTATACACTACCACTTTGTACAACTGTGTTATAGCTGTCAGAGAAAATACATTCATGTGTGCTTACTGTAAAATGACATTGCTTTGTTTTTGTTGGCATTTTATCACTGTACACAAATACACGCACTCCCACCCAGAGCCAGAGTCTGGTGGATAGAATACGCGCACTTTGCATACATTTCTGTTGTTTGCCACTTCTCATTTTCTTCATTTTGTAAAATACACACACATATATATATATATGTATAACGTAGAATTGCGAAATGTTGTGCTTTGGCATGGGGGAAAGAAAAACAAACTATCCATGTACAACAATGGTTTGGTGTTCTTGTTGTTATTGGTAAAGACATTGACAGGGTGAGAGGGAGAGAGAATAAATTCAGTTCAGCCGTGAGAGACATTGAGAATGAAGTGAAAGAACGAAACAAAGAATAAAAACACAAGATTGGTGTATAGAATGACACGAGGATTTTGAAGCACACTCACATTTTTCTTTTGTATAGTGTAGTGAAAATATACATAAATAAGAAACGGGTGAATTTTTCACAAAACAAGCAGAAACGGGCAAAAACGTACAAGTGCAAGCTATTTATTTCCCTAGAACTTACGTATGAGTTATTGTGCGTTATTAGGCTGTATGTATGAGTGTGTGTTGTATGTGCTCTGAAAGGGAAAACGGAAAATTCACGAACACGAAAAATAGGAGGAAAATTAGAATTGGAATTTTAATTGCCTGCCTGGTTATTTTCAATAAGGAAAGGAGAAAGAGCAACCAAATTGCAACTCAGCTGCTGGGCCAAAAGTTTAATTGTTAAAAACAACCGCAAAAACAAAAAAAATAATCCACTACCTTGTGTTGCTTGAAGAAAAAACACGTTAAATATTGCTTAAATTTATTTAACTATTCATAGTAAATTTTGCGCACTACACCAATTTCCTGGTCTGAGTTTGTGAACCTCTTCCATTCAAACTACCACAACAAAATCCAACAACTATACGTATGCAATGAAAGTTTGGAGCGCCTTATTATTGGAAACATTGCGTTGCATCGCATTGGATTATTTGGTGTTATGGCTGCTCTACCGTTTTATATTTAAACCCTGCTATAATGTCTTAAGAAGGCTATACTATTATTATCATAACAAATACAACAATTACGATGATGAATCTGATAATGAATTCTTCTGTTCTTCTTGTTCTACTTCTTCCATCTATGAATGTGTGTGCCAACAAACCACCACTACTCAACGCACAACAGATGCCAATGGTAATACAGCTGCTGCAACAACACCGGGCAAACGGCCCCAACAACCGCAGAATCCCAATGAGCTGCCTGCACCGAAACGTGTACTCTTTCCACGTGAAAACGTACGCATTGGCTGGAAGGCCACCGGTCGTAAGTGGGATGTCGGAGTGGGCATGATGAATGTGGGCAATACCTGCTATTTGAATTCAACACTGCAAGCCTTGTTTCATGTACCCTCCATGGCCAATTGGTTAATGTCCGACTCGGCGCATATGGAGAGGTGCGAGTCCACCGATTCGGGCTGTATTATTTGTGCAATGGCCAAAACCCTACAGGCCTCACAGAACAGCCAATCCGCCATACGTCCCTATTTTGTTTACTCAAAACTAAAATCCATTTGCAAGCATTTGGTAATGGGTCGACAGGAAGATGCCCATGAATTTTTACGCTATTTGGTCGAGGCCATGGAGAAATCCTACTTACAGCGATTCCGCAACTATAAGGAGTTGGATCAGTACAGCAAAGAGACAACACCATTGAATCAAATTCTCGGCGGTTATTTGAAGACATCGGTCAAATGTTTATCGTGCCAGCATGTATCTGTGACATTTCAACATTTTCAAGATCTGTTGCTGGATATACGTAAAGCCGATACAATTGAAGAGGCATTGGAGGGTTATTTTGCACGAGAACGCCTTGAAGATATGGGCTATAAGTGTGAAGCGTGTAAGAAAAAGGTAAGTAATACCGCCTGCATTTTAAATTTCAGATAATCAACACTAATTGTCTCCTTCGTTACAGGTCTCGGCCACAAAACAATTTTCATTGGATCGAGCACCAATTGCCCTCTGCATTCAGCTGAAACGTTTCTCTATGCTTGGCACTAAAATCAATAAACAAATAACCATCAAACCCCGACTGGATCTTACAAAGTTTGCTTCTCGTAAAATTCCCGGTGAACAATTGACTTATCGCCTGGTGGCAATGGTAACCCATTTGGGTGCTTCACAACATTGCGGCCATTACACAGCTATTGGCCTTACAGAGTCGGGTACATACTACAACTATGACGACAGCTATGTTCGTCCAATATCAATGCAAAATGTCTGCAATACAAATGCCTATATAATATTCTATGAAATGGATACGCAACCACCAAGACAAGTAACGAGCACACAGGTTAGTGGCGCTGCGGCACAAAGTACAGTGACAAATCTCAAGGAGTTGCAAACAACAAAGGTCAATGGGCATGTGGTCAACTCCAGTCCTCAGCGTATAATTGGACCACAATTACCACCTGGTTTCAGTAATGGAAACGTGTCCTCTTCACCCCTGACTAATGGTGGTGGCAGCAAATTAATACTAAATCGCAATGCCACAACTCCCAACAAAAACAATACGACTGCATTAGATAGTAATAAAATTACGATTCACTTTAAGAATAATAATAGTAGTGCTGGAACACCGGTAAAAACAAGCCTGGCAACATCGTCACTTACCAGTGCCTCCGCCACTTCATCCACATCAACAACAGCGGCAGCTTCGAATTCACTCTTTGATAGTTTGAAAAGCAACAACAGCAATAGTAACGGTCTCCATGTTGTGGGGACCGGTAAATTTCAAGAATCTACGAGTACGAAGCATTCACTGGGTGACCCAGCAAATAAAAGACAAATTAGTAATGCTAAAAACGGTAACGAGAGTTCCTCCGATGATAACGACGACGATGACGAAAATGAGGTTGTAAGTTCATCAACATCAACACTGCCAAGTATGCCTAAATTGGGATCTGCCGAAGTGAATAGCAGCACCAATAACACCTCAGCCAAAAAGGCGCCATTGACTAATGGCTTTGCCAAGAAATCACCCGCCCCCATTATAAAAAGTCTCGTTCCATATGGATCGGAAACAGACGACGAGACAGATGTGACCACGCCAACAACCACAAATGGAATGTTGTCATCATCATCATCATGTGAAACTAAACGTTTAGTATCGAATCCCCTAAAACGGCGGCAAAGTTCTTCGTCTTGGTCTAATACGGGATCATTTTCGTCGTCAGAAAACGATGATGATGATGACGATGAAAATGACAAAGATTGCAAACCGACGACTGGTACTAAGATTAAGAAAGCTGCCTCATCAACCACGGCGACTAGCGCCGCTGCAACCGACTCATCTTCGGTACATTACAATGGTATCAGTTCAAAGAAATCTTCGGATGTTATAGATGAAATTTTCAATAAACGTTCCATAATCACCACGACGACTACAGCCACAAATTGTTTATCACCACTCAAAAAGAAATCACAAAATCAACAGTTTACCGTTACCTCTACAACGCCCACAAGTGACACCTCTTCATCTGCCTCAAATTCCGATTCGGAAGATATTAAAACAAAATCATCATCATCGTCGTCTCTAAAACCACAATTCAAGCGATCAAATTCAACGCCTCCTTCTCCGCCGGTGGTGAAGACAAATTCGGGCATTTGGCAAGTTACTTCACTACATCCCATTAGCGCCTGTGTCAGCCCGACCACAACCACACCATCATCAACAGAGAAATTATCTAAAAATCCCAAAAATCCATTTGCCACCACAAAATTATCGAATGGCGGTGGCGGAGACACAACGTCGACGAAACGTCTTAAAAAAGAAAATTCAACAGGCAAAGCAAATTTCGTGGGCAATGGTTATCAGCGAGAAACTGCCACAGACACAACTGTCTCAGAGCTATTGAAGCAATCACATCGTGGCTATGGAGCACCCGTCTTAACATGGAATGGTCAACAAAGTGAAATTGAAAGAGAGGTGAGTTTTTGAAAAAACCTATGCAAATTATTTTTATTTTCTTTTATATATTTAAATATGGTTTTTAAAACAACAATAAGAATATACAAAAACAAAAAAACAAGTTATGTTTGGCAAGGTAGTATTTAATTATCATTATGTTAAGAAATTCGGAACTATTTAAAAAATAATGGTTATTAATAAATGCAAAAGTAAGACTGAATTGAAGCGGAAGTGTATATATTTCATCTCAAATTTGAAAATGTTTTTAATATCAATATTCATATTGACTTCTTCTGCTAATTATAATTAATTTAAAGCTTCTTGGATACATTTTATATCCCATTGGAATGTCACCAGTTCTGTGTCAAGAAAAAAATTTTTGGGAGGAAACTCATTCTTCCCGAGATCTGACCGCTAAAGACCCGAAAATGAATGTGTTTTTACCTAAGGTTGGTTATAACCTTCATTTTCCGAACATCTACTTATAATTCTTGCTTTAATCAGTCTTAACTTTGCATATCAAAAAAGATTAACATTGGTCACAAAAATAACAATTCTTCAATCTTGGATTTAAAAACAAAAAACACATTTTCATGAATTAAAAAAAAAAACAATACCTAAGTTTACCTCAACAAATCAAACAAAAAATTAAAAAGTTGTATATAAGTGTCGTCTTCTATCAAATGTTTTCAAACAAAATAAACAAATTCTCACAAACAATTGAATATGGAAAAAGTTAATAAACTTTATACAAAATTATTATTATTTACTACTAATACTGTATATTTTGGTATTTGAATGGATGATTCTTCTCACATTACCTTTTGTAACCAAAAACAAAGAAAATGTATGAAAACCAAGAAAGAAAATTGCAAAGATAGCCGCGCAAACAACTTCAATCAGGTTGTAATTCATTTTTGAATTTTGAGAATAAAAAAGGGTTAATTTATTGATTGATCTGATCATTATCGATGAACCCTCTCGATATTAAATTCTAAGTAAGAAATAAATAGTTACTACAGGCCAGATCATCTTTTGAGTTCAGCTTTTTATACCCTCAGCTTTATGGCTAATAATGGTATATACCAGGGTACGGAGAATGATTAAAATACACTCTTTCTCACGGCGAGAATTCGAATGTTTTTCAATTTATCGGGAATGATAATGAACAAACATATGCAATCTCTCGCGAATGTTCGCATTGCACGAAAAATTCACGAACGATAAAACTTCGCTGCAAGCGTCGTCGATTCATTTATTCATTCGCGATCATTCCTTGCTGAAGAACATTCTTTTGAAAAACTCAAAAAACAAATGTTCGCGAATGCTCGCGAACACTGTTAAAAACAACAACAAACAAAAATATTATAAAAAAGTAAACACACACACAACGAATAAATGTGTGTGAAGGAGAAAGTGTGCGTAGTAACAACACACATGTCCAACAACTATTGAGTTTACGAACGATTGTTATTATTGTTGCTGTTTTGAGCATTCGCGAGAATTCGAGAATGTTTTCATCCGTGAGAGAATGCGGGGTTTTACACTTATTGGGATTGCGATTTTTTTATTATTCGTGAATACATTTACGCTTAAATTATAACATATATTATTTATGCAAATAACTGGTATAAATATTTATTAATATTTCTCGATAATTATGATTTATTATCATTTGAAGTAGAATTTTAGGTACCTTTTCGTACTTTTTTGTTCCTACTTGTGGTAATGTTTTCCAACTCAATTCACAATTTACCAATGAGAGAGAGAAACTCTCAACACCAATCCCAATTCCGATAAGTGTAAAACCCCGAAATGTTAGAAAGAATTTCAACCACCAAACGAAACGAACGATCGTTGTTGTGTGTTCTCACTCGTTTGTTATGTGTGTGTGCGAACATTCTTTGGCGAATGCTCGTTTGGTAAAGAATTTATCGCCATAAATTCATTCGTAAAATGAGCATAAAACAAAAATGTTTTTTTTTTAATTAATTAGAATATTTGAGCGCTCTGGTATATACACTTTGATACGGCATGTTTCTTTCCATTTCAGACAATTTGGAGCAGAAAATATATTTTTTATAATATCATGCAAACAGAGCATTCGATTCAAACTTTGTACAACCTAATATTTTAACCATACCTGTATATTGTTGGAAGATGAGACTTATCGGTCCACTCCTTAGAGTACCTTCCCCACAAAGTGTCAAGATGTTGAAAAATTTTACAATTGCATTTAAACTTTGCCCATGGTAATATATTTACCTTACATAGATCAAGCTTGAATATGGGATCCGTTGGTCCACTCCTTTTTGTACTATCCCCACAAAGTGTCAACATTTTGAAAATTTGTTAATACAATATCAAGATAATGGAATGTCTGTTTTTTTGATCCAAACTTTACAAATCGAAATATTTTTCCCAAACCTACATTAGATTCAAAGATGGGGTCCTATAAGGCAACCTCATTTGGAAACTCTCCAAAGATGGTTAACTCTTTGAAAAATATATGTTTATCTTATATTAAGATTCCGTAGACCTCTGCAAGCCATAGGCTGAGGGGGTATACATCTGTGGGCAAAACGTCTGGGCCTGTTTTACTTCTTTTATATAAAATGTTCCTACTGCAGGATGTGTATGGAGCAATAACATGTCTTGCGGGAACTGCATTGAAAGATATTTTTGGTTTCCATTTTATAAAATGGTAGAAAATTCTGATGTAGTTTATTTATCTATGTGCCTAGAATAAATATTAACACAGAAATATACAAATCTTACCCCAAAAACAAAATATTTTGTTGCAATGAGAAAAAAATCTCACACATTTTCTATGTAAATACATATTTATTTTTGCAATTTTCTTCAATTCCATATTTTTACAAATTTTACGCACGATCTTTTTTTCTTGTCTTCTTTTTTTGGTGTATTTTTATTATTTGGTATATACAATTTTTTAGTTTTTTTCTTATTATCTTCCTTATTGGCTTTCACTTTTCGTTTTTTTTAATAATTTGTCACATATTTAGATTCTTTTCTTTTTTTATTATTTGTTGTATTGCCTTAAAACAAATACCAAGTAAATAAAAATTACAAAACAAGAAATTAGCATCATTATCCTATTTTCCACTTCCCTTCAATTTAGAGTTATAATTTGTTTGATGAGAAACGGATAGAAGACGACGACAACAACAACGACTACAACAACATAAACAGCAAAAATGATGATGATGGCATAGATGATGAGGATAATGTTGGTGATTACAATATCAATGGTGATTTTGAACAGCCAGAAGAAGTCTGTTACAACAACAATAACAACCATGACATTGATGATAATTTCAATATCGATATCGAACTGGAACAGTCGGAAGAATTTCATAGCAACATCAACGATAATGACTTGCATCAGCTGCAGGAAGGCATTGATGGTCGTGTTGATGATATAAATCTCATTACAACAACAGATTTCCTAGGTCGTCATAATCGTTTTAATGACGACGACGAAGATGATCTATTAAAAACAGAAAATTTTGGCTTTGATGATTATAAAATTCCCTGCTCTATGCTGGTGGATGATGAAGAAAATGACAAACTTGTCGTGGAAAGCATAAATAACAACAGCCCAAACTCCACCTCCTCCTCCTCCGCATCAAAACAACTATTGAAAATACAACCGCTACATCTCGACCTCAACTGTATAAACAATAAAAACTGCCTACCTCTGTTCGAAAATGGTACACAACCTAAAGAGGATAACAATAATAAAAGTGGACAAGAGATGCGAACAGGCGATACTGAAACCGCCGCCACAACACCCAACAACAACGAGGAGCAAAATAACATCGACTCCTGTAGTTCGGCGACAACAGCCACCACAGTTATAAACACCTATTGTCTGTCACCAAATTCCACAGACAATGAGCCGACCACGCCCACTCTAGCCTCAACAATCAATGACATCATATTCCAGTTTTCCGAAGATTCGTTGGATAAGCTCTAACAGGAATATATGATAAAACACATGTGTTTCCTAATGATCTTATGATGGTGCTGCTATGTTGTAAATATTGAAAATGAAAACAAAAAACAGCAAAAATTAAGGGCCGACGACAAGCCAGAGATTATTTACTACTATAATCATCAGGCATCTTACTCCTCCTGTGTTTTGTTCTTATTTGTAAGTTTTTATATGCAGAAAATTATTCTAAAATAAATTATAACTTGTTGTTAAGCATTGTTATCTATTTTTTTATTTTGATTTTAATTTTTGTTTTGGTCAATAAGCTACTACTATTAGAATTGAAGAAAAAACAAAACATGAATATTTTTTTTCGTTATATTTATTAAACATGCAAATCTAGAATATAAGCGAGAGTGTGTTGTTGTTAACAATTTGAAGCACTACAAGTGTTGCAAATACCCAGCAAAAAACAACCTTATATACATACCATTTAAACAAAAATTGTAAAAAAATACACATATTGTATTATTAGTTTTTTTTTAATTATTTAAATAATATAATCTTGATTTGCATTAGGCAATTTTATTTCGCAGAGAGTTCTTCCATCATGAAGAAGCTATAGAATTGTGTAATGCAAATCAGATCGTGCTCTTGGCTATACGTGGAGTCCACCGTCCCATTTTATAGCTAAAATGGCTCACAATAGTTTTGCACCTTAGCAGTAGCATTCCAACTTTCTCCTAAACACGTATAATCAAATTGATGTGTGTATATCTCTGTGATGCCTATATTCATTCTGTTTACTCTCTACGATAGACTTGGAGAAAAATTTAGAATTCAAAAAATAAAATAAAATCCTTTAAAATGAAAGCAAAAGTTTACTTATAATAAAATACTTTTTAATTTATTATTATTATTATTTTTCAATACATTTAGTTTTTAGTTTAAGTATTTGTATATTATGACTATATTTTAATTTATTTTTACTGACAATGTAAATGAAAAAAAAAAATAAGAATCTTTATATAGAAAGAAAAACAAATAAATGAAATTTGTAAATGTAATTTATGTGTACATAAAATAATCATAATAATAATATAAACAACAGATGTTTCATTCTTAACTAATAATAAAAAAATTAATATGTAGATACTAATGTTATATAACAAAAAAATTATATACAAACGTGTGTATTTAAATCGATGCACTCTAAATTTGTTTTTCATGGAAACAAAACATTGATATTTGAACAAAAAAATAATAATAATATTTGCTTGCGTAATTCAGTGAATATTGATTTCAAATTCATTGATAAAGTGCAAATGCCTAAAATATATTTCTATCTACAACCGTTCAATTTGGAAAATCTTTGTTCTGATGCATTTTTTTTACATTTCACCATTGGATATCGACGTACAGTTAATTTGTATTACATATTGATATCATGAAAAGTACTATGGGATCTATTTACGAGAATAAAACAAGGGGTATTTTCCTTATATGTGTCGAAAATCTGTCTAAGCAAATTTGGTGTTCATGATATTCTACGATCCATAGCCATCGGACTTTTAATATCCGGTCTTATAAAATTAGCAGATATGATTGATCTCTGCCAAGCTTGTTTTTTTTACACAAATTGCTAGATGACGAATTCTAGGAGCGTATAATTTTTTAATACTTTGAATGTAATGCAGTTTTAAATATTTGTTTCTAAATCATCACTAAGATATATATATTAGTTAATTTTTTTATTTTTCTGAGGCTCTATTATGTGAGCTTTCCCAAGGCGAAGATTTTTTGAATATATTTTTTTCTTAACTGATTTCTAAAAAAAGTGTTTTTTTTTTTTTTTTTTTTTTTTTTTGATATTTTTTCTAAAGTCCCATCAAGGCGTGGGTTTTTTATATACACATTGATACGGCAAATCCCATTGATCCACTCCTTCTAATACCCTCCCCCACAATGGGTCAAACATTTAATTTTTTTAATCCAATATTGTCTGGAATGTCCGATTTTATCCAAACTGGGCACATCGTAACACTTCTTTCAAACTTAAATCAAGCTCGAAGAAGGGGACAATCGGTCCACTCCTTCTGGTACCTCCGACACAAAATGGTCAAAATTGTGCTCAAAATGAATGAACTTGGCACAATTTAATATTTTAAGCATACCTGTATATAATTGCGAGATGCGACTTATGGGTCCACTCAATCTCTAGTACCTTCCCCACAAAGGGTCAATTTTGAAACATTGTAAATCTAATATTTGGAATATTCAAATTCCATCAAGACTTTGCTCATCGTAAAATTGTTACCTAGCTAAGATTGAATTCAAAGATGGCACCCAACGGTGCACTCGTTCCCACACAAAGGGTCAACATTTTGAAAACTTTAAAATCTCATATGGCGCGAACGAAGTATCCAATTTCATCCAAACTTATATTTACCTTTCATAGATCAAGCTTGAATATGGGATACGTTGGTCCACTCCTTCTGGTATCTTCTCCACATTTTGAAAATTTGTTAATCGTCTGTCCATTATATTTTTTAAACACAGTACATCATACAGTTATGGACCAATCGTCATGAAATTTTGCACGTAAAATCGGTTCGGACAAAAGAAGGCCCCAATTGTTTTGGTAATTTAGGCGATAAAATGGATCAAAAACATAATTTTGTCCTTTTCTGGCCGCTCTAGAAGCCAGAATTATGACCCATCATGACATTTTACACGGAGAAGGAAGGGGATATGTCCATTGAACAAGCTTGACCATTTTCATGATTATCGGAATGCTTTGTGGGGTTAAATATTAATCCCGCAAAAAAAAATATTTTAAAAATATCATAAGTGTTCGATTTTTATAATCGTAACATTTATAAATTCACTTAACTAATGTATATTTGACATATACTTGAAAAATAGCTGACGATGACATAAATAGCCCCCACGACAGAGGGGTCTATGAACCGATTCGTACTCGGCTGCTAAAACAACAATTTTTTTTGTCCCTCCTCATTTGCTGCGAAACACAAACCACCACGTTTTGTCTTTTTTTTGTTCCATTACAGATTATAACAGATGCACGTGAACAGCGTCAACGTGATTGGGAGGATGATGAAGAAAACGAAATGGATCGTGGACGTCAGAAGAAGGTGAAAGCCCCAAAAGATCCACATGCAAATGCCCCTACGCCAGGCTATAATCCATTCCAGGAGCAGGAAAATCAAAAACGTTGGAAACGTTATCATCATGTCGGTGGCGGTGGTGGTTTTCGACAGAATTTCCATCGCAATAAATTCAAATTTCAAAGATTTCCCTATAAGTTTGTCCGAAAGAATATGATTAGTAGTGGTGGTTGTAGTACGAACAACAATACACATAGACGCAATGATTCTTAACCACCAACCACATTGTTAATCCCAATACAAATATAAAAAAAGTAATCGATAAGAATATTATTAACGTAAATTGAATTGTTTTTATTAGTAACAAAGAAAAGAAAGAAATGGAAAATAAAATGATTATTGTATTTTTGGAAAAAAAATTAAGAAAGAAAAAAGAAATTGTATATGTATGTAGGCGGAATCCATTGAGGAAAACAGTCGAATCGACTAAGAACCCCGCAGTGTAAGAAATGCCAAGAACACATTATTATTTATATAAATATATTGTGTATATTTACAACAAAATTGTGACATTTTTCTTATCGCTTCCGTTTTATATTGTTTTTTTTTTTACTATAAACAATTAATTGTTGTTTTTTTAGTTTTAAATTTAATGTTTCTTTTAAAATATTTCCCATTGATTTTGTTATATGCCAAAAGGCTAGATTTCTGCAACATTTTTTTTTTAGATTTAATATTTCACAATTACAAATTGAAGCTATTTGCTTGATATTCATAGCTGCAATTTTGTATAATAGGAGAAACAAAAAAGAAAAATAAACCACTTTTATATATGATGTAGTACGTTATTGATTTATTTACATAATTTATCATCCTCTTTACATTTGAAAAAATATATATTTACCTTATTACTTTAAATTATGAAAATCAAATACACACAAAGAAATCTTAATTCACAATAAAAACATTTATAAAATAATTTAGTAAAACAACAACAACAAAAAACAAAACAAATAAACCACAAAAATATGTTTGTTTTTATTTAAACATATACATGCAATTATTTTATATTAAAATCACATCATACTATTGTGAATTTCCTATATTTAGCCAGAAAATTGAAAAGAAAAAAAAAACATGAAAATAAAAGAAATTTCTTTTGAATTAAAAATAATCCGAACAGACGATTACTAAAAAAAATTATTTTAAATAACAAAAACAAAATAAATAAAACACATTTTACCTATTTATAAGTTTAGATTATAAGTTTTGTACATATTTTATCTTATAAACAAAACAAAACAGAAATCAACAACTACAAATAATATAAATAGTATACCATGATGAAAAAGAAAATATATATACATAATAAACTAAAACAAACGGATACTACAAGTTTAAATATATACATATTTGTCAATTGAATATTTTTAAGGGCCCCATACACTATAAATCATGCCGTCATGGTGATGAACCTCTTTTTGTATATGTGAGATTGACTAGTGTATGGCAAACTCTTCAATCACTATTCCAAAAAATCGATTTTTGTCCCAAAAATTTCATTTTGCGTCGTAAATTCAGTTGTTTTTTTATTCCGTCACAATTCTATTATTTTAGGTCCTACCCCACAAAATGGTCAAAATTAGGTTGAAAATTAATTTTATAATATCACACGAAGGGACTATATCTGATTTGAACTAAACTTGACGCAACATTAAACTTATACATCTTATATGAAGTGAACCGAAAATGGTTAATCAAACGTTATCAGCCTTATTCTGGATGTCAATTCCACGTGAATTTACTCGCTCTTTCCCTTCTACTTATTCTGAACAACATTTTCCCAAGGTATATTTAATAAGGTAGCCGCATCGGTCCAGCTGTTGGTGCAAATAAATGTCAAAAATGTTGTTGTAATGTTGAACCAAAAAATTAAAAAACAAAATTATAAATGAAAATCTGCGAATTTCGAATTGTTTTTTGGTAATACTTTTATTAACATTTTCTACAAGAATTTGTGTAAAAAAAATCTTGTCAATCTGTTTTTTTTTTTTTGGCAAAATATTTTTGACATATAAAAATACAACAACCGATGTTTGTTGTAGAAATTCGCCGATGCGGCTACCTTGTATATGTACCTTGCATTTTCCTGTAAATTTTTTCGCATTCTCGCTTTCGCCTTATTCTGAATGAAGTTCGAACGCGAAAAAATTCGCTTTGGGGAAAAATTAGGTATTCTGGATTACAGGGAGTAGGAGAATGAGATGAAATTTTGTGCGAAATTTTTCGCTTATAAATTCAAAGGGAGCTGACTACAAAAACATAAGTAATAAATATTTTTATGAAAAATATTTACACAATACTTACTCTATGACGATTTAGAATATTATAAATGATAGTAAGCAAATTTTTAACTGAAAAACAACAAATAAAATGCTGAACGAAATATTGCCAAGGAATGTATAATGGTAATAAGGAATATTTAAGTCGAGTTTGATGAATTTTGGAGGCGAAATACAAACATTTTGTGTGAGGATCTGTCTCTCAAGAACAAAATTTTAAAAATTATGGGAAAAACAAATTTGCCTGATGAGCCGCTTAACAGTGAAAAACTTAAATAAAAATTATGAAAGAACGAAAATAAAGCTACAAAAAATATCGTGTGCATCATTTGAAGGAAGAAATAAAGGAGTAGGAGCAAATCATAACATAACTGGTCACTTTAAGTATTTGGGGAGATAAATATCGAAATTAAATAAAAAGGCACACAATTATGTAGTGAACTAATAAACTGTGCATTAATTAATTCAATCGCAGATTTCTTCCCATTATTCGTCGTATTTTTCCCATCATAAAATATGTTATTTTATTTGTAATCTATTGCAGTTGTTGCACCAAATTGCATCAAAACAATGAACAGCTGTTTCACATGACTTATTGTAGGTTGCCATATTTTTAAACAGTAATTCATTTTCTTTTAATTACAAAGCATTTATACAGTGGATTATTGATATTTCACATTTATATTGTTATAAAGTTTAAATAACAATAAAAAGTAAACATTTTTAATAAAAAATCAATAAATAAAATATTGAAAAATATTTCACAATGAAATTACAATGGGGCAACATACATTGCAACTTAAATTATAATATGACCACACACATTACAACTTAAATTACAATATGGCAACACAAATCTTTTTTTCAACCACCATTTTCGAAAACTCGAATCCGCATCTCGCAAGGCTGAAAATTTAAATATTTACAATTATTCGCACCATGTGAATCACCTTTTGTTTAACTTTGACATGCAACCCTTCTCTTTTTGATAGCTGAAAAAGGGCCTCCTCACTTATATCGCTTTCTCTCTTTGTACTGGAGAGAATATACAGAAGCACATATGTATGTGTGCGAAATCTTTGTTAAATTTACATTTGTTGTTTACTTACAATAAATAATCAAATGCAAAAAGAAAAAAAAATAGACTGAAAAAGTTTAAAAGCAGACGGCACATAAAGAGAACCTAAATTAACATAAATAATATGACAAGTTAAAAAAATCAGTTTGTCTTGAAGAATATAACGTAAAAAACCGTACAACGGATAGAACGTGCCGGTTTCGACAAGCTAAATCAACCCTCTACCTACCTTTTTTTCTTTGATATCTATCTAATCAATTGCTCAAAAAATATAATCAGCTGGGGTCAATGATTAGAACGATTGAAACTAAACAAATCAATCTACAAATAAAACAAAATTCATTTATTTGTCATTCGACCACATACGACCACAGTGAAAAAAGTGTATTGAAAAATCGGGTGTAAAGGTCGTTCTGTGAGGAGTTTCTGTAATAAATATTTAATTTTTCATTAATAAAATATATACTACAACAAAATGGTAGCTGCATCCAAATTAAGCCAAGTATTTACATACGATTCTTGGGTACATGCCATGTCTGGGGCTGCTGTAAGTAATCATTCAACTTTGTTGTTGTTATCATAAATCATGTCATGCTTTTCTTTCTGTTTTAGGGCGGTTGTATAGCCATGTCAACATTTTATCCCTTGGATACGGTGCGTTCCAGATTACAACGTAAGTATATACGTATATTTGTAAATATATATATTACTTATTAATATTTTAAAATGTACATAGACATGACATTTTTATTTGTTCATTGGATGAGGTAATTCAATAACCACCAATATGGAATATTTGAGATTTGTTTATATATTTAACATCTTTACTCTGTTTTTTTATACACAATCATTATATACACAATATTGGGTTATTAACTCATTTTTTCATATCATTTATTTTATATCAATTTGGAATTCCAACATTTGAGTATGTTTGAGGAGTGGCATAAATGGGGAGAAATTAAATATCATATTATTCAAATTTATCTCTTATTTAAATAGACTCACTGGCTAGACCACAATTGTTTTGTATCAATATATAATCGAATGGAAATAAATTATAAATATTTTTGTTGATTAGGTGATAAACATACACTGTTTCGGAAAAGTCTAAAGTGCAATAGGACTTATTATAAATAAAACCATCGCAGTAAAAGAGGAAATATACAAGCATTATAAAGAAAAATATAATAAGAGGTTTTTAAGATGTTTTTAATACTCTAATAGTACGTTTACATTTAACCGGATTTCGTTAAACCAGAGGATTTCAATTGTCAATTCCTTGCATATATGTCAAATAAATCCTCATAAAGTAGCTTAACCCAGTAAAATGTTCTAATATATATGCCGTTTAAGAAGCTTCCAAAGTAGCAGCCACCAGATTCCAATGTTTTTAATTTACTAAAACATGTTTGCATATACCCTTACTCTGTATGAAATTTTTTATAAACTTTTTTTTTATTATTTTCAGTTGAAGATCCCGAAAAGAATGGCGAAGCTCGCAGTACAATGCAAGTCATCAAAGAAATTGTATTGGGCGAGGGTTTTCAATCACTGTACCGTGGTCTGGGACCAGTGCTACAAAGTTTGTGCATTTCCAATTTTGTTTATTTCTATGCATTTCATTGCCTGAAGGCGATTAGCAGTGGTGGCGATAAAAAACAACAAAATGCCTTAAAAGATTTGATGTTGGGCGCTGTGGCTGGTTTCATAAACGTCTTTACAACAACGCCATTTTGGGTTGTTAACACCAGGTTGCGTATGCGTGATGTTGCCGGCACTTCTGAAGAAGTTAATAAATATTATAAATCCCTGATATCCGGCCTTCGTTATGTTGCCAAGACGGAGGGTGTTAAGGGTCTATGGTCGGGTACAATACCATCATTAATTCTAGTTTCTAATCCATCATTGCAATTTATGATGTATGAATTGTTGAAACGTAACTATATTAAATATAAAGGCACTACCGAAGTATCAAGTTTGGGATATTTTGCTATTGGAGCGATAGCAAAGGCATTCGCTACGGTCCTGACATATCCCCTGCAATTGGTTCAAACAAAACAACGACATCGCAGTCGGGAACAAAATAGTGCCAGCACATCGAAACATGCGGCGGCTGCACAACAAGATGTCGGTGTTATTAAAATGATGATGGATATATGGCAACAACAAGGTTTTAAGGGACTCTTCCGTGGCATGGAGGCAAAAATACTGCAAACAGTGCTAACGGCAGCTCTTATGTTTATGGCCTATGAAAAGATAAATAATACAGTATATCTCTTATTGAAAAAGACTCCAAAGAAATAATTCAAACAAACACAAACAAATATTATTTTAGGATTCATAATAAACCACGTATTTTTCTTAAATGCTTTTTGTAGTCAATAACGATTTAATGGTGCGGCATGGAATATTGTATATTCCATTATTTTTATTATTCCAAATAATTAATTAATTTTTTATTAATATTTTAGTTATGCTATTATTTTGACGTATTTATTTAAACGATGGAGTCTGGTGCATATATTTATGGAATATGAAAGTAAAAATATAGAATGTAAACAAGAAAAAAACAATAAAGTAAATTTATTTTGAGTAGAGAGGTTTGCATACTGATAAGAAAAAATTGGAAGAAATAAGGGTGCTATACTCAAAAATGGACCGAATAAATTGCTGCCAAATCGGAATAAAAGCTTGGTCAACATGCCAAACCATTTGAAACCCTATATGGGGTTTATGCCTATCAAGGTATATATGCCTAACGTCTTTCTTTAAACATTACCTAACTTTCCCACATGCCCTTCAAAATTCAAAGGTCTGCCTAGGACCCCATTTTTTCAAAAATACTTAATCTTAAAAATGTTATATCATTGTGATACTAACGTATTGTTAAAACATAAATTCTTCAATATTTTCGTTTTGGTCAAAATTTAGTTTTTATTTTCATTATTTTCCAAATTGACAGTTGTTGTTTCATCAGACTTGTCTTTGGGATTTTCTTTTGTTTTGTCGTCGTCGGCACTCTTTTCATTTACATCAGCAATAGCAGCTTTATCATCGTTCAATTTATCCGACGAATTACCATCGTAATTCTGATTGTGTCTTCCCAATTCGACTAGATTGTATTTTTTCATTGCCATATAATCCTCGGCCACCGATAGACAACACAGACCTTTTATCACCTCGACTATTAGGGATTTCTTCGCATATTTCAAATCCACCTTATGCTTCACATTTTTGGCATGGATAATATCGGCCAATTCTTTGATTAGTGTATCCCGGTTGATGTCATTATTGAAACGTTTATTGAATACTATGGAGAATGTTGTGGGTTCGTTTAGGAAATATTTGTCACATAATTGTCCAGCACTATCGACAATATCCTTGTTATTTGCCTTGCAAACAATTTCAATGGGCAGCAGACGCAGTAGGTAACGGGTTTTTTGTTTTTTAGTCTCTGCAATATCCTTAACAATATGCTTTGTTATGGATGCCGGTTCAGCTAAGGTGGTTTTAATAAAAATACAATTCGTCGCACCCGTATCAACCACCTGAAATCGTCTTTTGGTCTGTTTGGCCTTTTGTTGTGTAGCATCAATTTGTTTTTGTAATGCATCCGCAATATCATCGGATTCGGCGGGTTCTTCCGTTTTGGTCTCTTCCTCAGTTGGATTATTGGGTTTATCGTTTGCGCTCGATTCTTCGAATGTTTCCGGTCCATACAATTCATCGGCATATTGATTCAAAATATTGTAACACTCTCGCACACAATCTTTTTCCTGGAAGTTGCATGTTGCCAAGAAACCCTTGTGTCCCACTTCCAGATATTGTTTTTTACTGGGTTGGTAGAATTTCTTCTTATTCTGGAATCTTTGCTTTTTTGCTGGCGGCCCACTCATGTTTTTGTTTACGTTCGATTGATGTAGCGTGTCATGAAAGTGAGGTTATTTTAGGGTGCACTAAATTGGAATATGAGCATTAACATATAGAATTTTGTTGGTTGGGATGGGGTGATAGAAAATAAAAAACCTGTGTTATAAAATTGCATTCGAAAGAATTTAGATTTACGATATCAATGCGCTGTATTTATATTCAGACTTATTCTGGGTATTCGCTATTGAGAGATCTCGCTTGTCAACAAATTTTCGCTTTCACATTCTCGGCTTATTCTGAATGAATAGTTTGAGGGATTTTCTACCAATATGACCGATAATATTCTCCTCTTACACGTCCTGTTAATTGGATCATGATCATGAATAGGAGCAGATGATTTCAGCCGAACTGAAAAAAATTAAAGCATTTGACTTTGACTCTTAAGTGGGCCACACACGTCAAAAAAAATCAAACGGATCCGCAAAACTTCATTTCGTATTTATTTTTGAAGCGTTAAGATGAACAGCGATAGTGATGACGGAAAAAATACCAAATATTTTTATTTAATATAAATTTATTAAATACTTTTTTTATTCCGGGAAAAATATTTTTATTTGCCACACTGTAGAATATGTGTAAAAAACCATTAAAAAATCCCCCAAACCATTTTTTGCATATGTTTGACATTGTCCGCTGATCCGCACTCCACGAAATTTCGCAACAAATGGGAAAATATCCACACACCAGGCCACAGACGTCAAACATGTGCGCGTCGCACAACGAAAAATTAAAAATTTTTAATTTCTATCGATCGTTGTGAACACCGTATCACACACGTCAAACATTGCTTCGATTCACACCGATCGAACGCACATGTTTGACGTGTGTGGGCCACTTTACACGTCCTGTTAATTGGATCATGAATAGAAGCAGATGATTTCACCCGAACTGAAAAAAATTGAAAACATTTTGACTTTGACAGTTTCGGGAATTTTCTACCAAAATGGCCGACAATATTCGCCTCTAACACGACCTGTTAATTGGGCCATGAATAGGAAGAAGCATGGTCCGATAAACAGGTCGTGTAGAAGCGAATATTATCAGCCATTTTGGAAGAAAATTCCCCAAACTGTCAGTCAAAATTGAAAGCGTTGTAATTAAAAGAAAATAAATTAAAGTTTGAAAATATAGTTTTTTTAAAGTTTTTATGCAATTTGCATTTTTATGCAAACCGCATTGAACGACATTCCATAGCGTATACGCCAAATACAATCCACGGGATTTGTGAACTAATTTGGTGACGTATACGCGTTCGCTTGTCGTTTTACACGACATGTAGATTAGAACTTTTTGCAGGGTTAACCTACTTTATGAGGATTTATTTGACAAATATTAAATTAATTAAATCCTGTACAATATAAACGTACCATAAAACGTTCCAAAATAGTACGTTTAAATTTACGCAATACTTTTCTCATCATGTTTTTTCTTCTTCTGAATTAATTCCGTAGCATATACATTCAATAAATCCTGTAGATCTTGTATTTCATATATACGCCACGGAATTTACGTTGAGATTATGGCGTCATATAACCGTTTTTAAATTAGGTAGACATTTCAACGGAAATGAATTACTTCGCGTGAAGTTGGCTACATTTCATTCCGAATAAAATCCACAAATCTCAAGAAAGTCTACAAGGGGAAAAAGTCATTCAATTCAATCTGAACCGGCAAGGTGGAAACATCGTAGTAAAATTGTTCAACATTATTTTGGGACTTGATTTACAAGATGGCGTAGCGTTTTCCTGAACGCTTGGCATTTGTACAGTCGGTCCTTAAATTCACACAAATTGCAAGTTGAAATTTTAATCTGCAAGCATCCTTGTAGTTTTGTTGTCAGCGTATAGCTAAAATAGGATAAAGGTAATTAAATTCTACGGTAGAATAATATTTTCTTGGTATTTTTTCTCTGCTACGAGTTTGGCACGATGTATCTCCAGGGTCGTAGAATATGTTACTACGCTTTGGTCGCATTTTTTGACGTGCAATAGTAAAATTCTGTTCATTTGCATCGTTTGGTGATACTGCAATTACAATACTATCACCATGGAATTACGAGAGCAGGACAAATTTAATACAATTTTGTTGTTTGATTAGAAGTAGTAGTCGAACATAACCTCAATCTAGAAATTAATTTCTAATCATGGATTTTATTTGTTGTTGTTATAGGACAAATATGTATTTGTATAATTTAACATTGCAAAAGGCCACGGGTATTACCCATGCTGTCCATGGCAACTTCTCGGGTGGCAAACAGCAGGAGGTAATTGTGTCACGTGGCAAATCATTGGAATTGGTTAGGCCAGATTCGAATACCGGCAAAGTGCACACCATTTTGTCTACGGAGGTATTTGGTTGCATTCGATCATTGATGTCTTTTCGTCTAACTGGAGGCAATAAAGGTAGTTATATAATTCTTATTTTGTTATGTATGATGGATGCATGCACAAATCCCTATTGAAATTTCGAGTTTAATGTTTCGAAAATTCAATAAGTCTTTCTAAAACAACGACTAAGTGCTATAGAAAATATGAAATCTTGGCGTCGCATTTGATGTGATCCTTCATATCATATCGAACTGAAACTCTGAGATACATTGCTTTGTGTGTATATTTTTAAAACTGGAAAATTCCTAACATTAATTGTAGTCACCATGAACACTTCTTTGTTCTTGTAGATTATATTGTGGTCGGTTCAGATTCTGGACGTATTGTTATTCTGGAATATAATCCAACTAAAAATTGTTTGGATAAGGTACATCAAGAAACATTTGGCAAATCAGGATGTAGACGTATTGTACCTGGCCAATATTTGGCCATTGATCCCAAGGGTCGTGCTGTAATGATTGGTGCTGTGGAAAAACAAAAACTGGCATACATTTTGAACAGAGATGCCCAGGCACGTTTGACAATCTCATCGCCCTTGGAAGCTCACAAATCGAATACATTCACCTATCACATGGTTGGCGTGGATGTGGGGTTTGACAATCCCATGTTTGCTTGTTTGGAAATTGATTATGAAGAAGCTGATAATGATCCAACAGGTAAGATAAGATTCAAGTTTTTTTTTTTTTTTTCATTTTTACATAAATCGATTGGCACTCTTAGACATGCTCGTTTTATGGATTTTTATACCGTATAACTGGCTTTGGCTGAGTGCTATATAAAACATCAAGGCCTCTGAACCATTGGTATTTGTATTGATTATATTTGCAAATACTTCACTGATATGTGGCGAACATTTTTTTCAAACTAGGTCTCAATTTGCATGATTTTTTACAATCTAATACATATCATTTCTAAATATATTTTTATTTGTCTTTTTTAGGTGAAGCTGCCGAACGCACCCAACAAACATTGACATTCTACGAATTGGATCTGGGTTTGAATCATGTTGTACGCAAATACTCGGAACCATTGGAAGAACATGCTAATTTCCTTATCTCAGTACCGGGTGGTAATGATGGTCCATCAGGTGTTCTCATTTGTTCGGAGAACTATTTGACATATAAAAATTTGGGTGATCAACATGATATTCGTTGTCCCATACCTCGTCGCCGTAACGATTTAGATGATCCAGAACGTGGCATGATATTTATATGTTCGGCCACACATCGCACCAAGAGCATGTATTTCTTTTTGGTACAAACCGAACAGGGTGACATCTTTAAGGTTACTCTGGAGACGGATGATGATGTGGTATCTGAAATTAAGTTGAAATATTTTGATACGGTACCACCAGCTGTGTCGATGTGTGTTTTGAAAACTGGTTTTCTGTTTGTCGCCTGCGAATTTGGCAATCAGTAAGTATTCTTTATTTTTTATTTTTAATTTCGACATTCCGTACTTCTTTGAGTTGCATTTTAGTCCGGTTAGAGTATATTAATCAATTAATCAAAAAATTTTATAACCTCAATATTACGCTATATCCAATATTTTCTCAAAGTACTGTAAATCTCCTGGCCTTTATACATCTTTCAGAACTTGAGGATATAATGCCACCTTAAAATATAATTACACAAATCTATGGAACCGCTCCATTGCGGGCAAATGTCTTTATATCTTTTAAAAAATTCTAAAACATATTTACTAATTATTATATTATGTTTATTTTACTTACAGTTATTTATATCAAATTGCTCACTTGGGCGATGATGACGATGAACCCGAATTTAGCTCTGCCATGCCATTGGAAGAGGGAGAAACATTCTTCTTTGCCCCCCGTCCATTAAAAAATCTCATAATGGTCGATGAAATGCCTTCATTTTCACCCATCATATCGTCACACGTTGCCGATTTGGCAAATGAAGATACTCCGCAGTTGTATGTTTTATGTGGCCGTGGACCACGTTCATCTTTGCGTGTTTTGCGTCATGGTTTGGAAGTATCAGAAATGGCCGTATCTGAACTACCCGGCAATCCAAATGCCGTATGGACAGTTAAGAAACGTATTGATGGTAAGTAAACAGAACAAAAATATTTCCGATTTTATTTTCCCCCATTCTTTTCTGGATAAGTGCAAATAAATTGAAATGTATCGAAATCTTATTTCAAAATATTTGCATTTTGAGCCTATATTTGGTGTACACTTTGGTTTGGTGTAACACTCTTATCTCGAGACAAAATCGTTTTTAACAAATAACTGGTGAATTTCAAATGGATAGTCCATAATAAAAATACAACAACAACAATTGTGCAAAAAGTGGAATCAAACACCAGTTCTTTTTATTGTTTCAGGCTCTTGAACACCTCTTGTGTGCTGAATTAATTGACGAGTGGTTTTTGAAATTTGTTTGAAATTATCCAAAAAAAAGGATAAACAACAAAATCGAAAATGAAAAAAGAACACACACACGCATGCACAAGAGTGTAGTGTTTTCGTTTTGTTGCACACAAAACTTATCCATCCCACCTTTCAACACCACACAATTATCCTCTCTTCTATATCAATATTGTTGAAATCTTAAAAATTGAACCAGTTACTCAAATATAGGTAAGGCAACATTGTTATAAATAAAATTTAACATTATCAGATTTAAGCTTCAACATTTTACATAAAAAAGAACAAATACTACTACTACACACAAGCCATTTCCAAAAGCATTTTTGCATTGTTACAATATCTTCTGTTTTGGTAAGATATGATGTGATTTTATCAACCGTGTTTCAGCTGAATTAATTTGATTAATACTTTTGATAACTGATAACTCTTACCAATGGATATTGTACAATGTATAACTTGCTATTTTTTGATATTAGTTCGAATGCAGTTTTTAAAAAACAATTTCTTTTTTGTGTTTACCCCCCATCTAGATGAATTCGATGCCTATATCATTGTGTCATTTGTAAATGCTACGTTGGTTTTGAGTATTGGTGAAACTGTGGAAGAAGTTACGGATAGTGGCTTTTTGGGTACCACACCGACATTGTGTTGTGCCTCTTTGGGAGAAGATGCTTTGGTGCAAGTATACCCCGATGGTATACGTCATATACGTTCCGATAAACGTGTTAATGAATGGCGAGCACCTGGCAAAAAATCCATTACCAAATGTGCAGTCAATCAACGTCAGGTGGTTATAACATTATCGGGGCGTGAATTGGTCTATTTTGAAATGGATGCGGTAAGTTGTGTTTTGGATGTAGCCAAAGTTTCAGTATTTTCAATGTAATGTTACTCTAGTCTAGTTTTATTCATTCAATCTGCTGGCCATTTTAAATTAGAATAGTTTAAGAGAATGGACTAACATTGAAGCCTTTGTCCATTGTAAATATATTCAGCCCATTTCCTTTTGAAATTTGTCTGTTAAAAAAAAACGAATAAAATGTTCAAATGTCCATATTTGGACGTTACATGAGAAATATACAAAAGATTTCTGTATTCAAAACTTGCCTTATTTTAAAGAAAATATTAGTTTATTGATTAAAAAAAACTAGACTAGAGTAATTTTTTTTCCTAATTTGACTATGATGATAAATCACGAAAAAGAACAATCATGTTGAGGCACTTTGTGTCCTGCAGTACTGAGTCATATCTAATAATTTTTCAATTAACAATTTAGTATTTCCCAAAACAAAACTAAAACAAATTTCCTTTCTTTTCTAGACTGGTGAACTGAATGAATATACCGAGCGTTCAGAAATGCCTGCTGAAATTATGTGTATGGCATTGGGCACAGTGCCTGAAGGTGAACAGAGATCATGGTTTTTGGCTGTTGGTTTAGCTGATAATACCGTACGCATTATATCACTCGATCCGAATGATTGTCTAACACCTTGCTCGATGCAAGCTCTGCCATCACCTGCTGAATCGTTGTGTCTCGTTGAAATGGGCCATACCGAAAGTTCAACCAACACCAACGATGAACCCAACGAACGCGGAAATGTATCGACCAAAGGCACAATATACCTTAATATTGGTTTAAGCAATGGTGTCCTCCTGCGTACCGTATTAGATCCGGTGTCGGGTGATTTGGCTGACACACGTACACGCTATTTGGGTTCTAGGCCTGTAAAACTATTCCGTATACGTATGCAGGGCTCGGAAGCTGTACTCGCCATGTCGAGTCGTTCATGGCTTTCTTATTACTATCAAAATCGTTTCCATTTGACGCCATTGTCCTATGAAACTCTGGAATATGCCTCCGGATTTTCAAGTGAACAATGTAGTGAAGGTATTGTGGCTATTTCCACAAACACCTTACGTATTTTGGCTTTGGAGAAATTGGGAGCTGTCTTCAATCAAGTATCATTTGGTTTGGAATACACGCCCAGAGCATTTGCAATACACCCGGATACGGGAAGAATGATTGTGGCGGAAACCGATCACAATGCCTATACGGAAGAAACCAAAAATGCCCGTAAACAACAAATGGCAGAAGAAATGCGCATGGCAGCCGGCGATGAAGAACGTGAATTGGCTAATGAGATGGCCAATGCATTTATAAATGAAGTTTTGCCGGAGGATGTTTTCTCAGCTCCTAAGGCCGGTGTCGGCTTGTGGGCTTCTCAGATAAGAGCGATTGATCCCATTCAAGGACAAACTCTATTTAAAATACCTCTTGCCCAAAATGAAGCTATAATGTCGATGACAATCTTGAAATTTTCCGTAACTCAAGATGGTCGCTACTATCTGGCTGTCGGGATAGCCAAGGAGTTAATGTTAAATCCTCGTATTACAAATGGTGGTTTTATTGATGTGTATAAAATTGATCCCACCTGTTCGTCGGTAGAATTTATGCATCGCACCGAACTAGATGAAGTACCCGGAGCTTTGTGTGCCTTCCAAGGAAGGTTGTTGGCTGGTTGTGGACGTATTCTTCGAATCTATGATTATGGTAAAAAGAAATTGCTGCGAAAATGTGAAAATAAACACATACCCTATCAAATTGTAAATATACAAGCCATGGGACATCGTGTCTATGTATCCGATGTCCAGGAATCAGTATTTTTCATACGTTACAAGAGGGCCGAAAATCAGTTGATTATTTTTGCCGACGACACGCATCCACGTTGGGTTACATCTACCACCCTATTGGATTATGATACCATTGCTATTGGTGATAAATTTGGCAATATGTGCATCCAACGTTTACCGCATTCGGTTACCGATGATGTCGATGAAGATCCCACCGGTACAAAATCTCTGTGGGATCGTGGTCTGCTATCAGGAGCATCACAGAAATCGGAAAACATTTCAACATATCATGTTGGCGAAATAATAATGTCACTGCAAAAGGCCACCCTTATACCGGGTGGGTCGGAAGCATTAATATACACAACATTAAGTGGTACGGTCGGGGCATTTGTACCATTCACCAGTCGAGAAGATTACGATTTCTTTCAACATCTGGAGATGCATATGCGTAATGAGAATCCACCACTTTGTGGAAGGGATCATTTAAGTTATCGCAGTGCCTATTATCCGGTTAAGAATGTTATTGATGGCGATCTATGTGAACAGTATCTATCCATTGATCCGGCTAAACAAAAGACCATTGCTGGTGATATGTTCCGTACACCGAATCAGGTGTGCAAGAAATTGGAAGACATTAGAACGCGTTATGCTTTCTAAAGAGAGGTGGATGAGGATAGACAAATAAGGTATGTGTGTATGATTATTTTTCAACTTGTTTATTATTGTTTTGTTTGTTTTGTTTTTAAATGATGACTTTGTGATTTACCTTGGGACACCTATGACAAAAAAAAAATGATTAGTGTAAATCGTTAAATATCTGATAGCTTTTATTTGTATGTAAATCATTAATTTTCTTATTTTGAGTTTTGTATTAATTTAGTTTTTCTTTTCTTCTTTTTAGATTTTATATATGTGTTGGGTGTGCCCATTGTACCTATATATTTCAACAAGATTTTAAGGTAAGTTGATTTTTTGATTATTAAAAAATATGTAAATTTCTTAAATGATGAGCAAGATTTTTACCTTGGGACACCTATGAATTGTTCTGTGATTTGTGTAAATTTAATTTAAACTGAAACATAGTATTTTCTATTTTTTTAATAATATTTTTATTTACGAGTTCTTATGGATTATTAATTTGTTTTGTTATTTTTCGTATTTCAGATGGTGTTATTTATATGACATTTCTCAATTCATTGTCACCCCATATGATGCTTTATCGAGGTACGTTTTCATATTAAATATTTCCATAAAAAATTTAATATTTTATTTGAATGATGATCTCTTTTATTATACATTAACTTTCGTTCTACTGAGAACTAATGAAGAATATTTGTTCTGACCACAATTTTCTAGTTTTGAAAAGCCCCCCATAAAGTAACACATATCATCATTATCTATTCGCCTTCTTGGCTTTCCTTACAAAAAGATCTTTTGGAGCTATTCTATAAAGAGTCATCTAAAAGAAGATCTATAAAAGAAGACATTTTGGTCCTCTATAAGAGGTTTCTATTAGAAGAGTTTTGGTCTTCTTCTGACCTTTCGGTATTCTATAAGATGATCTTTCGGTCTTCTCTAAAATCAATAAAATACCTTATGATTTTCTATGGGTTTTCATATAGAAAATCTTTTTATTGTTTTTATGTACCCTTATACTGACAATTTTGAAAATTGTGTTACCTTTTGGATTTTAATGAGAATTTCAAAAACAATAGTTCGTTTTATATGTGTCCAACCAACTAATGAAATTTGTATTTTTTTCTTGTTTACAGATAATTAAAATTATAAAAAGAAACATAATTTAACGTATTAGTTATTAAAGGTAAGCATTGCAATTGTGTAAATACAAATATTTTATATTTTATGATGAACAACACTTTACATTAACTTTCGTTCTACTGAGACTAATGAAGAGTATATTTACCTGATTTTTTATTTTCAAATTATATATATTTTTTTAAATTTAGAAAACAACAATTATTAATGTGTAATATTTTTTTTTGCTTACAGTTTCCTCCAAATGGTACACCACACAATATTCCATTAAATTCACTCAAATACATTAAGGTAAGCATATTTTTTTTAATATAAAAACCAACTCCCCCTTTTTATAAAAATCCCTTTGTCTGTGATGTTTTTTCAAAATATGTTAGACTAAAGAATTTACATTGATTAAAAATTGAAATGCTGAACAAATATTTAAAAACATAAATGTAATTAAAATCTAAACATAAATAAATTTATTAATAAAATATTTTCTAATTTCTATTTTCAGATTTAATTAGCATTTAATTCACATTGTGAGATGGGAGAACATCCGAACAATTTTAAATATTTCCAAAAAAGGTAAGACTATTAAACAATTTTATTATTTTTTATTTATGTCTCTTAATCTTAAAATGATGTCTCTACATAATATGTTAGACTATGAATCATAATTTGATTATAAAATTTGTAGCTGATTTTTTTACTCTTAAAACAAATTTGTTAATCTTGACTTATTGATTGTTATTAACATAAATTTTATTCGTTATTTCTTTACAGATGTTTTTTGGATGTCACTCTCTTCTTACGAAAATCACCACCCTGTACATTTTCTTCATTCAAACAACCGCATTTATGACTGCCAATATTTTTTAATGCATAGTTGCTCATTAGTCTAACATTAATTTTATTACATACTTTACCATGTATGTTTGTAATTCACTTAATTATTTGTATATGTGGACGTTTAGTTATAGTAAAAAACAAAATAAAATAAATAACACATCTAAACCCAAATAAATTGTTTGATTTCTCGATCTTTTCTTAAACTGACATATGAAACTGTATTAATATGACAACATAGCACACAGTGGCAAAGATGAACTGAAAGGAAAAAAGAAATACATTAAATTCGAGTCAAGAATTAATTATGAGGTAGTACCCCATAAGATCAAACATTTATTGTTTGATAACAAAAATAAATAAATATCAAAATATTCTTGTTCTAACGAAAATGTAAGGGGGAAATACAATATTTACGATTTGGTTGGTGTCTCGCGATATAAAAGCTTGACAGCAATGGAAGTGGTGACATAGGCCGCTATAATAGTAGATGTACAAAAAGTGGATAATACACCAACAATGTTTTTTTTATTTTGATTTGATTCAGGCGATCAATTCATCGTGACTTTGTTCGCTCTTCTCTTTAAAGTTATTCTGAACCAGAACTCGGAGCGATTTTTTTTTACATTTTCACTTTTTCCTTATTCTGAATCAAGTTCGAAAGCGAAGAAATCTGCTTTGGGGAAAATTTTGTTATTTCGGATTACAGGGAATGAGAGAATGTGATGACATTTTGTGCGAAAATTTTCGCAACACTTGAGCACCAAAAACACCATCAAAAAACCCATGGTACGGTCAGGAGTGTCGTAATGCTACTGATGTGAAAAACGAAGCGTATAGGGCAACCCTGCAGGAGAATTATCGGTAGAAAAGAAGAGAGGAGAAACTTATTTTCAGAAAAATAAAAGAAAGAACAAGAAAAACGTGATTGTGAGCAAATCGAGATGTACAGGAGTCAGAATGAATTTTACCAACGAGTAAAACACTAAACCGAAGGATTTGGTGCAGGCACACCCTCCTTTAGAGATGAAGATGGAAACCTGGTGACAGATACAGACAGCGTGTTGAGGATCTGGAAGGAGCATTTTGAAAAGCTTCATGTATCAAATAGTGGCGGTGAAGAAGATACCCCAGAACCAACAAGAGATGACGGTATAGAGTGTATACCACCTAGCCAAGATGAGGTCAGAATAGCAATTAATCGGCTAAAGAAAAATAAAGCAGCAGGAGCCGATGGGTTACCAGCCGAACTATTCAAGACTGGTGGTCAGATGCTGGTCAGGAGCATGAACTAGCAGATTAGTACAAGGGGAATGCATACCCAATTATTGAAATCTCAGCATCCTGTTTCCCGTACACAAAAAATGAGACAAGACGATATATACCAACAATAGAGGAATTAGTCGCCTTCCCATCGCATATAAAGTGTTATCCAGTGTGCTGTGTGAACGACTGAAGCCAATGGTAAATGACATTAATGGACCATACCAATGCGGCTTCAGACCTGGCAAATCCACCATTGAACAGATTTTCACTCTGCGCCAAATCCTGGAAAAGACCCCTAAAAAACATCGACACATTCCACATATTCGGCGATTATAATACCGCATTTGACAGCCCTATCCGTTCGGAGGTGTTTAAAGCCATGTCTGTGTTCGGTATTCCTGCAAAATTAATACGGCTATGCAGGAAAACTTTAAGTGGCACAAGGCCAACAGTAAAAGTCGGAAATGACCTATCGGAACCCTTCAATACCGAACGAGGATTCAGACAAGGTGACTGTCTTGTGATCTTTTTAACATCCTGCCGGAAAAGGTTATAAGAGACGCAAAGGTGAACAGAAATGACACTCCGTATACCAAACAGCATATGTTACTCGCCGACGACATCGCCACATTTGAACTAATTGGCAAAAAGACCAAGCTGATGGTATGAACGCGCAAGACGTCCAGTAGATTCGGACCAACTGTGGAACTTGAAAACTACAGCGACGTAGTGAACGATTTTATATAACTCCGTACCGCCTTAAACAAAACTAATAACTTCAACTTTGAAATCCGGAGGACAAAAGCGTTGACCAACAAATGCTACTATGGTCTGAGTAAACAACTCAAGAGCAAGGCCACCTCTCGCCAGACCAAACTCACACTCTACAAGACGCTGATATTACCCGTGCTGTTGTATGGATCTGAAGCATGGGTACTTGCGCAAGCAGATGATGCAGCTCTTGGAGTGTTTGAGAGAAAATTTCTCCGGAAGATCTATGGGCCGATCTGCGTCGATGGTGAATATCGCCGTTTTAGCGAACCATGTGATATACCACATATATTCTCGGACATCGACATAGTCAGACGGATTGAACTGCAGCGACTAAGTTGGCTAGGCCATCTTGTGCTCAGGTGGAATAATTCTTATTTATTGGAGTTTTACCTTAATGATGGCGATAATCATCTGAATGATTTTCTCGGACATCGACAGTTTTTTACTTCTTTAGTTTGTGATGTGTATCCGATTTCCTAAAGAACTTGGCTACAATGAACTAGTACATACCTTCCCAAATAGTTTATAATTTACATCAATAAATCCACCGGCGGTAAAGTTAATTTTTTGATGAAATAATTGCAATGAGATTTCCTTGAGCAATGCATTTAAAGTTGGATTGTAACGTTCGTGTTTAACCATATGAAAAATATTCGAGAATTCTGCATCCTGAAAATTTGGTTAAAGGGTTAAATTAATTTTATACAAAAATTATAATAATTTCAGTTTAGAATCTCCAACGAACTTACCAACTTTTCACATCTTGAACATAAATAACAAATTATAAATAAGATGATAATCTGCAAAATGATAATATAATAAGCATCTAAAAGAAAACCAAAAATTCAACTCCACTTTTTATCAATATAATTAAAATAGACAACACTTACTTAATTGAAAATATACATTTATTTTAAAATCCACACTGAAATATATCCAATATGATGTTAATATAATTTCCAAAAACATTTTCAATATCAACATTGGCAGACTCCAATTGAAATAGTTTTCAATGTGATTTACATTCGCAATTAATAAATAGTGTATGTCCTGAAGGGCTCCTATCATATCTAATATTTCGATTTGCTCTTCCTGGCCTTCGGACATACACTTCAGTTGCCGTACTGTATGTCTCATATAGTTCGCGGTAAACTCTTTCAAGTGCAATTGCATTGCAACAATAATAACAAGAAATAATGAATATTCGGTAAGTTTTAATTGTATAATAATTCCACTATACTGGGCCAATATCAAACGGATTGCATTCAGTGATTTTATATAACGTAAATATATAACAAAAACAGTTATAATCACATTAAACGCCAGCATGCTATACAGGTACACTGTATAGAGAAGTAAACGATTTGGATTAAATTGAGATTTTAAATTTATATGAAATTTTCGTAATATAATTTCAAAATTATGAAATATATCATCATAGTGACTGGCTTTCCATGTATTTTCCCAATAGACAATTAGATGAATAAGCAGTAATATTACATAGCCGATAATGTCCAAACCCACCGAGAATATATCCGATTGTTTGTAGAGTACATCTTGAAAACGATAGAAACGTAGCAACGAAAGTAAAGCAACAAATAATGCAACAATCATTTGGTGCAGTAATCTCCAACAAATAATTTTGCAGGGAGAATTTGAAAGTCCATTGAATTCATAGGGTAAGGCACCGCAAATATACATTAATAGGCGTAGAGGCCTCAATGTCTTTTGGTAAAGCAATGTTCCGACATTTGTTTGTCCGTACATATTTAATTATTCGTTTAGTTATTCTCAATAAAGGTCACATCTAAGCAATGAATTAGTATTTCCCAGCACATTGTCATTCAAATTCCTGTCATTAATCATTTATCAAAATTTAAAAAAAATGGGAGAAATAAAGTTCGATCAAGTGACTTTTTTATATCCTACCCACACTGTGATCCATGGTAGGTGGGTATTATATATTTGTGAATTTGAAAGAACATGCAGAGGGAAACAAGATAGGTCCATATTAACTATTGAGGATATACTTTGTAAACAAATTGCATGCCCAATTTATTATCCAAGTGACAATCAAAAGTCTACTCTTCTAGGACGGTTAAGGCTTGGAAAATATTGTTTAAAAAATCGACGCTTCTAGGTCGGTTATGCCTAGGAAAATATTTTATTTTAAATTCCCACCTACGGTTCGGTCTATTAGGGCTAGGGAAATATTTTATTTTTTAAATCCATGCCTACGGGTTGGTTAGGGTTTGGAAAATATTTAAAAAAAAATCTTTCCTGTTGGTCGTTTACGAATTTAAAAATTCTTTAAATTGTAATTTATTATTGGTCTGTTCCCGTACTGCAACAACATTGATATTGAGAGAATTTCGTAGTTTAAACGCGTCTTTGCTTTTATTCTACAACAAAAAAAATTATTCTTTCCAAGGAACACACACAAAAATGGTTAATTATTAATAAATATTTAAATTTTTAAATTAAATATTTGATTTTGAAGAACGAATTTCTGGTGTTTGTCTGCGTCTATATAATTTATTTGTTAACCCTCTGCATACTTTATCTCTGACAGGTTAAAATTATAGTTACGATATTATCATTCGATTTATTGATGTTTCATCATAAATTAAAAAATACCGCAATTTGTTGTTATTAGTATATAACAACAAATGAAACAAAGTTATTTTCTTTTTTTGATATTTTATTGTACAAAAATAGCAAACGGAAACAGAACAACTCGCAATGTATAAAGCCAATACTACTTCTCTTTATAGAAAGAGTTTGTGGCCTGTACGCATATTAATGTATATTCTTAATGCCCTGCCATTTCAAATCAATGAATTTTGTCATATTAATCGCCGACGAATATCTTGCACCCTTTTATACTGGAGAATGCTACATCAAATTCTGGTTTTCCTATTTGTTGGATGGCTTTTTATGTTACGAATGCATCATTTCGAAGATGTCTACTATGAACACACGGACTTATTTGCAAGGGTAATGGATGAAATAGGCTATGGTCTATTGACAATAAGTCACCTAATTATCTATTGGGAGAATACATGGAAATCATGTTATTGCTGTGAAATATTTAAAAATTTTGAAAGTATTATACAAATTTCGACATAATTTGAAATATGAAATAAATACAAACCGGTTGCATTTGTATGCAGTGTTGCTGTATATCATGTTGGCATTAAATATCATTATTAAATTTTTTGTCATATACCTACGCTATTTAGAGTCACTGAACGCAATTCGTTTGCTATTAGAACAATATAGTGAAACAATTTTAAAATTGAAATTTCTTGAATATGCTTTGTTTCTGCTGATTATTATGACAATGGAAAGGCATTTGAATGTATTTGCCAAGCATTACATGAGCAATACGGTAATGATGCTAAAATCCTTAACAGAAGGAAATGAGCAAAGGGAAATACTACAGATTATTGGAACGCTACAAGATATACACAACTTGCTAATGTCTAATGTAAATCACATAGAAAACTATTTTAACTGGAGTCTACCAATGTTGGTCCTGAAACTGTTCGCAGAACTGATTTTAACTTCATATTGGATGTATTATGTTGCTGATTTTAAACCGTCTCCTATATATCATTTATGTGAGTTTTTTTGTTAAAAAACTTTTCCAATCATGTAATGTTTTTTTATTGCAGGGGGATATTCCCTTATAGTTTTACATTCTACATTTTTGTTTTTAATATGTTTTCTATGCTCAAAATGTGAAAAACTGGTAGGTTTTATGTGGAAGCTAGTCAAAATTGATGATGTGATAACAAATTGAATAATTTTTGTTTTCAGGACTCACAACTTGCTTATATTTTCTTAATGGCTAAACATCAACGTTATAACCGACATTTTACAGCCCTACACAGAGAAATGTCGTTACAATTGTTTCATCAAAAAATATCATTTACAGCTGGTGGATTTGTTGATATAAATTATAAATTATTTGGAAAGGTTTGTATATTTATCTAAAATATGTAAATGGTTTGTTCCCTTACTGCAAGAATCTACTACTTTTTACTACCTTTATGATATCGACCAAAATGGTACAAACTAGTAGATTCTTGCATTACGGGAACAGACCTAAAGGGGAAAGGTTCCTACAATGATTCTTATTTTTTTATTTCAGTTTATTTTCGTAAGTGTATGCTATTTTGTCATTCTGATCCAATTTCATATGTCATATTAAAAAAAAAGTATCAGTAAAATGATCGCACGCGTTATTCTTCTCTGCTACTTGGAATACATTCCTGAAGAATAAGAAGAATACTTGCAGAATCATTTATTTTTCCACATTCCAAATTCAGTATCTTCGATAAAGATTTATCTTTCAAGAAAAAAATACAGCCTATTGCTTTCTGGTTGACATTTACTAGTCAACCAGAAAGCAATAGGAAATTCTATTTGAAATATCCCTATATTTTCAAGGCTTCTTGTTGCGTTTTCTTTGGGGATTTTTGAACAGCTCGAAAATTAAAAAAAAAACAGCTAAATTATAATCAGCCAATGTTATTTTAAAATCCTTCATAATAAAATTTTAAAATTCTAAGTTATACAGCTGCACTTCACAATCTTTGACTGGACTGGAAAGAAAACTGTTTAAAGTTTTCCTAATTAATGAAGGGAAAAAACCGTTTAAATTCTCCAATCACAATTCGTTCAAATGGTATATCAATTTTGCCAATACATTGATATTTCTTAACGACCTGACAAAAAAAATTTTAAGCTTAAGAATAATGTAAAAAGGCAATAAAAATGTTATGTAAATATAGATCAGTATATATTATACATTACAATTTTTAAAGGTAATATATTTTTAATATAATATATTTAATATATATTTAGATTAATTTTTTATTTGGACATGTTATGAAATGTCCCTTTGTTTGAGTAGTTAAATCATACTGTTTTGCATAATGTATTATTGGCATAAACGCGTCGTTATACATGTTAAAATTGAAATAAATAAAAAAATTAAAAATTATAATTCAATAGTCAGAAAAATGTGGTCACCTTAAACGAAAACGATAGTAATAATTCGTTTATTTATCGATAAATCAAAATCGACTTACACATCCCTATACGACTGTCGTTCAACATGTGCTACACCAACTAACAGAAACATAAATAAAATAAATAAAAACATACAATGGCAAGAAAAAAGAATCCCAAAAAGAAATTGGAAATTGTTTTTGATCCACAAAAGAGAAAGTAAATATTGCAGATAAATGTTTTTTTTATATAAGAAGTCTATAATATACTTATTTTGTGTTTTGTTCCAAACTAAAGGGAATTTTTAACTGGATTTCGTAAACGTAAAAATGAGAGACGCAAGCGTGCCCAGGAGGAATTGGAACGTAATCTTAAGGAAGAACGTCGCCGGATACGTTTAGAAATTAAAGATGGTATTAAACATATGAAAAAGTCATTTGAACCATTAAAGGAACTTACCGAAGCCGATAAACGCAATGAGGATGAGTATGAAGATGATGACGTGAAGGTTAAAATTGTGGAACTTTCTACGGGAGATTTAGCCGCCCAACGTAATATGTTGGGAGTTAATCGTGGCGAAGAATCTGAGGAAAGTGAGAAGGATGCCAAATCAGATGATGATGAAGAGGAGAACAATAGTCCAAACTGTATACCAGGAATGGATTTTGATATTAATGCCAAGAAAAGAAAACATGCCAGAGAATCGGATAATGATGATGGTGGTGACAGCGATGAGGAAGGTGCTGGTGGCAAAAGTAAAAAATCAAAAACTGAAAAAGAAAAATTAGAATTGAAAACCAAAAAAGAATTGGATCATTTCAAAAAGGTTAAGACCATGAAGAAGCTAAAGAAAACTAAAGCGTTTAAAATGAAACAACAGTTAGACAAAAAGGCCAACCAGAAGAAGGCTAGAAAAGATCGAAACAATACGTTGAAAAGCCTGCCAGCTCATCTGAGAAAAAAGAAAAAATTCCAAAAGAATCCATATAGCAAGGGAAGACTTCTTAACAGAAGGCAAATAAGAAAAAAGAACAGTAGTGGTTAATAAAAATGAATAAATTTTAAATAAATATGAATGTATTTCTTGATGGTGTATAGGTATATTAAGAAGTAAGTAAATAATAATAATTTTCTAATTTAAAAAAATTAATGGAAATTTAGAGCATTGGAAAAAGTAGATAATCTCTATATTCTCAGCTTTATATAAAGGGTGGAGTATATAATTATTTTGTTATTCCGTTTATTATGCCTCGAAATATTCGTCGAACAACCCATAAAGAAAATCGCTTAAGACTTTGAAAACTGTTCTCATCTGAGAAAAAAGATAAATATCTCCCATACTGCTACAATTTCGTTATTTTCAATGTTTTCTTTCTGTATTCTTGGAGGGTGATATACTTCTCTTCCCCCTTGTCACTTATTATACCACTCTCTTTTAAGTATTCAGCAGAGTTGCTTACAAAAGTTGCATGATGTATTCATAATAATTGACCAAATAAGGCTTTGTGTACATGTAAGAATTTAAATAAAATTAATAAATCTGAGCCTACAAATTGGAACTAATATATTTCCCACACGTTTTATAATTAACGATGGATGAAGTTAAGATCCTGATTTTGTAGAAGTACATACTTTCGGCGAAATTGAGAGAGAATCAAAAATCTCATCCAATTCTAAACCTCCGCGTCTCTCCCAAAACTCTAGGTCTATTAATAAGATCAACCATGAAGACCAGCTACAAAAAAGATGCTTCTCAAGTTTGCTGCCAAAATCCATTATTGCGAATGGACTTCACTTTTTCAAATCGTCCAAATTGTTTTTATTTAACTTGACAGTAGTAGGTCTTAGTCATGCGAAAATCCTAAAAATTTATTTCTAAAACTGTTAGTCTATGTTTATACATGCAACTTGTTTAAGCAACTCTGCTGCTGCTCTATACGATTCACTTTTGAATTTCTTTCCCCTTGTCACTTTTTATACCTCTCATTGATAAGAACTCAGCAGAGTTGCTTACAATAGTTGCATGATTTATTCATAATAATTGGTCAAATAAGGCTTTGTGTACATGTAAGAGTTTAAATAAATATATATAAACACAGACTTAGTGACTATAGACTTTTATTTGGCGTCCACTGTTTATAGAACGACAACGTTTTGATTGTGACTAATGCACAGCTGATATTGTTTTGTTGCCACAATAAAACGGGAATCGTAGCAACCCACGAAACGCAAGTAAACAAAAGAAGCACACGTTTCCATGAGGCTTTTGAAATCTACTTCAAATCAGGAAATTTTCATTTATTTATTATACAAGACAAATCAGCAATCTAAAAAACTAAAACTGAATTAAAACAAATATACCATCAACATGTCATACGAAAATTGGCTAAATTATCTTAAGAGTGCTGAGAAAAATTCAATGCTAAGCGGTAAAAGTCGAAAAGTGTTTTACAAGTTTCCCGATGGAAATCAAATGGCCGAGGAATACAGCATGGACACGGGAGTTGTACAAAAAAGAGCATGGCGCAAATGTAAACAGCTTATGGGAGAACCAGAATGGGAAGTTGAATTAGGCGAGGATTCTCGTCAACTGGGAGCCGCCGGTGGAGAAAAAGATGATATTCGTAATGACGACGGCAGCTTTATGGTAAAAATTTCGAATACTGAGCCAATACTCAGCAAACGAATCACAAAGAAAAATATTGAATGGAGAATACGAAATTTACCCTATCCCATAGAGGTGTACAATGTTCAAGCTGATGGCGAGAAACGAGCCATTGTTGTAAGAACAACAAATAAGAAATATTACAAAGTTATTCCTGTACCGGATTTAGATCGTTGTGGAGTACTACCGGCACAGGAAAACATAATGGTACATCATCAATACAATACACTGATAATAACCTATAAGAAACCCGATATCTTATGCGAAATGGAGGCAGCTGTTTTGATTTTGTTAAAAGATGTAGAGACTGAAACCGATATGGAGGAACTTTTACAAGGCCTACTGCAGAAATAAATCATTAGATATATTTAAAAATAATTTTGTTCTTTATTATTAACCTAAATCCATCCACTAAGCGGTAGCCATAGAGATCATAAATGTAAACCAAAAACTATATCGCTGGCTTAAATTATTTTTGGAAATTTTCTACCAATCCCGATGACATAAAAACCGTATAATCAAAAGAAGGCAATTCCAAGGGTGCCAATGAAGGTAGTTCTTCATCGGTTTGCAGCATATGTTCTTCTAAAATACTCATACGCCTTTTGGCAATATCATCTTTTTCTTCGCTTTTTAGACTTGCTTTTGAGTCATCAGCACCACAATTGGGATTATTGTTTTCATTACTCTGTGCCAAAGAGAGACCTTGCATATTCAACATTAGGGAAGCGCTACCATACTTTTCATTGAATTCCTTAATGGTTTTATCAATGGATCGGGCAGCAATAGAGGGGGCATTTATTATTTCAGGCGGTTTGATGATTTCACTTTGGCATACAGGCGGCAAAATTTCCTTCTGTTTCATTCTTTCGTATTGTTGTTTTCGCATAGCGATTTGTTGTAATTTTCTTTCATAATCCCATTTTATAATATCGAGTACTTCCAGAGCCTTTGTTGTTCGTACCGTTTTCTTGGCATCTGCAACATAAAACAATGAATTTTCTATGGCTTTATTAGCTTCATCGTACTGATGCCGTTTCATCAGCTTCTCGGCTCGTCTTTCATGAAAGTGGGCCTGTAATGTGGTGATTAGTACAATATTGGATTATTATTAGTTGAGGTGTCAAAAGTCTATTCTTACCAAATTAAGTGGTGCTGAATCCATATTTACGACTTAATGTTTTTATTTTTGGGCAACTTTTGTTTCTCCCGTTTTCGCTTTTTGGGATCTATAGATCGAATGGGGGCATATCAAGTTTTTTGCAAAATTTTCCAATACCAAGATCTATTAATAGGGTCACCCAGTTAGCGAAAGTCAGCTGTTTTTCCCAAGTCTAATGTCAAAATGTAGGCTTTTGTTTACGTTTTCATAGTGGAAGTCAATTCACAATAATAAATGTTGAGAGGCAGCTGATATCCAGCTGATCTCCCTGGACGACCTTATTTAAAGGCCTTGAATAAGGTCACCCAGCTAGCGAAAATCAGCTGCTAATTCTCAAGTTTAAAGTCAAAATTTTGGAAGTCATTTCACAGGAGTGGATACTGACAGCAAATTTAAGAGGCAGGTGATATGCAGCTGGTTTCCCTGGATGACCTTGTTAATAGACCTTAGCCGTGCTGCCAAAGTTCTTTCTATTTCAAATTAAGGGCTAAGCAGAATGTTCGCGTTTAATCGTAGTTCCGTTCCAGACTATCAGTTTGGACCATGCCCTATTAATAAGGTCATCCAAGAAGCAGTCTATATAGAAAAACAGTTGTTATTTCTCAAGTTAAATGTTAAAGCACTTTGACAGCAAACATGAGAAGCATCTCGAATGCATCAGTCTTCCGGGGTGGCCTTAAGAGATGTACACACTATCAGTTTTTGAACGACACTCTGACCTAAACTTTGCTTGTTTCATAGTATGGCCTCTCATGTCCCACATTCATCAGGCAACTATGAAAATATTTATGGTCAGTAATCGATAAAAAAAATTTGACACTCAACATTGATAATGCCTGTTCCTTTATGGTATCGAAAAATGGAAAAAAGTAGTATATTCTTGCAATATAGAAATAGCCCAATAGTGTGTACACCGCTTTATCAATTTTTTGTGTACGTTTTCGCACGATTAAATCAAATTTTGACAGTTCGGGTGAAATAATTTTAACAACCATGAATATTTTCGTGAGTTACTCTATTAATAGCTTATTGGACTGACACATGGCCTACAATTAATATGGTCGCCCAGGGATACCAGCTGGCTATCTGCGCCACTCAAGTTTGCTGTGAAAATTCATTATTGTGAATTGACTTCCATTATGAAAACGTAAACAAAGTCGATATTTTTCATTTCATTTCATTTATTTCATACATAGTAACGCATAAGCTAATATAGCCAAACAATTTTACATTACAATATACTAACTAACAGTGTTGTAATATACAATAAAGAATTAAAAAAAATATCTTATATACAATTATAAAAATGTTAATGCAATTTCCCTATAAAATTGGTTCCCCATGAAGTAAAATTAACAAAATAATATTAAAATATTAAAAATTACCAACTATTTTATGACAGCACTACTAAAAGAGCAGAGTCTAAACAATCACATTTGGTTTAGCGCAAATTCAGTATATCTGTTAATAAATATATGCGCAGGATTTGAGAAGGTACGCTGAAGCCAGGGAAGTTGGTTCCAAATTCGTGCCACCCGAACAATAAATGATCGTTCAAAAATCAACGAGGAGAAGTGTGGAATTAAAAGTTGAGTATTACGAGTTGAGTGCAAGAATATAAATTTGTTACGTAAAGATACCGGACAGTTAGTCGATACAATATTATAAAATATTTTTAATAAACGTTGCTTTATATATATATATATATATATCAAATGGTACACCCAGAAAAAGCACTGAATAAGTTGAGACGTGGTCATGCCGATTCAACTTATAAACAAAACGCAATATCAAACGCAAAGAGACTGGTACCGGAAACAATCTCATTGTTATAAAGTGGACACTACACCAGAATAAAGAACTTGAACATTGGACTTGAGAAAAAACAGCTGTTTCCGATTTCGATTGCTACATGGATGACCTTATTAATAGATCTTGGACTGTCAGTAATCGATAAATGTAAAGTCGACTTATATATCCCTATTGTTATTTCGCGCCTAAAGTTGTGAACTAGTTAAACAAATGTTTTGGTGGTAACTTACAACATATTTTACAAAACAGACACATCTTTTTAAATAGTCAAGTAAAAATAGAAACAAATATCACAATGGACGAACATAATACTAGCATGGAAGCGTTAAAAGTGGATGAGGAAGAGAATATCAAAGAAACATCTATGGAAGAAGATATATTGGGAGCACAGAGTTTATTAATTTCCGAATCCGAAGATGAAGACGAATCCTCAGGTGTTAAAAAGTTTCGGAGTCCGCTGAAGAAAATTAGCCCCAAAAATAGCAACAAAACTAAACGTATAATTGATAGTGATGAAGAGCAACCAACAGATGATGTGGAAAACCGGAATGAGCACGAAGATGAAAGTGTGGATAAAGCACCTGCCGACTCTACGTCGAGGAAAAAGATATCTGCCCTTATAGATTCCGATAGTGAAAATGAGGCCAACGGAAAAAGTGACACAAAACCCAATAGGCTACTACTGGTAGATTCAGATTCCGAAAATGATGAACCAAAGAAAAAAATCCACAAGAAAGAAAAAAAGGTGGAAGATGTGGGGGAGACTAAATTGAAGAAAAAATCCAAAAAGAAGCAACTATCAGATAGTGAAGAAGAAACCGATTCCAAACTAAAGAAAAAGTCTAAAAAGAAAAACAAGTCTGGAAGCGAAGATGATGGCGACGAACTAAAACACGAGAAAAAGCAAAAGGAGAAAATTCAGTCTGGAAGTGACGTAGATACGGATAATGAAAATAAGAAATCCAAAAAGAAAATATCCAATCTGGTTGACAGTGACTCGGACGAAGAGAATTCTGTTAACAGTGGCAATGACAGCGAAATGGATTTAGATGCATCGGCTAGAGCATGTAATTTTGAAGAAAATAATAACGAAGAGGATGGGTCACTAAAACGAAAGGATAAAAATAAAAAACCTGTTCGGGTAATTATATATGAAATTGTATTATTTTGCAATTTATAATAACCGACTTCTATTTTTATTTAGGCATCTGCAAAGAAGGCTATGGATGAAATGCAAGCCATTCAAAGTGAACAACAAAGATTGCATCGAGAAGCCAGTATAAGGTAGTTTTCTTTAGTGGTAGGCCTTTGGTTTTCTGTTATTTAATACTATATTATTCTTATAGCATACCCTATCATAAACCTAAGAAACATACACTACAAGATTTTCTCAATCGAAGAACAATCATTAAACCCGAGGCCCAAAACAGCAGTCCAATTGTTGAAGCGGTGCGATCTAAAAATTTGAAAATGACCCAAGAAGAATTAGAGGAATATGCGTAAGTATTTATGATGGGGTTTGAACTACTACTCTGATGATGTATTATTTATTATCCTTCGTTTTAGTAAGCTAATGGAAGAAAGAGCTAAGGAAGCAACCGAGTTCTTTAAATCTGAATCCGAAGAAGAGGAGGAAGAAGAAGTATTCAAAGACAATGACGGCGTTATTGACAAGCCAATGGATCAGCAAAATCTCGAGAATAACGATCCTAAACCTGCAACAGAATTAACTGAAAACAATTCTGAACCTCTTCAATTGACTGAAGAAGAAATGGCTGAAATTTTAGCTGCAGAAGAACAGCAAGAAACTACTGAGGACAATCAGAATACTGATGCAGCATCAACCTCTAAAGTTCTTATAACCGAAGTTATTGAATTGCCAAAACTGGATATGAATACAGTAAAAATAAGTCCGGTTAAGAAACCTCCGCCCCCAGCAGCTCCACAACAGACACCTAGAAACTCGTTGAATATTAAACAAATACTGGCCACTAAAAATCTTAAAGGTAGACCATCTCTAAGTGGCGATCCAAATAAGTTAATCGATTTGGAGACGGGCGATTTGGTGGAACGCAAACCAACAGGTGTGGAAAATCTAATGCAGCGTTTAATGTGTAATACCAAAGGGCGAAAATCAAAAACCAATGAAGTCTGTAATATCCTGTCAACGGAAAATGGAAAAGTAGAAATTACTAAAATCAATGTTAGTCTTACGGACGAGAAGGATCCCACAACAAAGGAACCAAAACCACGAGCGGCATATTTCGAATTGAAAAAGAATCTCAAGGAAATCATAAAAAAGAAGAGACTTGAAGAATTAAATAAAAAACAGGAAGATGAAGCGGAACACAGCAAGTGTCTCGAAGAAGATGATGATATGTATCAAGAGGAGGAATATGAACCAGAATCAAAACCACATAAAAAAGGCAGTGAAATGGAGGTATTATTTAAAGAATATTCTTGGTGGTGCAATTTTTTCATTGACTCGCTTTTTTACAGATTGATGATGAAGAAAATCCTGTGGAAGGTGCAGATGAGGAAGAGGAGGATGATGAAGAAGAAGAAGGAAATGAGGATGGGGATGAGGAGGATGAGGATGAAGATGAAACTGATACAAAATTAAAAGCAAATAAAGAAATTGTGGTATGTAAAAACTTAATAATTCAAAGAAGACCATTATTATGTTTTGTTTACTCTCAAGATTGATGACGAAGAAAATCCTGTCGATGTTGCGGACGAAGAAGATGCTGATGACGACGACGAGGAAGAAGAAGAGGAGGAGGACGACGACGAGGATAGTGATGCTGACGAATTAACTGAGACCAACCCGAGCAACAAAACAAAACGGAATCGTATTATCAAAACGTTTGATGATTCCGACGAAGACAAAGATGATATAGATTTTCTCAAAACTCAACCTCCACAAACCCAACTAAACATATTTGATACTCAAACTTCCTCAAAACCAGATGAGGAAAGCGAATTAATGGGGTTGTGTTCGGGAACATTTGACATTACACAAAAACCACCCTCACCTAATGCCTTGATGTCACAAATACCACTTACACAAAATCAAGGTAAACCATTGGATGATGACGAGTTGATGGAATTGTGTTCAGGAACATTTGAAGAGCCAGTGGGCGCAACCCAACAAACCCAGTCAATGAATCCAAATACTAGCGAACAAACTATGCAAATAAAGTGCAATAAGATTGTATCAAGCGACGACGAAGAAGAAGAGGAGGGAACGACAAAATCAGCACCCAGAACTAAGAAATTAACAAAGAAATTGAAAAAGAAAGCAGCTAAACTTGGTTTCTCTGATGATGAGGAGGAGGAAGTAGAGGTAAATCCAAACCAAGACGACGAAAACGAAGAGGAGGAGGATGATGAAGTAGTAGAACTTGCAGATGATGAACCCGCTACATTTGTTGACTATGATTCTGAAGAAAATGAAATTGTTGTACAAATGACAAAGAAAGATTGCCTCAAGAAAGCAGCAAACTTCCTGGAAAAAGAAGCGGAACTCTCTGAATCTGAGTGGGGTAGTGCAGATGAAGATGAAAAGAATCTAGATAAATACGACATTGAATTGGGGGATGAAGATGAATTCGATAAAGAAAAATTACGTTCGGAGTTGGAGCAAATACATGCGTAAGTATTATGGTTCCATAGCAGTTTAGTTGACAATTTGTTGGATTCTCTATATTCTAAATATTTTGAACCTTTTTATATTAGGCGAAAAATGTTGGATGATGATTTGCGTGAAGTTAGAAAAATTCAAGATATGCTCTTCGAGGATGAGGAAAAAGATGGTGTTGGACGCCAAAGACAATTCAAATGGAAAAATGCCGAAAGTGGTTTCAGTTTGGATGACGGTCCAAAGGATGAAAACGGCGATCCCAACAATGGTGGCGATAGTGGTGATGAACTAAATGAACATCAGTGGCGTAAAATACGCTACGAGCGTGAACAGTTCCTAAAGGAGAAAGGTCTTAAACCTGATTCTCAAGATTTATCTACCACCATTACAAATACAACGTTAAATGCTACAAATAACACAACACTAGCGAATACAACAATGGCGGCATCGCTGACAACGAAAAAAATACAAATTATTACCGCCAAGAAGACTTCGGTTAAGAGCGCTGATTCAAAAACAGCTACACCTTTCTTGATCTCAAAAGGCATAGCTACCATGAATAAGAAAACTGTGCGTGGTTCATTTTTAGTACGCGACAAAGAAACTCTAAATAAATTAGCTGGCCTTACAAAGGGAAGTGCTGCCGCTATGGCAAATGCTACAGATATGGATGCAGCTGGTACTGTCTCCATAAAAAGTGTAAAACCGAAAAATTTCGTCTTTGCAACTCTAACAGAAGAGGAACATGAAAATATGAAACGCAAAGCCGATGATTTATTAAATAGCAGCACTGAAAATGGTACGAATTTCATGAAGAAACCGAAAATTGAACCACGTCGGGATAAATGTTTTATTGATCAGTTGTTGTAACGAAATTTTAATGTGGAAGAGAGAAAAATATGTATTTTTTATTATAAGTGTAAAATAATTTATGTTTTTTATGTTCGAGGCAAAAAATTTTAATACATTGTACAGAAATATAGATTTTTTATTAATGTTATACAAAAATTAAAGTGTACATTTTCATTAATACTAGAAAAAGGAAATAAAAAATGATACAGTGTTCCAAAAATATTAAAATCACCCGAAGCTGAACAACTAAATAAGAGGAAAAGGAAATAGTGTACGTACTTAAATAATCTTAAGCAGTTTATGAAAAATATGCGATTGTTTTTCCAACGGACATTTATTGGACCGTCTGCCACACATATTTGGTTTAGAGGAGGCTAATGAAAATAGTTCCAGAGTTAATTAATATAATGATAAATTTGTAGTTGAGAAAATCCAAAAGTCTTATGTGACAACATTCACAAACAGAGTTATATATTAGAAATTTGTCTTCTATCTAAAACCTCATAGGTACATCCGTTCAAGCTATAGGATAGAACCTTTAGTGTTGCATCCCATTTAGGGGTGAATGTTTAAAGGTCCTAGCTTTTTATCATATGTATCGTGTTATTAACCTACAGATAATACTGATTAGCTAGAAGTTTAAGCTCTGTTGTTTCCTATTGAGAATAAATTCTTAGTAGAGATACCTTGTAACAGACGTAGCTAAATTTGCCACACACAAACAGTTCAACCGACCGAATTTAACTCTATTTTTATAATTTATACTTATGTTTCTTTTCGTGTGCACTCTCACACACTGTTTCACTCTGCATTAGTCACATTTCTGGCAGGTAATTCCCAACAAAAGTGACGAAAAGTGTGTTAACAATCGAATCTGAAGAGTAAAGATAACGATTATCTTAATCTGATTTTATTGGTTATCATCCAAAGGAAATTAAGAGTAAACAACATAGAAAAAATCGTTATATTTTTATTTAACAAAAAAAAACTGAAAAGTTCGACTATTTTAAGTAAAACTTTCTATATACATAGACTGGAGAAATGAAGAGAGTTGCTAACAAGGTAGCAGCTCACCCGGCTATCTAATCATTATTTTGAATGAAAGAACACACATGCTTTGAACAAGATAATATGTACGTATATGTGTATGCATGTGAACTTAAAAGTGCAAATGTATTTATACTATCACCGCTAAAGCTAGAAAGCAAACGAGCAAAGGTTATATTGTTTGAAAACAATTCTTCGATTTAGTTTAACAAAATTTCTATAACACAACGAACACGCAAATAACAAACAAGCGCGATCATGAGTTTAATTTGGACATTAATCGACATATTTTTATTTGTTGAATTGGCAGTGGTACTACTATTAACATTGCCAGTGTTTAGTGCCACAACATGGAGTCGTTTCTTTAAATCCCAATTTTTGGCAATGCTTGCAAAACAGGCTCAACTATATTTTGCAATGTTAATTGGATTATTGGTGTTGTGTCTGTTGGAAGCATTGCGTGAAATGCAAAAGTTCTCAAGTGACACTAAATCCGATTCAGAACATTTGGATGTTGAAATGCAAAACAGTATGCGTTTATTCCGGGCTCAACGTAATTTCTATATATCGGGATTTGCTATATTCTTGGTGTTTATCATAAAACGTTTGGTCACTTTAATTTCGGAACAAGCCTTTCTAATGGCACAAAGTGAAGCTTCACTTAAACAAGCAAAATCGACAACACAGGCTGCACGCACATTAATGGAAGATAAATCTGTCGAGAAGGCCAAAGAAGCTGGCGAAGATAAACAAATTAATGAGGTAAGCGTTTTTGGTGAGATAAAATGTAAATATCTTTTTAGTTTTAAAGATGGATGGATATCGTGGGTCGTTCATCGTTCAACAATTTCTGTGAAGAACCCGTAATGCCAAATTAGAGGCACTTCGGTAGCAAAATTCGTCTAAAATCTTTTAAATGACCCAAGACCTTTACAATGTGGAATTAGTCGTGATAGATCTCTATCATTATTTTGACATAAGGACGCGATGAATATTTCCAGGTCTTGTGGATAGAATAAACATGTTAATTTTTAATATTTTAATGGCCCAGACATGGGGTCTACCGTTATATATAATTTCACGTCCATTGGACAGGAGTAGTGTCATTCGTCTCAAGTCCTATGCAAAATGTCGTTTCAATTGGACAGAAGTAGTGACATTCGTCTCAAGCCTATACAAAATGTCATTTCATGTCCATTGGACAGGAGTAGTGTCATTCGTCTCAAGCCCTATGCAAAATGTCGTTTAAATTGTACAGAAGTAGAGGCATTCGTCTCAAGCCTATGCAAAATGTCATTTCAATTGGACAGTGACTTTGGATTAGTGACTTTCTAAGCCCTTATGCCATGTACAGACGAGCGTTGTTCCCCCTCTCACATTCGATGTCCGACCTTATTTATGAAGTAATTACTTAGTTCCCCATACAAAATTGTCTGAGCCATGATCCAATAAACAGGTTGTTTCAGAAGTAATCATTATCGACAATTTTGGATTAAAATCCCCCAATCTGTCAAATTTTCTGTTTACTTTTTCACACAATTAAGTCAAAATTGAAAGCATTTTGACAGCTCGGGTGAAATCAAACGGTCTGAGCATGGTATATTTAATAAGGTAGCCGCATCGGCCCAGCTGTAGGTGCAAATAAATGTCAAAAATGTTGTTGTAATGCCGAAGCAAACAATTAAAAAACTAAATTATATATGAAAATCTCCGAATTTCGAATAGCTTTTTTGGCAATACTTTTATTAACATTTGTTACAAGAATTTGTGTAAAAAAATCTTGCGAATCTGTTTGTTTTGGTAAAATATTTTTGACAGCATGAAAATATTTATACAATTTTCAAACTTTTTTAGTAAACTTGAAAATGATGAATGAAAAGTAAAAAAATAATCTAATTTTTATATATGCAGAAGGATATAAATTTTGTAATCTACATAATGCAACATGCATTTCATTCCCATTGGTTCTTATTAGCGTACAAAACGAGAAACAAATGTTTGGAAACCCAAGCAAAAATTCTTAAATTTTTTATATGTGCCATTTGAATATGTTAAAAAACAATATTTTCGAAAAAATGGAAAACATGAATTAAAAGTAAATAGATATGGGTTCATAGTCCTGATTTAGATTAGGCGAGTTTACTTGCGGCAAGTCTTTGTTTGTAGGAGAGAGGGGCAAGGAGAATAGAAATGAAAAAAAATTGCTCGAAACCGACAATTTTCTCCAATTTTTTATTTCGTATTTGTTGACATTTTATATATATTTAAATGTGAAAAAAAAAACAAATAGAAAAATATTTTGGAAACCGAATTGCCTTGTATAGACGAAAAAAAAAATAGAACGACAAGAATTGCCTAATCTAAATCAAGACATACTATAGTCAGGAGAAAGAGAATTATTTTTTCTATTTAGATCCATATGTGATTCACGCAAAAATATTACGATTGTGGTATTTTACACCAGAAACAGTTTGAAATAAAAAAACGCCCATATTCTGTATTTTTAAAGATGCAAACAACATTTGCCAACAGAAATTTCGTTTTTAGAAGATAAGAAGAAACAGCCAAAGAATTTACAGTGTTTGATAGTAATACTTCAAATGATATTTTCAATGAAATTATTCTAAATTGGTCCCAAAACGTATAAAAAAAAATAAATAAGGGATGAATTTTAAAGTTTGCCATTTTGCGTGATAATACAACAGTATGCGTATTTAGGGGTTTTGCTAAATGTTTTTATATTTGTAATTCTATGACCAGCCTTAATATTCAATTTCAGGCATTGATAATTTGTTTTCAAAAGATAAATGTCCATAATTAATGTAAAAATTCCCAGCTCTGGGAAAAATTAAAAAATATCGTTTTTACTAGGCTAGGTTTTTAGACTACTAAATCCACTCGATCTCAAATGTCAATTCCATTGGGTATACGTCACGTTAATCCAGTGGATTATATTTGAAGTATACACTATGGAATTGACATCTGAGATCGAGTGGATTTCGTAAATCTAAATGTACCTTTAGGCCATGTTTTCGAAGCCCATATCTATGGATGACTTCAACAAGAAAAATATAGTATATCGTTGTAATCAGGGCATTTTAAAATGCCCGTTTTTACTAAACTAGAGTTAGGCTAGGTTTAGACTACTAAATCCACTCGATCTCAAATTTCAATTCCATTGCGTATACGTCACGTTGATCCAGTGGATTATATTTGAAGTATACACTATGGAATTGACATCTGAGATCGAGTGGATTTCGTAAATCTAAATGTACCTTTAGGCCATGTTTTCGAAGCCCATATCTATGGATGACTTCAACAAGAAAAATACAGTATATCGTTGTAATCAAGGCACTTTAAAATGATCCGTGACCAAACAAGAGGCTTGCTTCAAATACAAAAGCAAAAAAAGCCATACTGGACTGTTAAGTATATAAACGTAGTTTGAATTTCTATTGTACATCAAATTTTTTCCAAAAAGTTATCAATATGGCAATGTACTCAAGTTTTGACAATAAATAGAATGTCATATATAAGTAAAAAGCAAATAAAACAAAAATAAAAGAGACGTTACCGGTCAATTTATGTATGTATTCTTCTCTTTCACACGCATTGTGCTGAAATGGTGCAAAGGTGAGGCAATGTTAATAAAATAAGCGCACACACACACACACAACATATAGAAAAGCTACAAATACGTGTCTCAAAATATTTCATCAGTTGGTTACTCACTAAAGCAACGAAACGACGAAATATATAATTAACAAAAAAGTAAGAAACATTTTTGAAATTATTTTTTTAAATAAAGTTCCAAATCATAATTTGTACATTTGTGCACTTATTGGAGCAATAAACGGTCGTGATTCGCTTGGATTAAAAAATAAGTAAAACATATTTTTATATCAACAGCTATTCTTGGAGACTCAGTCAAGCGAAATCCAAGGAAAAGTGAATCTATTTTAAGACTACCATCTAAACTAACCATCGGCGAAATCGATTAACTTCGAAAAGCACTACCCATAACATCATGAGTCTTGTCTGGACTTTGATAGCTGGCTTCCTTTATGCCGAAATTGCAGTTGTACTGCTATTGGTATTGCCAATTGCCAGCCCATACAAATGGAATCGTTTCTTCAAATCGAAATTTTTGGCTATGCTTGCCCGGCAGGCCCATCTGTATTTCTTCCTCATAATGGGAGTACTGGTACTCTTCCTGCTGGATGCAATTCGCGAAATGCGTAAATATTCACATCACGACCACAGCAGCGATGTCCATTTGAATGTGGAAATGCAGCACAGCATGCGTTTGTTCCGTGCCCAGCGTAACTTCTATATTTCTGGATTTGCCATTTTCCTGGTCTTGGTAATACGTCGTTTGGTTACCTTAATTTCAACACAGGCCAATCTCTTGGCTCAGAGCGAAGCATCAATGAAACAGGCCGCTTCTGCTTCGGCAGCTGCCAAATCATTGATGGCCGAGAAGAGTACCGAAAAGGCTAAAGAAGCCACCGAGGATGCGACATTGGGAGAGGTACGTTGTAATCGAGTAGATATTCATAAAACAAAAAAGTTTTTTGTATTGTTTTTGGAAGTGAGTTCTTTTATTTTGTGTTTTCTTTGCTCACATAAATTATCATTTCGTTTTGTTTTTTGAAGAAACAAAATTCAAAAATCTATTTTTGTATGACGTGTTTTTGCAAAATTGTACTATATTTAAATGCGTACATACAAATGTTTTGGAGTGAGTGTGTGTGTGTTGTGTGAAAAGATTGTACAGAAGAAATATGTTGATTAATTTTTGTCTGGGCTAATATAGCTTACAGCAAATTATCTTGTTTTAAATAGGTATTAGCCCATGTAGTGTAGGAGACCCTTAATCAGATGAGTAGCAATGAACAATTTTTAAAGGGGGTGCTAGTTTTCCCAATATAGATATTTGGTTTATATATAGAAATTGGATTTGTACAAATTAAGATTCCAAAAAATGTGATTGTTTACATATTGGAAATGGTTATCATTTCAATTGAATGGAAACTAACATTTCACGGTATTCCCCAAAATTGCCAAACACAACCACTTGTGTATGTTTTTTAATATTTCGTACATAAATTTATTGCACCTAAAAAAGTGAATCATCGATATGATGGAGAAATATCTAAATACTATTTTGACCAACCGAAAATGATTCTATACGGTCCTTTTAGTGTTTCCACACAACTGATCAAGATTTGTTTAAAACCAGACCCAATACCCAAAAACAAAGGACATAATCATAGATTTAATAGTTAGGTAGATTTTCGGCATAATGTAAACAACGCAATATTTCATTCTCTTAAAAGCGAGCATTTTTTACCAAATACAATACGGATATAATTTGTATGATAATTTCACGTATACACTTCACGTTTGAATAAATTCAAAACACTAGATACATAGATATGTTTTTTTTTAAATTTTTGATTTTTTCTTTAGATTTTTTTTTTTAAATTTCAATTTAAGTACATATATTTGCTTTTATTTTAAATAATATTTATTTACGACATTTTATTTTTTACCGCTGCTGCTTCAACAAACAACGAGTTCTTGTACATACTTCTAGATAACAGCAATGCGATACTACCCAAAATAATTATACAGCCAATAAATACTATATATTGGTAAAACAATAATAATTTATTGGTAAATTATTTGCATGCATTCATTGTTGTGTTAATGCTGTTGTGTTTTCTTTTAACAATTTCGTTTGCCATACAATCCTCTTGTTTTCTGTTTTGTTTTATATATTTACATTTTTATATTATTTTTAACAGCTATCCAGCTTAAGGAGACGTGTACAAGGACTCACAGCAAAGCTAGCACAACATCCCATTTCATAAGAAATCGAACCAATAATTAATTCAAATGTGTTCATTTCTCGACAAAGCAGAAATACACGTTATCGAAAAAAACCAAATCAAATCAAATACCATAAACATTTAAGTTTTTATAAAACAAAAGACCTTTTAACGAATTTACCTCAATCCCCATTGAAAAACAAAACGATCCATTGCGAAGAAATCAACAAAAATACATATATTAAGTGTATATGTAATTGTTGTGTTGTTTTTGTTTAAGTTTTATTTTATTTTTTTAATTACATACAGTATTGTTTATAACGATTTTTACAAATATGTACTATCTTAGAATTACGAACAGCCGAAATAACCCGCCTTATTTTTACATAACTAATATGTCTTTTTATATTAGATTACAAAATTGAAAGATCGCATCCATGAGCTTACTGCCGAATTGAATCGTGAAAAGAAGGACAAGGAAGCCCTGAAATCACAAGCTGAAAGTTTAAATAAGGAATATGATCGTCTCACCGAGGAATATAGTAAATTGCAAAAGAAAATCACAATTAGCGGTGGTGCTGGAGGCAAGGGTGATTCCAAGGACGATTAAATAAATACTAACAACAATATTTAAACTCGTTGTAAAATTTAATTCTAAAAAAGAAATACATCAAAGATGTCAAGACTTTACACATTACTCTCTATTGCCCAGAATATGTAATATGTGAAAATCTAATGTGACTTAGGTACAAGTTGCCCTCAAGGAAAAAAGAAACAAAATACGGCAACAATAAAAATAATATTGAAAAGAAAGTCAAAATATGCATTATTATATATATCGCTAAATAAATCATATATAAAAATCTATTTTTTATATCTATATTAGTTTTTGCTTCTTTAGTATTTTCTTTACTTATATTTATGGTGTTTTTATATTTTGTAGTCTAACAAATCTCTCTCAACAAAAACTTGTTTGTTTTCTTCTTTTCGAACTGTTTTTTAAGATAGTTGGAAACATTTTGTAATTAATAAAAATAAATTTGTAAAAATCCAAAAAAAAATGTTTTTTTTTTATCAGAGCAATGTGAAACAAAATTATACGCCACACATAATATGACTGGTAACAAAATTCTTCTAATATGTTGGATTAATGTGTGTTTAAATTTAACAAAATCTATTCAAAATTGAACAAACACATGTTATGAACAGTATTCATTGCTATGGTGATTCATGGGAGAAATATGTATGAGATTGACACAAATGTGCTAAATTAATTAATTTGCAATGTTTTTAAACCACCGATAACCCGGAATAATTGGTACAATATCTAATCCAGTATAGAGTTATACGGGCTTTCCATTAATCGAACTTTTTCGATATCCTCTGTAAAAAAAAATTGGAAAGTTTTACGAATGTTCGTGATTCATATCAAATTGGAAGATGTTCATTCATAATTCTGGTTTTTATAACCTAATTATTGTATCAGAACAGATCATGTATTTTCTTAAAACCACTGTTTAATACGGCATTTACATAATAACTTTTGCGGGTTAACCGCCTTCATGAGGATTCATTTCACATATATTTAATGAAATTGACAATTTATATCTACTGGAATTAATAAATCCGGTAAAAAGTAAAAGTACCCATCAAGGCAGATTAAATACAGTAGCCGCATCACCATAATATGAAACGGTTTTGACTTATAATTGCACTACAATTTTTTGTTTTTGTGGTAATTCGTTTTTGGGGCTCCCTTACTTTCAATGACGAAAACATTTTAGTCACACTGTAGTAACATAGCTATATGTCAAAAACATTATCGACAATATGGCAACGCCAAACATTATCAAAAGTAAATGACGTGTAAGAATTTGTGGCAGCAGATAGTAGATTAATGAATGTGAAGAAAAAAATTAAAGAAAAAAAATAATTAAAGAAATTACATGTTTTAAAGGATATTGTGGACGCGGCAACGGCAAAAGATATCCACAAAATATAAAAAGAAAATAGAATAGACACATTGCCACAAACACAAAACAAAAATGTTGACAAACTTTGAATCCAAGTCGGCACGAGTCAAAGGCTTGTCTTTTCACCCGAAGCGGCCATGGATTTTGGCTAGTTTGCATAGTGGTGTAATCCAGTTGTGGGATTATCGTATGCATACACTGTTGGAAAAGTTCGATGAGCACGATGGTCCTGTACGTAGTGTAGCTTTCCATCAACAAATGCCACTGTTCGTTTCCGGTGGTGACGATTACAAGATTAAGGTGTGGAACTACAAACAGAGACGTTGTATATTTACGCTGTTGGCTCATTTGGATTACGTGCGTACTGTAGCATTCCATCATGAATATCCTTGGATTTTGAGTGCTTCCGATGATCAGACTATTCGCATTTGGAATTGGCAATCGCGTAATTGTATTTGTGTATTGACCGGACACAATCACTATGTGATGTGTGCTCAATTCCATCCGACAGAAGATCAAATTGTTTCCGCTTCGTTGGATCAAACGGTACGAGTATGGGACATTTCGGGTTTGAGAAAGAAGAATGTGGCTCCAGGACCTGGTGGATTGGATGAACACCTTAAGGGTCATCCAGGAGCTACAGATCTATTTGGCCAAGCTGATGCTGTGGTAAAACATGTGTTGGAAGGTCATGATCGTGGTGTAAATTGGGCCAGCTTCCATCCCACACTTCCTCTGATTGTTTCGGGTGCTGATGATCGTTTGGTTAAATTGTGGCGTATGAATGAATACAAAGCCTGGGAGGTGGACACATGTCGTGGTCATTACAACAATGTATCTTGTGTGTTGTTCCATCCACGTCAAGACCTTATCATATCGAACGGTGAAGATCGCAGTATTCGTGTTTGGGATATGACCAAACGCCAGTGTTTGTATACATTTAGACGGGATGGTGAACGTTTCTGGATTCTAACTGCCCATCCCACACTCAATCTTTTTGCTGCCGGCCATGACGGAGGTATGCCACATATTTTATAATTCTAGTTTATTTGAATTTAACTTTTACTTTAATTTTAGGCATGGTTGTCTTCAAGTTGGAACGTGAACGTCCCGCCTATGCTGTACATGGCAACATCTTGTACTATGTAAAGGATCGTTTCTTGCGTAAACTTGACTTTACCACAACCAAGGATACCGTGGTAATGCAATTGCGTGGTGGCGGCAAATCCCCTGTCCACAGTATGTCCTACAATCCGGCATTGAATGCTGTTCTATTGTGCACACGCACCAACAATTTGGAGAACAGCACTTATGACTTGTGCCAGATACCCAAAGATGCTGAATCTCAAAGTGAAAACGACAGCAAACGTTCTTCGGGTATCACCGCCATCTGGGTAGCCCGTAACAGATTTGCTGTCCTTGATCGTAACCAACAACTTGTCATTAAGAACTTTAAGAATGAAGTTACAAAGAAGATTCCAACATTCTGTGAAGAGATCTTTTATGCCGGTACTGGTATGCTGCTTATTCGTGATCCTGAATATGTTACCTTGTACGAAGTGCAGAGACTCGTTTCGGTGGGTTGCATTAAGCTACCCAAGTGTCGTTATGTTGTGTGGTCTCCCGATATGTCTTTGGTGGCTTTGCTGTGCAAACACTCGGTCACTATTTGCGATAGACGTTTGCAGTATCTGTGCACCATTCAGGAGAATTGCCGTGTTAAGTCTGGAGCCTGGGATGATTCTGGCGTCTTCATTTATACCACTAGCAATCATATTAAGTATGCCATTACCAATGGTGATCACGGCATCATTAGAACTTTAGATCTACCCATTTACTTGACACGTGTCAAGGGTAACCAGGTCTTCTGTTTGGATCGTGAATGCCGCACTCGGGTACTCCACATCGATCCTACTGAATATAAATTTAAACTTGCCCTCATCAATCGCAAATATGATGAAGTTTTGCATATGGTACGAAATGCCCGTTTGGTTGGTCAAAGCATTATTGCCTACTTGCAACAGAAGGGCTACCCAGAGGTGGCTCTACACTTTGTCAAAGACGAAAAGACACGATTCGGCTTGGCTTTGGAATGCGGCAACATTGAAATTGCTCTGGAAGCTGCTAAGGCTCTGGATGACAAGGACTGTTGGGAACGTTTGGGCCAAGCTGCCCTTTTGCAAGGCAACCACCAAATTGTGGAAATGTGTTATCAACGCACCAAGAATTTCGACAAACTCAGCTTCCTGTATCTGATCACCGGCAACTTGGAAAAACTAAAGAAGATGAATAAAATCGCTGAAATTCGCAAGGACGTCTCGGCTCAGTATCAGGGTGCCTTGGTGTTGGGTGATGTCAAGGAACGTGTCAATATTTTGAAGAATTGTGGTCAAATGTCATTGGCTTATTTGACCGCAGCTACCCACGGTTTGGATGAACAAGCATCCAATTTGGCTGAATCCATTACCCAGGAGGGCAATCCTCTGCCTGAAGTAAATCCCAATGCTACTCTCCTAAGACCACCTGTACCCATTCAACAGGTGGAAACCAATTGGCCGTTGTTAAGTGTATCCAAGGGCTTCTTCGAGGGTGCCATGTTGACACGTGCCAACACAAGTGCTACAGCTAGACAAGCTTTGAACGTCAATGCGGATGCTGCCCTCGATGTTGGAGCTGGCGATGGCTGGGGAGCTGATGCTGATTTGGGGCTGGATGAAGATGGTGATGAGGAAATGCATGATGCCATTGGTGATGAGGGTCTTGAGGGTGGTGCCGACGAAGGTGCTGGATGGGATGTTGGCGATGACGATTTGGTTGTTCCCGAAGAACTTGCATCTAAAATTAAGGCATCTGCCTTGGATAGTGGTTACTATGCTGCACCCAACAGAGGTCTATCGGCTCCGCAACACTGGGCCAATAATTCACCATTGGTTTTGGATCACATAAAGTCTGGCTCATTTGAATCTGCCTTCCGTCTGCTAAACGAACAGCTGGGTATTGTCAATTTCCAACCATTCAAGCCCTTGTTCATGCAGAATTATGCCTGTGCATCGACTAGTTTTACCGGCATGCCCAACTTAGCATCTTTATGCGCTTATCCACTACGCAATACCAATGAAAGCAATGTAAAACAACAGCGTCCCGCTTTGGGCATAAAGTTGAACGATTTGGTACAGCGTTTACAGGCTGGCTATCAATTGACAACAGGTGGCAAATTCTCGGAAGCTGTGGAGAAATTCCATTCAATTTTAATTAGCATTCCCCTATTGGTTGTCGACACCAAACAAGATATCGCTGAGGCTCAACAACTACTAAAAATCTGTACCGAATACATTCTTGGTTTGAAAATGGAAACTGCCCGCAAAGGCTTGCCTAAATCTACATTGGAAGAACAAAAACGTCTCTGTGAAATGGCTGCATACTTTACTCACTGCAAACTCCAGCCTGTCCATCAAATTCTTACCCTGCGTACTGCTCTTAATATGTTCTTTAAATTAAAGAACTATAAGACAGCAGCATCTTTTGCACGCCGTCTATTGGAATTGGGACCTCGCCCTGAAGTCGCTCAACAAGTTCGTAAAATTCTGCAAGCCTGCGAGGTCAATCCCGTTGATGAACATCAATTGCAATACGAAGAATTTAATCCATTTAATATTTGTGGCATTAGCTATAAGCCATTGTATCGTGGTAAACCTGATACAAGTTGTCCATTCTGTGGAGCATATTATGACCCACAATACAAGGGTAAATTGTGTACCGTGTGTGAAGTGAGTGAAATTGGCAAGGATTGTATTGGCCTGCGGATATCAAATTTGCAATTCCGTTAAATTTTCTCATTATTTCAAATGCCTTTAAGAAGACCATAGTATTTATCAATTTACATCGTTTGTTTTAAGTCGTTAAAAAATCATAATTAATTTTTAATATTCGCAAAAAAAAAAAAGAAATATTTTATACTACAGAGAAATATGCTACAATTCCCGAACGACGACATTCAATTTCCAATATTAATTGCCGAGTGTTAAGCGAGAAAACCTATAAGGTTTATAACACAACATTATGTAGTAAATATACATTTAATAAAAATTAAAAAAAAAAAACTTATAAATACATACAGATGAAAGGTAGTTTTATTAATTATGGGTTATGTGAACACACATAACATTATTTTGTAAGTCATTTATTAATACATTGCATTTATATATAATGGAGTGATAAATATAAATTAACCCTGTTGGTGGGCTCATATTAGTAAAAACGTTTGTTCTAAAAAATCCTATTTTGAATACGTTTCATGTATTTTCATTGTTATCAAACGTAAGACGTGTTATTCCTTTGCAGAGATCATAGATACATCTAACTTCTTTAAACCCCGATTAAATAACAATTTCTATTTTAGAAAATAAATTAAAAAATATATAAACACAAATCCGCCCTATTGATTAGAGGTGGTGGAAAACCCCCACGCAGTTAGAAAATATATCCTTAAAAATGCATGCTAAGAATCGTGAACAAATACTTTAAAATCAAAGCTTATAGGTCTGAAAGTGATTGGAAAATGTTCTGCAAAAATCCACGTTCATTAGTCTGTCTTAAACGTCAGTGTGAAAGTCGTGGAAATTTTTTCCTATAAATCCGTGTTTGTTGGTCTCATATTGATTAAAAAAATTCTGTAAATCCAATCTTATTCATCTGAATATTATTATTCTTAAAAATCTACGCTTTTTGTTTAGGCAATAGCAGTGATATGCTTAGTCTAGCACATATAATTGCCCTTACTCAAAAACTATTCTCATAAATGCATAGATTATAGTTCAGCCTTAATATTTTTCAGCCATATTAAAATATATGAATCTCTAGAGCGTTCCATACATTATACAACATGTGGCAAACATTTTTTGGTCAATCTCACATATACACAAAGTTGTTCATCAACATGACCGCATTATGTATTGGTGTATGGGAGAAACAAATTTGAATTTCGAAGCTAATGCAATAAATGCTAAATCGATTCTTTTAAGTAATGAATATAAAATATTACTACTTACATTAAGAATGGCAGCTACTTAGGTGTTGCAACACCTAGAAATAAAAATAGAAAAATAAATTAATTTAAAAAAATTGAAAATGCAGTAAAAACTAACCTTAGAATATTATGACCGTGGTATCCATTTTCAAAACGATATTTAATTTTTTTTAACCGACCGTTATTTGTGGTAGCCTACACCAAACCACAGATGAAAAAGAAAAGAGAAATGCTAATAGACTGTTTGTAATGAAATTGGAAACTGTTTCTGTCAGGGACCGTAACGGTTATAACTTATATCAAATCAGGTAAAAAATAACTTTTATTATGTGACTTAAATTAAAAAAATCCACTTTAATTATTTATTTTTTAACGGAAAAAATAAACGTTGATTTATAACTGTTAAAAATGATTTTTATTTTTTCCGTCAGAAATAAAAATCTTTTTAGGATTTTTATTTTTTCCGTCAAAAATAAAAGTCTTTTTGGGACTTTTATTTTTTCCGTCAAAAATAACAGTCTTTTTGGGATTTTTATTTTTTCCGTCAAAAATAAAAGTCTTTTTGAGATTTTTATTTTTTCCGTCAGAAAATAAAAGTCTTTTTACGTAAATAAACATATAGAGCTTGGTACCAGTTATATAACCTTTGACTTAATAGTCAGGGGAACGGTTCTTTAATTTATATTCATGATTTGGTACAATAGACTATTTTATAAAAAATGTATAACAAATATTTTTTACCTTTGATCTTTATTACTTATGTGTACACTTATTGTAATAAGGACAGAGATTTATAAATTGTAATTTTATAACTGATTACAAGTTGTATAAACTTATTTACATAAAAAGAGTTTTATTTCCTGACGGAAAAAATAAAAATCCCAAAAAGACTTTTATTTTCTGACGGAAAAAATAAAAATCCCAAAAAGACTTTTATTTTTGACGGAAAAAATAAAAATCATTTTTAACAGTTAAAAATCAACGTTTATTTTTTCCGTTAAAAAATAATCCTTAACATGGGAACTGAGAGTGTTTTCTCAAGATCACTCAATATCCTTAATGGGCTCCTCAATACGAATCTATTGGTATATGACACTATTGGCGTCCCATGTCTCTAACATGAAGATTTTTTTGTTCGCATTTTAAAAAATAACTGTTATTTTCGGTCCCTGGTTTCTGTCAATAGTAGATTTGTAATAAAAATTAGAAAAAATATTTAAATGAAATCAGAAAAAAAATATTTTCTGATTGTAATTTCAAGTCATGTTGCATTTTGAATTGAAATTTTAAATTTGCATTTCATATAGACAGGGTTGATAAGGTTAGAACCACTGGACAAATTTATATTTAGTGGTCATAAGGGAACATATACATACCTGCTATATAATATAACTGGTTTGGCACCAAATAGGTTAGGGAATACAGCTTGTGCAAAATTTTCTTGGAAACATATTCTTGGACGATAGGCTGATTATATTTCCATTCAACTGTTGGTGGTGTAAGTTAAGCAAATAGTTATCCGCGATTACCGATCCACCAATACGAACACTTATTATTTAAACGACCGTTCTATACGTCAAGTGAACGCCATTAGTATTTCCAATAACGATTTATTGCAGCACAAAGAATTGCTTCAAATTACACCACCGAACATTTCACGTTGAATCAAAGACGAATGATCACTTTACCATGACGTATCTGCAGAAAAAGAAACATTTGTAATGAACTTTACCAACTTCCACCAATGGTACACTTACCTTCCACGAACGCACACTTTGCGAGAGTTTTGGTACATTTGAAAAAAAAGAACATGGTGATATTACCGGATATTTATGGCTTTGTATAGACACTACCGAGATGAACGACAGGAAGTGGAAACATATCTTTCCTTTATATTTCACCCACGACACAAGGAAAACACAATACGAAACATTTTAGATTGACAATTTATTCGAAAATGTATTAATGCAAATTGTTACCGACACGACACGACACAACAGAACAAAAAGAAAATTGCAATTTTAGCCGCGAATAACGGAAAACGCCATGACATGCTGTTAGAGCCACCGCATTGATTATCTAACGCAGTTAAACAAGGCATACGACGACGTTGAAAATGTATTAGAATCTAAACGCAACCAGAGAGTCTAGAGTCAGCGACGGTCGTTTACCGTGTGTTTCTTATTGGCAAATTAATACCGCGGCTATAATATAGAGAGGTTGGCATTTACTTCATTTTCAGTCACTGCTTTTACACAAATTTAATGTATATTTAAATTTTATCTGCAAACATTAATTCTGATCAATAATCATTGCATTTATAATCTTTAGTTATAGACTAAGATCAATGCTATGTCCTAGACTAGGAATATCAAAGTTATGTATTAGATTGTCTGAAGAAGAAATGTTGATTTTCATGAATAATAATATTTAGATGAATAAGCGTGGATTTTATATATTAATCTTTCAGCAGTGTGAAACTATCAAGTGTTGCTTTTTGGGAACATTTTCCTCGACTTTCACACCGATATAGGGTGAACGTTTAAGTCAGACTAATGAACGTGGATTTTTTAAGAATATTTTTTGCAACCACTACCAGACTAAAAATCGTACATTCTTTCAATATTTTCTAAAATTCAAGTTTCAAGATGCATACGTCCACAAAATCACCTTACAATTCTATCCCATACAATTCTATTCCACGATTTTAAATATATTATTCCACTCAATACCAATATACCACAAATTAGTACAATTTTGTTCCTTTTTGAAATACGATAATTCAAATCGTGCATAATAAATTGAATTATTATTGTAAAATATTGTTACGAATATGACTTTAGATTTAAGTTAATTTAGATGAATTCCGTTAATTTAAGAATTTGAATTGTAACGTAAATTTCTACTACGCAGTTTATTCGAATAACTTCACAACAACAACTACTGTATAGATTTTTCTACATCCTTCCATTTCCTCTTCCATTTTCTATTTTGTTATTGTCATACAATTCTTGTTAAACGTCATCATTAATGATCGCTTAATTCCTCTTTCTTTGTTACCCCCTCGCCTGTATATGTGTTGTTGTTATTGTTTACTCAATGTAAGTTTGTATGTGTTGTTATTGTTTACTCAATGTAAGTTTGTATGTGTTTGTTGCATTGGTAGATTGTTCGTAATCTAAGCGTTACCAGATCGTCTAGAAACTTCTGTAGCGACAGGCAAGGGGCATATAAATAGAGGAAATGGAAAGGCAGTGAGTCAGTTGTGAATCAGATCGCGAATCGAAACCGTCGAGTAAAGTAAAGTGCAAAGTAAAGTTGTGTGAATAAAATCATTGTAATAATCGTAATCAGAAAGAACCCGCGTTTTATTTGGTACGAATTGTATCGGGAAATAAAACAACGACTACACGGGATTAAGCAAAATCCAAGAACGTAACAATTGGTGTCAGAAGTGAGATTACGATAATACTACGATGAAGTTTAAGGATCTACGAGTGGAAGACTTGAAGAAGGAGCTCAATAAATTGGAATTGTCCTCTACTGGCAACAAGGCTGAACTACAAAAACGTCTGTTGGATGAGTTCGAGCGCCGTGGTATGAACATCGATACATATGAGTTTGACAGTAAGGATGAAGTGGATTTATCGGAAATGGGCGAATCCAACGGTGGGGAAGTCTCGTCAGTAGCTGCCAGGGGTGACGATTTCAGAGAAATGCTGGCCAAAATGTTTGAAGAAAATTTCAGAAGGTTCGAAGAGAATTGCAGAAAGTCAGTAGAAAACACGAGACGAATGTTCGAAG